GAAACCTGGCGGGATGAGACTCATGGTTGGGATGACAGCTCCATGGATTTTTAAGCCCCCTCAAAGAGATATTTCCCATCAGATTCAGGGGGTCTTGGCTGCTCCTGAAGGTCCACAATCTGTGGTCAGATCTCTGATGGCTCCATGTTTGTCAAAAAGTCAGGACTAGGCATGACAAAGTATTGAGAATCATTGGATAAAAAACACCTTTTGTATTTTCAATAATATGCCAGTGGCTTTAACAGGTACTGAGATTTCTTCTGAACAAGTGGTGAAATTCATTAAGGAAGCTTAGAATGTGAGCAACTTGCCCTGAAAGCAACTGACAATGTATTATGACAAGAATGGCATTTCAATAGATAAATTATTAGCCTGTTAAAGGTTACAGCCTGTCCTAATGACCCATGATTAACAGTCTGCCTCACACTATTATTTTGAGCACTGAAGGAAGAAGGTTTGCAAAAGGCTTTTGGCAATAAAAGTGCTGTATAAATGATGACAGTAAAGACAAATTTTGAAAGCAATTAGAATGAACCGTTACTTCCCTGCCACTTAAGCTCCAATCCTTTACATACTCATTTACCTGGAAGTAAATCCCACTGAACACGGTGGCAACCTCTGATGTGTAACCAGGGCATGCCGGGACATGCCAGGGTGGGCTTGCATAGATGCTTTACCTTCTTTCCAGGCTAAGTGCTCCTGCATTCCCACAAATGTCCGAACATAAGTAATACCAAACATATGGAAAGGAAGTCCATTCTTGTGCTTGGTTTCAGAGGAGGCATTTCTTCATGCTTGATGGAACTGAGAGAAGCTCACGCTACTCATCAACAATGTTCTCTCCCAATTAAAATATAAAAGCAAATACCAATCTCTAAACTGCAAATGCTTTCCTGTTGAATTATCAGCAGTAAAATATTGTAGCAAACTAAATAACACAAGATGTACAAATAGTCCCATTAAGTAGTCTCAGAGGTGATGTGTAAATAAGATTATTTTTTTAAATTTCTCATCAAGATTCTGCATGTTTCAGTCCAGCTAATTTGTATCAACTTGGTAGCAGTGGAAATTTAATTAAAGAGATCAATAAATCATGATTCTTTTTTTTTCTTTTTTGCAGTGCAAACTTAACTTTAAAAGCTCGTTGCATTTATAATTCGACAGTCTGAAGCTTCCACTTGCTGCCAAAGCTGCAGGGGAGTAATGTAGAGACAATATTCTCTTAACCGTTTCAGAACGCAGCCTAAGAAGATATGAATGAGGAAATGAAGATAGCCTGCTTGTAAAAAAAATGCACACTCTGGACTAAGAGAATATCAGGAGCTAAATATAGAGAAACTTAGCATACAAGTTAGACAACATTACTTCACCATAACACCTAGGAATACACCTTCAAACTGCAGTAGACAGCTGTATCCAGCTAACTTTTACTTAGAGTGGACCCACTGAAATTAATGGACGTAAGTTAATTATGTTTCTTAGTTTCAATGGGCCAACTCTGAGTATGACTGACACTGGATGCAGTCCAAGGGTTTCATTCCTGTTATTTTTTAAAAGCAAGGTGGGGAATATTTTTTGGCCTTTTGAGCAAAGTTCCAGAGACTACTTGTCAGTCATGGGCAGAGGCAGAGGCAAAAAGTGGGTGGATTAACAAATGTTAATTTTGCCTTTGTACATTACACTAGTTTCCACTCATATCAATGCAAGCAAGAGGCATCATCAGAGTTCAATTACTCATTTCAGGTAGGCCAAAACACTCATGTGGAGGGTAAGAAGCAGAGCCACTAGCAGCTGTGGCTGGGCAAGAGGTCTGCCCTGGGAGTACTCTGAGGACCAGCTAGACAGGATTGAAGGATCACTATGACCCCCTGAGCAGTGGCCTTGCAATGGGCGTTGTGGGGGAGTGGTTCGTCCAGGGTGCCATGTCTGGGGGGGTGACAAGAAGGCACCCCGCTGGGGCTCGCACTGCCACAAGCAGCCATCGCGCCACCATAGCTGCATGTATAGGATCCTCCATTCGCAGCTGCAGCCGCAAGCAGAGGATCCCGGTGGCACCGGCAAACCACTATGTACAGCGCATGTGTGGCATTGCAGGCATGCACTGAACGTAACAATGCCACACCTGCACTGTACATAGCGGTTTGCCGCCGGTGCCGCTCGAGTGCCGTACGGACGGCAGTGGGATCCCTCCGTCACTGCTACAGCCGCATGTAGAGGATCCTCCGTTCACATCTGTAGTGGCGCCAGAGGGATCCCGGCACCGTCTGTATGGCACTGGAGCGGCAGCGGCAAACCGCTATGTACAGCGCATGTAGTGACACCACACATGTGCCCTACATAGCGACACCCTGCCCCATGTGTCACAACACCTTCGTTCACCCGTGCCCCTGAGTTCCCCACCCTGAGTTTAAAGATGCGCTCAAGGCTGGTTTTAGAGTTGAGGGTTCTCTTGCCCATGTGCCAGCCAGTGAGACCCAAGGGACAGCTGCGCAGCCACCATCTTAGTTCCCCCCCCCAAAAAAATGCCCTGCAAATTCTGTTGTGCTGGTGTGTTGTTGCTTAGTCGTTTAGTCGTGTCCGTCTCTTCATGACCCCATGGACCAGAGCACCAACCATCTCGTCCTCTGTCGTCCCCTTCTCCTTGTGCCCTCCATCTTTCCCAACATCAGGGTCCTTTCCAGACCCTGCTGGTGCATTGTGGGAAAAAAGCATGGCAGCTCACAGCCACTATGTTTCTGTGGTGACCACCATTTCTTCTTGCCCACAGTGCACTGGGTTGATAGGGCAATAGTACGTAGGGAAAACTAATATTGATCCATAGTCACTGGAAGTCTAGAACAGAGGTTCAGGCAGGTGTCACCATCATCCATGAACTTTGCAGCCCCTGAGGATACAGGATGGTGAAGCTGGGGAAATACATCTCATGCTGTCTATAAAGACCTATCTCTACAGCTACCAGCCACTACTAAAAATTGATATTTTAATGACAGGGATCTTACCTTTCTTCAGTTTATTCAAAACAAAGTCCCCCTGTGTCCACTGGTGCTTCCCTCCCAGGTAAATGTGCAGAGCATTGTAGTCCATGCTGGGTGTGTGTGTGTGTGTGTGTATCCCTCGAGGCTTTGCATTTCTGATAATAACACTGGCCACACTGCAGACAAAAATGAAACAGTGCCTTTAAAAACATACCCTACTGATGCTTTTTACGGTAAGTGAGCAGCACACAGCAGTTTTACAGAGTGATGTATTTCCTTTTTATCACGATAGGCAGCCAAGTTTCATGTGATCTTATTTTCAACTGCAAAATTACTTCCTGTAGTGACTTCAACTGCTCCCCCCAAAAAAAAAAATTGCAAAGAGCCCAGCTCTGCAGGAAACAGTCTTGCCCTATTTAAATATTTTCTCATTATACATCTTGCTTCCATCCAGATTTCCCCTCCCCCTTCCTTTTCCAAACTCTGAAAACTTTATTTGGTTAAGATCCTAATGTACAGTAAAGTTTGTCTTTTCTTTTTTTCTTTTCATGCTTTTTAAAATAATAATACCCAATCTCTTCAAAGAGAGCTTTTATTATACCTGATGAATATTTACACTATCTTTTCCAACATCAGCAATAACAAAATGAGGCAACAACTTCTGGTAGCTTCAGCAGATCTAATGAAATTGAGGTTCATGTGAAAATGAAATTTGGATTTTCTGCTCTGATAGAGGCCAACCTATTCATTCCAACAGTTTTATAAAATAAACACACTATGCACTAGTGAATTTTTTCAACTAGAAGCTTTTTATTAGCTGTATTACATATATCAGGTGTGGGAGGGAAGAACACATCCAAAAAAATTTATAACCATGCTAGTATTCTTTATGATATAAATTCAGCTGTTTGAGGAAAGACCAGGAATGGGAAAATCTGTCAATTTGCATTTCTCTCGATTGCTCATTTTTAAAGTTTTCAGTTGAGTTCTTCACATTTCCAAATCAGTTTGTGATTTTTTTAAAAAAAGTCCTCATGAAAATTTATCAGCATTTTGGTGAACATTTCCCCTAATCTGTGTATGTTGTATGCAAGTTTCCCTAATATGTACACCTTTGCAATACAGTTTTCCCCAATAGGGCATATTTTCTGTTATTTTCACAAATTTTATTATGCAGATTTCATTTTAACTCATGCATATTTTTGTACATGTCACACTACTGTAGAACTGTATTGCAAAATTCAGAGAAATGTGAATTTTAGTGTGAAAGGCTATGTTTCATTTTACATATTGTTTCTGAATATGCAAGTTAGGTAGGTTTGTCTTTAAATGCAAACTGAATCAAATTTCTCCCCCTTCCCTATTTCAGTTCTCTGTAAAATCTTGCTAGTATTCTTTTATCAGATATATTCAGATAATTCTATTTAGGAAGAGATAAAGATGCAATGGCATTCAGAAATGCCATATATGCAAACAAATCTTATGAGAGTCCAATAAAAGCAGTTTCAAGCACAATAGAATACTGGGTCCCCTTAACAGCAAAAGTTATATTTAGACCAGATTGACTTTGGAAGCTACCTACTTGGTAGACCAGTTCCCACAAGAAGCTATGGCAGTGGCAGCTTTATTAAAGTTTGGTCAATATGGCTTAAAACACTTTCATTACAGAGAACAGGATAACTGCCGTGGCTAACCACTCTTTATCTTATTTGAAAGCATACTAAAAGGAAAAGGATTGAGGGGTTTGTAGATCCTACATGGAGAATAGTCAAGGTGTTTAAAAAAACCCCATCTGTTCTTTAAAAATAAGAAATAAAGTTTTTACTGATCAAACCCTAAACTCTGTACCAATAAATGTTGAATTCTGCATAAATTATGCCATTTCACAAACTTTGCTTCTATATGGACGCTATTATTTATTATTATTATTATTATTATTATTATTATTATTATTATTATTATTAAATTTGTATGGTACTTTCAAATGCCTTGCATACATTATACATATATTTGTATTTATTTAAAGAAGGTCTGTAGCTCAGCAGTAGAGCATGTGATTTGAATGCACAAGGTCCCAATTCCAATCTCTGGCATCTTTAGGTAGGGCTGGGAGAGAGAACCATGTCTGAAACCCTGGCGCTGCTACCAGTCAATGTAGACAATATTGTTACACTCATATATTTGTATGTACACATTCCTACACTTGAGGCCTTCCTTCATTTAAATAGCCAATAAATGCTGCCATCTCTGCAATCCAGCCTGTGTGCAGGATTGCAGCCCTAGACGCTGCCCCTTTTAGCATATTTTAACTCAGAGTAAGTTGGCACAATAAGACCAATTGTTTATTTTCTCTCATTTGTGGCATCAAGATGTAATTACATTACAAGCAAAAAAAAGGATTCACCCTCCCTTTTTTCCCGCCATAATGGCAAACTCCATCTGGAATTGAAAAATCAGCTGTGTTTTTCCTTTTGCTTGAGAAACATCACTAACGATAAAGATTGTTCATTTGCAACTTGCGTTTCACAAAATCTGTATTCTTGAGGGAGAACAGAAGCCAGCTAGGCCTCCTAGAAAATTGAAAGTAAACTTATTGAGGTGACATTCAGTAAAAGAACTGCATTATACTACAGATAATATGCACAAATTATATATACAGACACAGACATACATCCAAATAAGCTAGTGAAGTGAAATGTCAAGCTTAAATTAAACACTCAATAAGTTCTAAAAGTCTGTTTGAGACCTGGGGCATAATTTCTTGTATACCCTTTGAAGAAAGCACAGATTTGGCTCACTAGGCACAGCATCCCTGGGAGGGAGAGGAAGATCCAAGGTACACCAAAACAGGCTAAAAATGACATGAATTCAAGAACCAAAAGCCTGGAGAAACAAAACTGTCTTGGCATGGAGCTGAAAAGCCAGCAGTGTTGCCAGGTGAGCCTTGTCCTGGTACCTGCAGGATCTTCTCCTCCATCACCCCTAAATCAGGCTTGAAAGAAGCACTACGTTGTAGCCAATGGAATCAGTTGCGGTGTAGGATTGATTGCAGTGTGTGTGTGTGTGTGGTGCTCACAACAGTTTCTCCAGTTTGCAGATATTGGCCACCTGTGGCCCAGAACAATCTGTGGCCATTGGGTAAAAAGGCCATGTCGAGGAATGAGCTAGATTATACATTTGGTGAAGTGAATCCATCAATCCATTCATGTCATTGCATTTATGAATTGCCAGAAGGAGCCCAAGGTGGTATACAATATAAGATAAAACAGAAACATAATCAGCTTAGTCCCACTCAGAACAGACCCACTGGAACTAATGAACCTAAGTGGGTAATGTCCATTTACTTCAGTAGGCCTGCTCTGCACAGAAATAGCATTGGATACCACCCTGTATATTTATAAAATAACAAAATCATTAAAACACAAGAGAGCACTTACTGCTCTTGGTCTCAGCAGGAAATGTAATGATTTATTTTTATCTTATACTTTATTTTGTTAGTATCTTTGGGCATCTCTATGTTGGAAATGTAGGTTATAAGTCTACTTATAAATAAACAAAATAACACAGTGTCTTTCCTAACTAATAGGTTTGTATATAACACTGAAAATGCTCCATTAGTAATCATATAAAATATTTCTTTCACAGGCACCTAAACTGCACCTTATTTGCTATGATCAAAACACATAGGACACAAACCATGAACAGCTAATAATTTGCTGTATTATTCTCCCTCCAGTCTATGAAATCCTTTCAGGAGTTTGTGATTAATTTGTGATGGAGGACTGGGAATATGACTAACATGCAAAGCTATAAATTGCATCAAAATAAAAGGAGATAGCTGTAATGCTGTGAGGGGGTTACAATTGGGTATTCGCTGCAAAAATATGACAAGTTAAGTGTCTATTAGCCACTAATGTCATCATGAATAAAGGATGTTTCGCAATATATTGTGAAGGCATAGATTTAAACAGAAGTAGTCTGACATGAGAGGTTTTATTTTAATAAGAGTATTATAGTTTCCACAATAAAAGAATGAATGATATATTATTTAGTGTGGTGCAGTGGTTAGAGTGTTGGACTACGACCTGAGAGACTAGGACCTGAGAATCATAGAATTGTAGAGTTGGTAGGGACCTTGGGGGTCATCAAGTCCCACCTCCTGCAATGCAGACATCTCATAAAGCATCCATAACAGATGGCCATCCAACCTCTGCTTAGAAACCTCCAAGGAAGGAGAGTCCACCACTTTCCAAAGGAGTCCTCCCTAAGGAGGGAGGAGAAAGATAATTCACTTCACGATCGACTTCCGGGGTGGCACCATCGGCAATGGCGGACTCCCTCTGAATTGGAGGGACTAGCTCCGCGCGAAACGGGTCTTCTCCGCTACGGCGAAGCGGGGACCCTTTTAAAAATCACAGGCGGATGAAGCCTGTGACCATGGGACTCGGTGGGCACCCTTAGCGCCCCCCCCAACCCGCAAAGAAACCCACTAACGGGCTCCGAAGCGAAGAGGGGGAAGTGGTGCGGTGCTGTGAGTCAACTGCTATTTCCGTGGAGCGAAGCCGCACAGCTGTTGCCGGAGAGCGCTGCCTTTTTCATGGGACAAATTGGCTTCTAAAATAAGCACCCGTGAGTACTTAAACTTTGAACAATTGGACTTTAAATAAGGACTTGCGAGCAGAAAGGAATTGAACTTAAAAACTTTACTTCAATTTGGTACTGAAACGGGAAGGTCTAAACAGGAAGTCAGCCTTCCGTTTCTTTGTAGACAGAATAAAGCAAAGACAACGTAAACTAGAGCTCAGAAAATCGCCTCTAAAGGATTGGCTTTCATCATTTAAAATTGTTGAACCCCCCTTCGGCAGCAGGAGAAGAGGGGGTTCTTTTCTGGACTGTTTAAACCTGCAGAAGTGAGTTTAAAGTAAAGTAACTTTCCACCGTCCTGATCCTGGAGCGGGGTGTCAGGACTGACGTTTGAAGCTCATCGACCAGAAATAAGCGCTTTTGACAGATAGCTAAAAGAAGAGGAACATAGTGATTCCATTGTCTCCTTTCGCACCTTAAAGGAACAAATATTGACAAAATATCTGAAAAAAGGAAACTCTGTTGCTAGACTTGTCTTTAAAAGAAAGATTAAACAGAAGTTTTCCCCCTAGAGGGAGACTGTGAAACTGTAACCAACTCCTGGGAGCTGGCATCTGTTACAGATTACAATCGTGGGAATAGACATCTGACCTTCAGGACAATGTATTCAGAAGCTCTGCTGTGTGCTTTCTATAAAACAAATGCCCTACTGGAACAGTTACATGAGAAGACGAATTTGATGGCTGATTTGATTAGAAATTTTGAACAGGCAGTGGAAAATTTTGAACAGGCAGTGGAAAATTTTGAACAGGCAGTGGGAAAATATGTGGAGCCCGCCCAGGAATTAAATCAGGAGTGTGTCTTGACAGAACAGGCCCTACAGGAATATGAGCTTTCGGATTTGACAAATGAACTTGGAAAAAGCCAGATTTGGAAAGAAAAAGTTTGGTTTGGTTTGGAAATGGGGGGTTGGATAGACCCTCCTATGAAAGTGGACTTTTCAAGTCTGGCAATGGGCCGTGAGATGTTTGGGATTGTGGGGGCTCTTAATTTTGGAGGGATTCTGAAACATGTTTTTAAATACCACATGGAATTTAGTGTCGATTATGGAAAAGGGGCTGATCTGTCGAGAAGGGTCAAAAATACTGCTAAGCTGGAGTTCCCACGAGTGAAAGGAGCAGGAGACAAAGGAAAATACAGCTATAAATATGAAGAAGAGCTGCGGAAGGGACATGGAAGGGACTTAAGGGCCTCGGATATAAGATTACCAGGTTAATGCGCCAGATTGATGGGATAATAAGGACTGACAAAACCCGGGACCAGGAGGAAGGGACGCTGGATGAAGATTGGATTTGTTTTTATTTCTTTTTCACTACTAGGACTGTTTTATAAAATTGATGAATGTTAGAAAAATGTTGGAATGAAATTACTTGGCTTTAGTAAAAATGTTTAAAGAATTATGCAAGAATATTATGGTTATGAGAAGTTGGTAAAAATAAGATTTAAGTTTTAAGTCTCAAGGTTTTTTTTATAGTAAGATAAGATTAAAATAGTTTAAGGTAATGTAACGACAGAATATTATGAAATATGGAAAGGATTTGCTGTGACAATTAACAAACAGGATACAAGGAAGGGGAGGAGGAGGAGGTCAAGGAAAGAGGGTAATGACAGTTGAGGAGTTGAGAATAATGGATTTGTTTTTAAATGTTTTTAAATGTTTGTGGTGTATTTTTGTTTTTTTCTTCCTTATTTTGAATTTGTATATGTATGGTTGGAAGTGGTTTGTTTTTCTCTTTTTCTACTTTGTTTTTCTTTTGTAACTTTAAAAAAAAAATTTTTTCTTTTCAATAAATATCATTTAAAAAACAAACAAACAAAGGAGTCCTTTCCACTCTTGAACAGCTCTTACTATCAGAAAGTTCTTCCTGATGTTTAGTGGGAATCTCCTTTCTTGTAACTTGAATCAATTGGTTTGAGTCCTACCTTCTGGAGCAGGAGAAAACCAGCTTGCTCCATCCTCCACATGACAACCTGTTAGATATTTTTAGGCGGCTATCATAGCTTCTCTGTCTCCTCTTATCCAGGCTAAACTAACCCAGTTCCCTCAACCATAAGGCATAGTTTACAGACCCTTGATCATCTCAGTCGTCACATGTTCCAGCTTGTCAATATCCTTCTTAAATTTTGGTGCCCAGAACTGGACACAGTACTCCAGGTGTGGTCTGACCAAGGCAGAATAGTATAGTACCCTGACTTCCCTTGATAGAGACACTATACTTCTGTTGAAGCAGCCTAGAATAGCATTAGCTTTTTTGCTGCTGCATCACACTGTTGACTCGTGATAAGCTTGTGGTCTGCTAAGACTCCTAGATCCTTTTCACATGTTTGAGTTTATCATGGAAAGTTGTGGTATAAAGGTCAAAAGAAAGATACAAAAGACACAGTTGGTTGCTTTATGTGCCTGTACTTGGTCTGTGGTTTTGGTGTGCTTCAGTGACTCATAAGAACATCAGAAGAGACTTATTGAATCAGGCCCAAAGCCTATTCAGTTCAGCAAACTGTTCTCAGAGTGGCTAGCCACTCTGACATCCTCTGGGATGTCTGCAAGCAGGAAGTGAGTGAAGCAGCACTTCTCACCACCACCTTTGACTCCCAACAACTAGGTATTCAGAGGCTTACAGCCATTGCGGCCAGTAACCTTTGATAGTCTTATCCTCCATGGATTTGTCTACTCCTCCCTGAAATGAGGCATTCTCTGTGGTGGTACCCTGGCTACAGAACTCTTCCAAGGGAAATCAGACAGTCCTCCTCTTAACCTGCATTCAGGAAACATTTGACTTTTCTTCTTATTTTATTGAATGCAAAATCAAGCATAGAACAAAATAATCACAGAAAGTAGGTAGGAAATATCAAAGCAGAGAGAAAACGGGGACGGGTGGAGAGACATCCATAATACAGTCCAGTCCTTTAAAATATATTTTTATCTAGGCCCCTGGTCTACAGTTTATGAAGGTTTTACACTGCTGGTTTTTAATAGCTGCCTGCAACATGTTATAATGTTGTCATACATTGTTTTTGTCTGAGTTTATCATTGGGAGCTGCTCTGAGTTCCTTAGGGACGGAAGGGTAGGTTATAAATTTGAAATACTAATATCATAGACTAGGGATGAATGAATCTGTCCGTTTCAATTCTTCTTACTTCCTTATTTTTTCAATCTTTAGTTCATTTCTCCACATTTCTGCATGTCGTCATGAAAATCCATCAGCATTCTCCTAATATACACAATTTGAATGCAGTTTTACCTAATACACATTTCTGCACATTTTCCTTAATTTTGCATGTTATTTTCATTAATATATACATTTTAAAGCACACTTTAACAAATTTGTACACAAATTTAGAGAAATGCAAATCTTGAAGTATGTGTTTCAGTTCACATGTGGGAAGTGCAAATTAGGCCTATTCAACTTTAAATGCAATTTGAATAAAATTTCCTCCCAGTGTCTGCTCAATGAAAATATTGTGGCCTGTCCCAGTTGCTCCCAGGGTAGGTGCCACTTTTGCCCTAAATTGCATCACTCACATAAATGTATACACATGTAGAGAACGTTCAGACAAACTCGGTTCCCACCAGTCACCTGTTTCTAGATTTTTTGCTAGGAAAAGACACATCCATTTGTGTGCATAGGTCAATCAACCACAACTTGACTGCAGTGAAGAAGTAATCCACAGTTTATATTCTTCAGCACGAGACTGGAAAACGGTTTCTTGACAGTAAAGTCCCTCACTTCATTTAGCTTTTTTTTTCCCCACCAGGAAGCATTTCTGGAAAAGGAGTGGCAATTGATGGAGACATTCCATTGTTGTTGTCTCTATAAATTCTTCTCTGAGGGCCAGCACAGACAATCACAGAAGAGACAAAAGGTGCAGTATGTGTGAGTGAAGGTGAAGCAAAGAATTGGACTATCTGAAAGTGCGACTGCCCCATCTTCACAATTCTTGTGGTATGTTTGTATTTCAGAATCTCTGTCCCCAGTAAATGGAAAATTTATAGATAGAAAATTTATTGTGGGTTCAGGGCTCAGCTCTGAGCTGAAAAGAGGGGGGTGAGGAATGCATATGGGAATAATAATAATAATAATAATAATAATAATTTATTATTTGTACCCCGCCCATCTGGCTGGGTTTTCCCAGCCACTCTGGGCGGCTTCCATAGAAACCAAAAATACACTAAAATATCACACGTTAAAAACTTCCCTGAACAGGGCTGCCTTAAGATGTCTTCTGAATGTCAGGTAGTTGTTTATCGCTCTGACATCTGATGGGAGGGCGTTCCACAGGGCGGGCGCCACTACCGAGAAGGCCCTCTGCCTGGTTCCCTGTAGCTTTGCTTCTCGCAATGAGGGAACCGCCAGAAGGCCCTCGGCGCTGGACCTCAGCGTCCGGGCAGAACGATGGGGGTGGAGACGCTCCTTCAGGTATACTGGGCTGAGGCCGTTTAGGGCTTTAAAGGTCAACACCAGCAACATATGGGAAGGCCAGTGCTGGTGCATGGTGCTTGATAGAGTAGCAGCATGAAAGCAGGTCCTTATCTTACTGGACTGGGATCTTTTAATTTCCAAGTGAGTTCGAAAGAGCCCTTCCATCCAATGGGCCCTGGGTCATTCTTACAGCCATCATAGTTTCCCCAAAGTTCAAAGAAGTTCCGTCTTTCTAGGACACTGTAAATTCTTATTTTTAAAAAACAACAACAAAACACTATGGTGGCTGTCACAAAACATGGCAGAACTGAGGCAACAACCTTCTATAACTGAACATGCTGAGAGCCTTGCTCTTAAGATTCTATTCACTTTAAAGATACAGTAGTGCATGTACATATGGGGTGTGTTCACAAAGGGGACTGCGGAATAAGAGAAGAGGATTCATGTAAGTGGGGAGTGGTCCCTGTGCAACTGGGTGTTTAAAAGGGAAGGAGGGGGCAGGGGGAGTGCACAATAGGAGAAAGGAGAAAGTATGGAAATGGGGGTGAAGTGTATGCAAGGGAGAGTTGAGAAAAAGGAGGAGGAGGGTGGAGGGGGAAAGTGAGTGAGGATGAAAATAGAGTGCAAAGGGGGTTGCAAAAGAGAGACAGACAGAGTAGGAGGCATAGGACTAGATTTGAAGATGAACGCAAAGGCATGGAAGGGTCTGAAAAAGAGGAAGGGATGGTGGCTTTCTAACTGGCCAGAAAAATGAGCGTAGTAATCACATGGGGTGGGAAGAGGAAGCTCTAGCTCAGGCTTCCTCAACCTCGGCCCTCCAGATGTTTTGAGGCTACAATTCCCATCATCCCTGACCACTGGTCCTACTAGCTAGGGATCATGGGAGTTGTAGGCCAAAAACATCTGGAGGGCTGAGGTTGAGGAAGCCTGCTCTAGCTGGTTAATATGGGGAGAAGGGGAAAGGAGTTGGTAAGCTGAGTGAGCGGGGTACAGCCCCTAGTTTAAAAATATGTGCATTTTTTAAGCTGCCTTGACCATTTTTATTTTTGAAAGCTGAACAGAAAGGATTGAAATAAACCATTAATAACGAAATAACCTTTTAAAAACTTGATCTTTCTCTCTCTCTTTCCACCCAGGGAACTCTGAGCTGTCCATAACTTGTGAAGTTAAGGTGACATTCCAATGTAAAAATGTAATGAGAGCAGACCAGACTGGGGTGGAAACTATACACATATTAAAAAACGCTATGAAAATACAGTGGTGCCCCGCAAGACGAATGCCTCGCAAGATGAAAAACCCGCTAGACGAAAGGGTTTTCCGTTTTTCGATGCGCTTCGCAGGACAAATTTCCCTATGGGCTTGCTTCGCAAGACGAAAATGTCTTGCGAGTCTTGAGATTTTTTTCGCTTCCCCCCCCTTTTTCTAAGCCGCTAAGCCACTAATAGCCTTTTAGCCGCTAAGCCGCTAAGCTGCTAAGCCTTTAATAGCCGCTAAACCGCTAATAGCGCTAATCCGCTAAGCCGCTAATAGGGTTGCTTCGCAAGACAAAAAAACCGCTAGACGAAGAGACTCGCGGAACGGATTAATTTCGTCTTGCGAGGCACCACTGTACATTTTTTTAAAAAAAAATGAAAAATATATTGAATTTGCCATAGCTCACCATCGCCACTTAGTGTCACATTTGTATAATGCACTTTACAACACACTTAAAACGTGTGTTGTATAGCTGAGTCCTAGGTATACTTTGTATTTTCAGTTGTGTGTGTCATTGTCTAATATCAAAAGTGACCAGGAGTAGCTGAAAGCTATGGTTTTCTCTTTATGAACTCTTGATCTTATTGACTTCTTTCTCTCATGCTTTTCTAGCTGCCATTCTGAGATTTGTACGAAGTATGGCTGAGAGAGTTTGAGAGATCAGAATGATTCACATCCCAAGTGCCCTTGCACATAACTCGTCACACCACCACTCCTTTTAATTACTATTTGCTGCTTGTGTCTGCACAGACAATCTCCACCCACAAGCAGTAATTTGACCCCTTGCATTTCATGTGCAGACGTGTCATTACGGGTGCAAAACTTTCAGTAGGTGTCCATGGGGAAGAATTTATGAAAAACATCTCAACCAGTTTTACCAGGCCAGTAAAGGCCAATGGGTTCCTTATCCCAGTGTCCGGCATCTAAAATGTATATCTGCTTTTGGCACAGGATTTCTTCATATGAGGCATCTGATACTAGTGGTGCATCTGAAATTAGCAGCCAAATTTCTTCCTGGCTTTTGAGGTTCTCAGTTATTCAGTCTTGTTTCTGGAGCCAGTTTTTGTTTCTGAATTTTGTTACAAAATGCATGTTCAGCTTGTTATTGATTTAAATGCCTTCCGTTCCCCTCTGATTCCTTCCTCCCCCCCATTACATTACCTAGGCACATACATACAATGGCAAAACACCCCCCCTTAAAAAAATTTTTATATGATTTGTACACCTGATTGCATCAAGATTATTTCTGTGAGTTGAGGCAGTGTCAAATGTTAGTTCTACTCAGAGTAGACCCATTTAAATTAATGGCTAGGGTGAACTGAGGCCCATGAATTTTAATGGGTCTACTACTCTGAGTAGAATTGAATTGGCCCAAACCCTTATTTCCCATTAGCTGCTAGATTAGCGAATGGAATGAGTAAAAGTATAAAGAAATTGTGTACAGTGGTACCTCGGGATGCAAACAGGATCCGTTCCAGAGCCCCGTTCGCATCCTGAATAGAATATAAGACGCAACGGCACGTCTGCTCGTGCACGGGTCATGTTTTGCCGCTTCCGCGCATGTGTGTGATGTCATTTTGGGCGTCTGCACATGCGCGAGCGGCAAAACCCAGAAGTAACACGCTCCATTACTTCCAGGTTGCCATGGAGCGCAACCCGAAAGCGCTCAACCTGAAGCACATTCAACCCGAGGTATGACCGTATTGGGTTTTATAATTTATTTATTTTTCTTTGCATAAAAGGTATAATTTTTTTAAAAAGTGAAGAAAAGAAGAAAGACTATAGTACAGTGGTACCTCGGGTTAAAGATGCTTCAGGTTACAGACTCCACTAACCTAGAAATAGTACCTCAGGTTAAGAACTTTGCTTCAGGATGAGAACAGAAATCGTGCGGCGGCAGCGCAGTGGCAGGGGGAGGCCCCATTAGCTAAAGTGGTACCTCAGGTTAAGAACGGTTTCAGGTTAAGAACGGACCTCCAGAACGAATTAAGTTCTTAACCCGAGGTACCATTGTATATCACTATAACAAATGCTACCAGTTAACAATTACATTTTTTTAACCTACTGTATATTGTAGAAATGAGTTCCAAATTGCATTATCTTTCTCCATGCAAAGTCTACATCTATAAGCAATCTGCTCATAAATGGCAAGTGTAGACAGGTCTTCAATCCACGGAATAAACGGAGCCGTATTTTGATCTTTCCAATGCAGCAATATCAGTCTCTTGGCCACTGTAAGGGCATGGAGAATCTATTTATGTTGTCCAGTTGTCAAATTCCATGTAGTAGTTATATAGTTCAAAAGCATATTATCCTCTGTAGATTTTACATTTTTCCGCACCGTACAGTCATAATTATATAATCCACTACTTCCTCCCAAAACTTACTAAGCATGGGACATTTTAAAGACATGCTTTCAAGAAGCATTATCCTTATTCGTGAGATTTAAGGGTTTTCCTATTGAATGTGGTTATGTTATCGAATAAGATCCTTTCAACGCAGGAGGAAAAATTGGGATTTTATTTATTTATTTAATGGCATGTGTACGTTGGTAATGTGGCAGGTGGAGGGAAGGTACAATTGATATGAACACTGCAGCACACTGCATGCTCCAATTCCAGAATTAATTTCAAAAATTCTCAGAGTTAAACCAGAATTCAGAAGGAGAAGAATGCAAGTAGAGTAAACTCATAGTACAAAAAATGAACAGAATGGATGAAACCCTTTCATCCCTATCTGACACATGGAGGAAATGGCAGGATTATTAAGGATGACAAGAAATGGATAAAATATGGGACACTTGAACTGTAGCTGTTTTGGTCCTCCTGCTATACCATGAATCTGGCTCAAAGTACATTCAACAGATTGTTGCTCCTGGCTTCTAGATGAAGACTACACTTACCCATTCTTAGTCCATAAACAATAAGTATTTGTGGTCCCCATTACAATAATTGTCAGCCTTTTTTATCACATGCATTCTGAGAATGCAGAGTACATATTTTTCCCTGCTGCAAAACCAACTGAAGTGAAAGCTGCACCATTGGCACATTCTCGAAGTGAAACTTGGCTGCAAGGCACAAAATTAGTCACTGAAAATTACCTTAAAATATAGGCAAAGGATTGTTAGATCATTGAACTACTGCGAATCTAATGTGCCATAGAATCTAATGCGCACCTCCGTTTTCAAAACCTCAAAACCAAAAAAGGATTTGCTGTGTCAGCGGCGTTTTTCAAGCTTGCAATCGAATCTAATGAGCCATCAAATCTAATGTGCACCTTAATTTTCGTGACATAATTTGGCCCAAAAATGTGTGCATTACGTTTGAGTAAATACGGTATATACTGTTGGTTAAAGGAAGAGTTGCTTTCCATCCTAGAATGAAATCTGAAGACATACGGTATGTAATGTTGAACACAGTAAGATGAAGCAGTTTACTTGGCAAAGACTGCAAACTATTATTATCGAGTCTGGACCTTCCTTTTCAGTTTGCTGTAGTCCACACTGAATGAATATAATCTGGTACTAGTTTTGGGGTCTCACCTTGTTCCACGTGGGGAGGGGTGAGAAATTTGGTTCAGTTTGCAATTAAAGACGGACTAACACACACTTCCTAAAGCATTATGTGAACTGAGAAACAGCCATCAGCTCTCTAGCCAAACAATGTGTGCAAAAATGCACCTACTGGCTTGCAAAAATGCATTTTAGTAGGTGAAATTGTTTGTATATTATACAAAACTGCATACAAAACTGTAATATAGAAGACATTTTCACACAAAAATACTGATTAATTTTCATAAGGACTTTTTAAAAAAAATCACAAATTGATGTGAAAATGTGGAGAACTGAACTTCAGACTGGAAATTTTAGAAACATTGACAGTCTCATCCATCCCTAGTTCCAAGGTTCCAGGTTGCTCTTTTGTCTCCTAGGAGATCTCAGAGCAGCAACAAGCAAGGTCAAAATAGGAACTAACTATCAAGGCACTTTGTATGCAGGCCTGCACCAGTCTCTCCAGCTCCCAGAAATATTGAAAAGGGGAATCCAAGCTTGTTCACCTGGCTGAGCACAAGATGGAAGTAAGGGGAAAGCAGAAGATGCATTATCAACTTTTCCTCCTCCTCCCTCCCTCTCCATTGTTGTTGTTGTTGTTGTTGTTGTTGTTGTTATTTTACCCACCCAGGACAGGTTACATTTAAACACAATATTAAAAACCGTTTAAAACCATTTGCAATCACAAAAATATGGTGAGTCCTTATTTACACCCTTCACCAAAAAATGGTCACAGAGCAGTTTGCAAAAAATAATAGTGAAACATAATACACAATAAGCAAAGCATTACAAGGATTCTTATAAATTGCATAATTTATAAGCCTCCCTGCTGCCCTGCCCTGCCCCATCTTCATCCAGATAAACGACAGCAATGCTAGCATCTGGAGGGAGGCTCCATTGTTCTGCCCACACCATACCAGCCACTAAAGCCTATGATATCTTTTTTATGAAGCAATTCCACACATCCAGGGAAGTTCTAGAATCCTCAAGACACCATATCGCTCAAGAATTCACAATGAAGCAGAGGTATGGACATGTGAAACTGTGTTGTACTGAATCAAGCCACAGAACCATCTAGCCAAATGCTGTTAACTTTGGTAGCAACTCATCCATACCACCTGATTCCTTTTAAAAGCCACGGAATTACCAAATCTTACACATGCAAACATGTGCTTTGCCATTGAGCTATGGTTCTTTCTCATATTAATCTCACAACTTGGATTTTTGCATGAAAGAGCTATTGGTCATCCTGCACAGCTTCCAAATCCAAAATGACAAAATAGGAAATTTTATGTATGTGATGTGCAAAATACTGATTTGAGTAATGGGAAACCATATTGCGTTGCCACCCTTGATCTTCTGCAAATGAGTAACTCTCAGCCAGAGATGCGCTTTCGTACAGTGAGTCAGCATTCTTCTTTCCAGTTAACTCTGATCAGGAACGGAGTGTAAGATGACGCTGGCAAGGCATTTCCCTTTAATATATTTTCTCTTTGCAGACTAAGAGCAGTGCTATGTGGAATGCCCATTGCAGGGACGCTGAGAGGAAATTCCAGAGCTATGCTGCTATAACCTGTTCCCTTCTCAAGAATGATTAAATATGCATTGTCAAAGCATATGATCCTCTGCTGTGGCACTCTGCTAGAAAACTCACATTGATTGGTTTCAAAAAAAGAGCCATCTCCTGCCTGAGTCATAACTTCTTATCTGGAAACCATGGTTCCTAATATCAGTTATAAGAGCAGAAGTGGTATCGTGCTTAGCATACTAAGTTGGACTGGGTCAAATTTTTGAGGATGTTGTAAACTGGATCGCTTGTCAATTCCATTAATGCTCTCTAGAGCAGAGATGGAGAACTTGTGTCCCTCCAGATGCTGACTGCACCCCCACCCCCAGTGCTGTCCATAGACCATGTTGGCTGTGACTGAAGAGAGATGGAGTCCTACTGGAAAAATCCTACTATCTGCAGGAGGGCAACTTTGCATTTAACCTACTGTCTGATTGCCACAGCAGTTAATATCTGGGAGAAATCTATGGGGTGTCAAGATCCAGGTTTTCATCACATCGCATATCTAAACCTTGTAGTGACTGTGAGATGAATCCAGTGGGGTGTGCGAAATCAGGGGCAGGGCTAACAGACATAGTCCCCCTCTCCCTCCATGTATGCAAGGCTCTATTATGTGACCTGCTTATTGAGCCTTTATCCTGATTTGCTTGATAATTAATATGTCTCTGAGTCACCAGTGGTCTTTTATTAATTGATTTATTATTATTCTATTAAATCAATAACAAACAAGACTAGCAGGGTATTCCAACAAATTCAACAAAAGGTGGGGGAACCAACTGAGCACGGTCAGGTAAAAGGTAAGGAGATGAAAGATATCCATAAAAATTATCAGAAGAAATTTGAACAAAAGAGGCAATACGGCAGTATTCCAAGACATAAACAGTGGGTCAACAACTCGTACAGTCAAAAACACTGAGCATTTGTTCCAATTTGTCAGGAAGTTATACAGCAATGGGCATTCATCCTGCCTAGGGTGCTCAAGCATCTTCCCATTATTAATTTGTTCATCCTACTTTTCAGTGCATTTCCCCATCATTGTCCTTGCTGCACAAATTCTGATTCTTTTTGAAGTGCATTTTGTTGCACTACAGAGACCGAGCACTTTAAATCCACTTTATGGAGCAAACCTAAATTTTGAATCCTTCCTGTAAAATACTAACAGATTGGATATGCCCATTGTCTACTCATCAAGGTTAACTTGTAAAGATGGCTGAAGAAATTATGGGAAGTATTTACTTATTTACTTTACTTACTTTACTTACTTACTTATGGCATTTATATCCCAACTTTTCCTCCAAGGAGCTCAAGGCACCATACATTGTTCTTCCCCTCTTCATTTAATCCCCACAACCACCCTGTGAGGCAGGTTGGGCTGAGAGGCAGTGACTGGCCCAAGGTCAATGGGGGGGAGGGATACCTGAATGTGCACTAGGCGCCACAATTTAAGGGCCCCTCCAGAGCGCTGCTTATTAGGTTTTAGGTGTATTCTGCAACATGTCATTGACACAATAATAGTGCACTAGTGATGAATTTATACTGGACCATACATACATCATTCTATTTTATTAGCTGTTCTGTGATGCTTCCCCAATGTTACTGCATTATTGCCATCGGGAGGGGCACTCCTATACCATAGCACAACAAACACAAGACAAAAAATAAACCGGAACATTTGTGATAGAAAAGGATACGGGATTTGAGCAGGAGGTTACAGGGCATGCAATGACCGGAAGCAAAGCAGTTTGCCTGACCTGGAACCTTTGCAGAGCCAAACAGTGTTGCAAGCAGGATCATGTCTAGCCACCTGACACCATCATAAGCCCAAATCATATTGAATAAAAAGGGTGTGTGGAGGGACCTTAAGATGCACCACTCTAATATGTCTTCAAGGATGTCACCGACAAAACACTGGGGGAAATAGAGTTGGGAGGAATGTTTAGCCAAACTATTTCACAGAGCTGTAATGAACGAGCTGATCTCTTTATGTTCAAGTTAGAGTAGCAGGATGATCTATGGATAGGTTTTATGAGAAATGCAATCCATTTGTTTTGCACTGCAATGCTCAGAATGAGGACTGTGTTACTGCAAACTGGCAATATAAGATTGTATAATTTATCTTCTTGTTTTTGCTTGGTTTTCTTTCTTTCTTCTGTGTAATTTAAATTTGAAAAATAAGGGAGGGAGGAAAAGAAAGTACGTATTGAGCGAGGGTCATGGAGTCCCAATTTTCTGGCTGCTGGATGATCCATAACGTCAAACACATCCCAACACATTTCTAAATATCTGTCCCCAGATGTGTCCTGGATTAATTTATTGGATCGTGGCTCCAGCAACAGCCAAGACAAAATAGCTATTGAACCATAGTTTTATGATTAAATAAATAAAAGGCATACTGGAGTGGAAAACAGAGCAATAAGAATTAAAGGTGTTTATTCAGCTCTTAGCAATAAAACAACTCTAATAACTTTTCAGTGTTCAGTTGCCTATACAGAATGCTTGGTAAATACTGCTCTTCTAATAGAGACCACAATTTTGAGAGATGGTAAGCTTAAAAATAAAATAAAATGCATGGTGCCATTTCCAGAGTGCCATTTGCATTATTGATAGTATTATCAAGTACTGTACAGCAAAAGATTTACAAAACTGTGCAGTTAATGCAGAACAAAACATTTCCTATCCACATGAGTATAGATACTTGTGAGTTTCACTTGTGAGTTTCTCAAGTTTCTTGTTTTAACTGAAGACTTGGTCTGTTCAGAGACAAAATATAAAGAATGTCAGGTTATATTCTTAACAACACAAAGCACAGGGGTTAGCCTTAGCCTAACACAGCCTTGGCACCTGTCAAGGCTTCTACTTTCAGTATGTCATACTGCACTAATGCGAATTTAGAGGAGTTGAGAAGAGATGGAAATGAGCAGGATTAGGCAAAACCAGTTCCCTTCATTCAACTTTATTAAGGTGGCAATGTTGGGTAAGCAATCCTATGGCTAGAAAGCCACAGACCCCAATCCACAGCACCCAAATCATCCTCATCTCAGGAGAGGAGAGAGAAAATACTGGAAATGTCTTGTAGGAAAGACCTATCTTTATTTTACCTTGCTCCCTTCCACTGGAGCCAATAGGATTTACATCTGACTAGACATGCACAGGATTGTTCTGTTGGTTAATGAGTTTTGTGTCTTCACAACTACCCTTTGGAATCCCCCCCCCTGAATAATAGGCAGGTACAGTCTTTGTTGGGACGCGGGTGGCACTGTGGGTTAAACCACAGAGCCTAGGACTTGCCAATCAGAAGGTCAGCGGTTCAAATCCCCATGATGGGGTGAGCTCCCGTTGCTCGGTCCCCGCTCCTGCCAACCTAGCAGTTCAAAAGCACGTCAAAGTGCAAGTAGATAAATAGGTACCGCTCCGGCGGGAAGCTAAACGGCGTTTCTGTGCACTGCTCTGATTCGCCAGAAGCGGCTTAGTCATGCTGGCCACATGACCCGGAAGCTGTACCCTGGCTCCCTCGGCCAATAAAGCGAGATGAGCGCCGCAACCCCCGAGTTGGTCACAACTGGACCTAATGGTCAGGGGTCCCTTTACCTTTACTTTACGGTCTTTGTTGTCTCTTCACTGCCTACTGAAGGCCTTTCTTTTCCAACAAACCTTGAGTATTAGAACTGTTTTTAGGTGTTTAAATCATTTCATTGCTTGTTTGTTTGCTCTCCTGGACATCTTTGAGATGAAAAGTGGGATATAAAGTTTAACAACAACAACAACAACAACAACAACAACAACAACAACACATCGTTATTACTTCAATTTATAAAACACTTTTCGTTCAACATTTATATTTAAAGGATGGCATCCAATGTTAGTCATACCCAGAGTAGACCCACTGGATTTAATGGACATGACTACCTTAAATGTATTAATATCTATGGGTCCACCCTTGACTGTGACTAACACTGGCTACAACTCAACTACATCTGCCTTACAAAACAAAGCAAGCAGCCACAGTTCAGTAAGCAATTTAAACTATCTGAAACATAATGAAAATGCAGTCAGCAGTCCCGTAATTACACTATAAAGCTTAATAAAATATTTATACTAAAACAGCAGAGGACAAACATTAATATTCTATTTGAATATGTGAGTTTTCAAAATTCATTTGAATTTGGGAAGACATGAAGCCTCACAGGTCAGCCCAAGGAGGGAATTCCAAAGTCCGGGTGCTACCACCAAAAGGACTCTGCCCCTTGAAAATAAAAGTCCTACTCACTTTATTTGTGTATGAAGGGAAGGGAGTGCTCATTATGGGAACATACTGGTTGAGAAACTGAAAGGAACTGAAAAGTACAAGGAGAATCTTGCTCCAGTATCTAAGAAGGCAATGTTCTAAACTTGTTCCTTAATGGTCAGAATACTACACTATGTTCTGAGAGCTGGATTTTTTAAAAACAGTAAACCATAGTCATATCTCTAACATTATGGTTCCATGTGTGGTGAGTGAGGTGGGTGATGTATGTGTATCAGTGAAAGGCTGGTCGACCAGGGCAAATGGTGTTATCTATATAAAATAAATTTTGATGATATGCAAAGTAGCAGAGTAGCTTACAGCTAGGAAGCTAAATAACTCTTCTAGGTGATTGATAGTTTCTTTGTAAAGACTATACAATGTCCAGAATCTTTATATTCAAAAGAACTTTACTTTCATAAACATATAACTAAGAATATATTTACAATCTCATGCTTATTCAAACATGGGTATGTTCTCAGTTGAATTGTAGTCTGAAGTCTACTTACTTAGACTTACAAACAAAATTGTGTTGAGACTTGCACCAAAGTTTTACCTACCTCAGGGCTTACTGAGAGCTCCTGCACAGGTTTCTCCCTATTAACGTTTAGGGATCTTCTGCTATCTGTTTCACATCAGACAGATCATATTGACACCATACCATCCTCAGCAGTATCCTGAGCAGCCTCTCTTAGCAGCCATTCTCCCTCACACACATAGAAGAGAAAGCAGTTAAAAACAACAGTTACTGGAATAACAGTCACAATAGAATGGAATGCCTCTCTCATGTGACTCAACAGTCAGCCAATCATATGAGAGCCACTGCTTGAGCGGGGGGCTATGTTTAAAGTACACAGTAATTTAATATAAATAAATATTCCCATTTCAGGAACTTAAATCATTATCCTTAACTTGTCTGTCATTGGCTCAGGCTCTACCTACTGTTGGCCTCGCTCCCTTCTGCCCTATCGGTCACAATGGGCTCCAATCACCAGTGGAGTGCCTATATGATTGATCATGTTTTTAAGGAATGAAATTGCATGCAAGAATCTTTCCAAGACTTGAAAGTGACACAGTAGATGGACTTCACAGGCTTAAAAGCAACACAACCTTATTTTATTTATTTTTTCCACAAGGAGAAAGGGAAGATGGGGAAATATTTTATAGATTTTGACAAACACCATCATCAAAATGAGTAAACTTTTGAGACTGTGAGAAGACATACCAACAATCTACATCCCTAAATAAAGATCCAGGTATGAAGATGCTGAATCAGATCATTGGTCCCATAACTTAATATTTTGTTGAGTGGCAGAAGCTCTCAAAGTTTTCAGGCAGGGGGTCTCTCCCAACCCTAACAGGAGATGCTTAGGACTTTCTGCCTCCAGGGCAGGTGGCTCTTCCACTAAGCTATGGTGGAGGAATGAGTTTTCATCCCCTAGCAACAGAATAAGCCAATAACTAGGAAGGGAGCAAGAGCAACCACAGAAAACTACAGAGACAACCACAGCTGCATTCATCTCTGGTACATGTTTAAGAAAGAAACTTCCCCATACATTTACCACTTGGTAAATTGAGGTGTCTTCACCCCATGTCTCATTACTTCATGAATGCATGTCCAAATACATGAACTGCTTTCACTGGAAAGCATCAGTGCAGATATGAAGTGGCATGAAATTTCTGTCCCCTGTGGTATTTGATTGGCAATGACTCAGTCACACGTGCAACTTGCCATCACTTAATGTTGCAGTCATGAAATGATAGGAAGGTAGTTGTGAAGGCTCAACAAAGCTGCTATATAAAATGTTGGTGATGTATTCTATTGGAAAACTGTCTAGAGTGGTAGCCATGTTAGCCTGTTGCAGTAAAAAGGAAAAAAAAGGTCTTGTGGCATCTTGAATGTATTATGGCATAGGTGCTTAATCAACAGGCAAGATCAGAGGGCTAATGCTTTACTGTGAAAATGCGGATTAATTTCACTGCTTCCTACTAGGGAGTAAGTGGGAAACAACATGATGCTTGGCATAGCATTACCTCTGAACTGGAAAGCGTGACTTGTTTCGCTCCGAACCAACCCTGATCTTGGCTTTCTGTTTGTGGCTTGTTGGTTTAAGTGAAACCAACTGGAATCTCCAGTTTGGATGTAACACTAAAGACTGTAGTTGGTTGTGCTCACTAGTGGCAAGCAGCAGGGGAAGTGATCAGCACATTCACAGCAATCCGTCAACCGCGGTTTATTGTGACACATTACAGTGATCAACATGCACTTGGGGTTGCAGGTTGTGTTGCGTATATGGCTGGTCTGCTGAGGCCCATCCAAGCTGCCAAAAGATGTTTCTACCCCCACCCTACCCCTTGCATCTATAAGCAGGTGGATGGGATGTCTTTGGGACAGGTTGAATTTGAGACTGGGAGGCAACTGGAAGGAGAGGAAACCAAAGAACCTGTCAAAACCCTAACCCCCCAGACAAATCTTATCTGAGTTGGTCCTTAAGATTATGGCGATGTCTTCCTTTTGGAAGGTAGGAAGTCACATGACACAGTCAGGCCTCTGGCTCAGATGGCCTAGCAGTGATGGGCAAGGTGGCTCTCCAGGGTTTCGGACGAGGCTGGGGATGGAACCTGCGTGCAAAGCAGATGCTCTACCCTGTGAGCCCTTTCCCCTTGGTCAGCCAGGACCTCTGGCGGGTCTCTTTGGAGGAACAGGCAAGCGTGTGTGCAGCTGCGGCGGCAAAAGGTGCAGGGACTTTTGCTCGTTGGGGGGTTTGCCATGCGGAGGGATCACCAGCCTTCCCTTTTTTGTCCTCCCCGCCCTTGTGCCGCTTCACTAGGGTGGGTAGTGGGGGGGGGGGAGTTCCTGAAGGCGCAGAGACACCCGCGCGCAAGCACGCACACGCACACACACACACACACACGACTCCTTCACACGCGTGCAGAGCGCCGCTCTCTTGCCGCTCCACGGCTGCCACTGCTGCTGCCGCCGCCGCCGCTCTTGCTGGTTACGCCAGCCCGCCCGCCCGCCTGCCGCCCGCCGTCTCCCCTCGCCTCCGATTCTGCGCACACAGACTGTCATTCTGCACAGCACAGTTTTTTCGCTCCGCTCGGAGAGCGAGTGGTGGAGAGAGAAAACACACACACACACACACGGAGGGAGAGCAGCTCAGGAGCCCGGCGAGAGAGCGAGGCGCCCGAGTCCCGCAGCCCAGCATGGCTTCGGGGGACCTTTACGAGGTACGGCGCCGGAGCGGTTGTCCGGGGCTTGGCCGGAGGGCAGCCGGCGAAAGGAGGCGGGCAGGCAAGCAGGCAGGGAGGAAGAGAAGGAAGGAAAGGAGGAAGGAAGGAGGGAGGGAGGGAGGGAGAGAAGGAGGGACGCCCCGGCCAAGGAGGCTGCGGGGGCTTGTTTGGCCAAGGCGTCTTTTCCGCGCGGGGTCTTTCTCTCGGGGGGCGCCGGGGGGTCTCCTTCTCCCCCTCTGGAGTTCCTGGAGGAACTGAGAGGAAATGGCCAAGGTGGAGAGGAGGCGGAGGGGGGTGGCAGATCTGCTGCTGCTGCTGGCGGGAGGGATGGATGAAGCGCTCCCTCCCTGCTTTCTCTTTCGAGACCCCCCCCCCCCGCCACTTTCCACGGGGTATGAGCTGAGTAGGCCTTAGAGGAGAGTTAGCGGGCCAGGGGGAGGGGGCACCCCAGCCGGACAGCCCCCGGGGCGGAAAGTCCAGGTAAAGTCCTCTGGACTGCTCCTCCTCCTCCACCGCCCTCGGAACCCAACCCGGTAACAGGAAGGAGAGAGGAGAGAGGGTTGCGCCCCGGCTTGTGGTGGCGCAAAGTCTTGGCAAAGAGGGAGGCGCTGCCTGTTTTTCTTTCTCTCGGGGGCTTCCCAGGCTTGCCCCCAGGGGGCGGATGTAAGCCACGGGGGAGGGGCTTGGTGAGGAGGAGGTGGAGCCTCTGGTGGACACCAGTGCATGCTGGGGGATATTGTGGGGGGAGGGTGCACTCAAGGATGCTGGGGTTGGGAGGTGGGCTGTCAAAGTTTGGTGGGGTCTTGAGAGAGGAGGTCTTTGGAGAGGCAGGTGTCCCTGCATTGGGTTAGCCTGGAGGTCTTCAAGTGAATTGCTTTGATCAAGTCTTCTGAAGAAAGTGTCACTCATTCTGTGCCGGTTTATTAGTTTATCATACAGCATTAAAGTGCAAAAGGAGAGAGGGATTTGCCCTCTCCCCACCATGTTAACTTGAGTAGATCCTATTAGATTGTTCCATGTGGATTAGAGGATGCTGCCTGTGTTTGTCCCATGATTTTGGACTAGAGGAAGTAAGTGCAGAAAGTAGCACACCAACTATCTGGTTGGTCAGGGGTCTGAAGTCCTGAATTGGGGCATTGGCAACCCAATGGAAACTCTAGATGACCATCTTTGGATCTCACTCCATGTCAGAATTTTAATGGCTGGTCTACACTTTGTACCAAAGCCTCTCCATCCAAAGTGCCACCAAACCTCTACCTCAGATGACACAGGGTTGTATCTATCTAAGTTCTACTCAGTTGACCCATTGAAACTGAAGGGTCTGTTAGTCAGTCCATTCATTTCGGTGGGTCTACTCTATGGGATGCAATCCATAGGGAGTTGCTTTATTTTGATTCATACCAGTTGTTGACTCCATCTGGCTCACTATTGTCTACACCAGCGTTCCCAGATGTGGTTGAACTACCATCTCCCTTGACCATTGGCTAAGGTGGGCTGGGGGTGATGGGAATTGCAGTTCCTCAATACTAGAAGATCCAATGTTGAAAAACACCGGCTGGCCATAGCTTCAGAAAGGGAATGCTCCCAGACCTACCTGGAGATGTTGGAAATAGAACTTGGGACCTTCTACATGGAAAACAAGTGCTCTACCTCAAAGCTACAGCTTTTCCCCAGTCTAAATAAAGCAAATTTAATCTCATAATGTACAGGTACACCGAACTTGATATTGTGTAGCTAGCAACAGCTAGCAACCATCAAGGCTACCAACGGAACAAGTCTGAAAATAATAAAACCCATTTGTTAGAGTTTGACACATAACATGCCTGAGATTTAAATCGGTTCCGATATTGGGTTTACCTGTGGGGCATCTTATGTTCTGATAGCTGTTTTAGACACCACAAAGAAGTGGCAGCAGATGTTCCATAATACAGTCTTGACTTGAGCAATATAGAAGCTCCTAGAAGATTCCCTCTTTTTAAAAATAATGCTCACCCTCCACATAAAGATTATTCAGACAATTAGCAGACTTGTTTGCAGCCAATTAATTGATTAATTAACCAATTCAGTGGATTAATTAGCTAATTCAAATTAATGTTAAAGTCTTAATGGTGATTAATCCCAACTGGAAGTTTGTAGCCTCTCTTCCTAGAACTCCCATATTGATAATGTGTTTATAATAAAATGTAGGAGTGGTATGTTAATGCCTGTAATATTTTGAAGGTAGTTGATGATGTTACTAGTCTCTCTGGTCTGTAAGACATACAAATTATACTTTCTTTGGAAAAATAATATGTGGCAGAGGTGACAACTAATATTAAACACAATGGTTGCAATTCAGGAAACCATGTATCCCACAGTAGATCTTGGTGTCAGGCTCCGCCAAGAAGGTCGGTGAACCATTCCCTAGTTGGCTTTGGGAAATCCGTAACTGCAATTCCAGAAGTCAAATCACCAGATCATATCTATTGCCTGAATAAAGAAATGTATATTAATTATCTCCAGCAGTGCTGACTTCATATGCGTTAGTGCTGCTTAAAGGCCATTTGTAACACCAGATTTTTAAGCAGTGACTGCTGAACCAGAGTTATTTGCACCAATGAAGCTAAGTTAGTGGTATTGATGGCTATTTTTAATGTGGTGGTTTTTAACTTTGAAGGCCAAACTTTTGCTGGATCAAGTTTAGATGCTTGTCTTGAATTACAGCTTTGTGCTCAACCTTTGAGGATTATTAGGATGAGCACTCTGAGAGAAAGGGCAGACAACAAACGTTGGAAAATGGAACAAATGGATTTTTGTACCTCCTGCTCTCCTTATTTGTTTTCTCTATGGAGTAAGCATAGCTACAAGTTGCTTTATCTTTTGTTGGTGTTTTATGGATGATTTAAAGGCACAGGTGTTCAGATATGGATGGAAGAGTCTGGATGCATCTTTAGCATCTGAGTGCCCTTGAGGAGCAATTAAAGTTTTGACCCTTTGTGGTACAACTTGATTTCTTCTGGAGCAAGCAGAATCTCTCAAGGTGACATCAGCTACTCAGAAGTCTGCTCCAATTTATATTGATGCCTTTAGCTTTGCTTGAAGCTTGCATAGGTTTGAGTTTGTAGCCTGCTAGGGAGCTTATTGCATCGGTTTTCTCTCTTCTCCAACTCCACCATTGTTGGTGAAATTCTGCCTATTGATTACTTGCTTGGTTTAATGTGCTTGCTTGGTTTATTGATATAAATATTTGTTTTGTGCTGTGTGAACTTTATTGCAAATATTTACATTTATTTCATACTCTGGAAATATTTCAGCATGAATACGCACATGGGTGCTAAAAGAAAGCATTCATCCTTCTCCATGAAGCTGGCATTGCATTCGTATAGACATTATTGCTATTCCTACTTTTCTTCAGAAATATTCTGAAAATATGTGCGCTTCAGGATTGTGCCTGAGAAGATAGATTGTTGATTATCATACATTCTTCATGGAACATACAAATAATATATCAAGCAGAATTTCTACAAGTAACACTATTAAACTATTGTAGTGAACAACATTCTGGGGAATGGTTGTAGCTCAGTGATAGAACATCTGCTCTGCCGACAGAAGTTCCAGGTTCAACCCTTAACATCTCGAGAGAGGGACAGGAGTAATCCCCATCTGAAACCTTGGGCAGCTGTTGCCAGTCACTGTAGACCAGCTTTTACCAGCCTGATGCTCTAGAGATAATCTAGAGATGTTTTCAACAGCAGCTCTGGGCTGATGGAAGTTTTAGTCTAAGACATGGAAGGGACCAGGTTGACAAGTTCTGGTTTAAACTGAGCTGGATGGATCAATGACCTGACTCTGTAAGACAGCTTCCTATGTTGCTGTTACAGGATACTCAGTCAAAATCATCTTAACATCACAAGTACCTTTACACTGTTTGACTATCTACCAGAATTGTGGATAGGCAGCTTTGCGTATTACTGATTATTGGTTTTTAGGTTGCCTTTTCCCTCAATGGTTGCTTTTACATTAAGTAATATGCAGAATGGAGAACACCTGCATCCATTGTTCACAAGCATAACTAAAACATATCTTCAGATGGATGACATCAGACCATCACCTGTATGTTGGGCAAACTCTTTGCTTATAGCAAGTGTCGGAAATCTTTGGTTGTCCAGATGCTGCTGAACTACAGCTCCCATTAGTCACAACTAACATGGCCAGGGAAGATGGGACACTCTGACGACATCAAACTCTGCGTTTTAAGTAGCTGGGTATCTTTATTTTAACATGCTATACTGGAGAAATATTTTCACATGTCCTTTGGGTTAGTAATGTCCTTATGATGCCCTGTTTAATATTGGAGATTGTGCTTACAGGCTTTTGCTGAAGTGTGGTATAGATGATAGTCATGATGATGATGATGATGATGATGATGATTAGTTTTGTCATAGCCGTAATCTGTAATGTTTGTAAAATTACTTTGCTACCTACGATTACGGTCTCAGTGATCAAAGAGTCATGACTAAATGGAGCACTTTCAGCATCTGCAGTTCATAATTCATGGTGACTTTTTTGTGGCCTATGTATGAGTTCTCAGGAAAATCAGTAAGAGGAGAAATAGCAAGAGATGCCAAGATTGAATTAGGGTGGCGCAAGATAGGGTTTTGTTGTTGTTTAGTCGTTTAGTCGTGTCCGACTCTTCGTGACCCCATGGACCAGAGCACGCCAGGCACTCCTGTCTTCCACTGCCTCCCGCAGTTTGGTCAAACTCGTGCTGGTAGCTTTGAGAACACCGTCCAACCATCTCATCCTCTGTCGTCCCCTTCTCCTTGTGCCCTCAATCTTTCCCAATATCAGGGTCTTTTCAGGGAGTCTTCCCTTCTTATGAGGTGGCCAAAGTATTGGAGCCTCAGCTTCATGATCTGTCCTTCCAGTGAGGATTTAGGGCTGATTTCCTTAAGAATGGATAGGTTGGATCTTCTTGCAGTCCATGGGACTCTCAAAAGTCTCCTCCAGCACCATAATTCAAAAGAATCAATTCTTCGGCGATCAGCCTTCTTTATGGTCCAGCTCTCACTTCCATACATCACTACTGGGAAAACCATAGCTTTAACTATATGGACCTTTGTCGACAAGGTGATGTCTCTGCTTTTTAAGATGCTGCCTAGGTTTGTCATTGCTTTTCTCCCAAGAAGCAGGCGTCTTTTAATTCCGTGGCTGCTGTCACCATCTGCAGTGATCATGGAGCCCAAGAAAGTAAAATCTCTCACTGCCTTCATTTCTTCACTTCTATTTGCCAGGAGGTGATGGGACCAGTGGCCATGATCTTCGTTGTTTTTTTTATGTTGAACTTCAGACCATATTTTGCGCTCTCCGCTTTCTCCCTCAATAAAAGGTTGATTAATTCCTCCTCACTTTCTGCCATCAAGGTTGTGTTATCTGCATATCTGAGGTTGTTGATATTTCTTCCGGCAATCTTAATTCCGGCTTGGGCTTCATCCAGTCCAGCCTTTCGCATGATGAATTCTGCATATAAGTTAAATAAGCAGGGAGACAATATACAGCCTTGTCGTACTCCTTTCCCAATTTCGAACCTAGTGGTTATTTATTTCATTTATGAATCGCTTCCTGGAAATGATTTCACAATACAATTTTTACAAATTCTTTGGAATAATGTCTTAAAACAGTTAAAACAGCTGCATATATATATATATATATCTCAAATCCAGTATCGATCAAACTGGGATAAAAATCTCCTCTTAGAGGTTTTGTTGAAAGAACAAAGTATTGCCTTCTATGCACTATCCAATGGCCATGTAGCAAATGTGGGGAAGGGCTGTTGCTCAGTGGTTGAAGAAAGTCCCTGCTTCTGTTCTCAGCTTTTCCTGCTAGAAGTGAGAGAAAACCCTGCCTGGAACTCTGGGGAGCTACTGCTAGTCAGGGTAGATAGTACTGACCTAGCTGGACCAGTGGTCTGACTACCTATAAGGCCGCTTCCCATGTTCCTAAATGCATGTGAAGATGACACTTGTGGTAGATAATAGCTGCTACCCTTCCATTAATAGGTGTGGAACTTGTGAAGTTGTGCTGTCTACCCTTCCATTCAATAGAAATGGCACATGTTGGACAAATCCAGTTTTTGAGCCTGTGCCAGTAAGTGCTGCTATTGCATACTCTCCAACTAAAATTGTTCTCATTCATTTGAAAGGGGGGGGGGGAATTAAGCACACGCTTAACTTCACAGCTGAAATCAGTGGAACACAATAGCGCTTGATGTTGAATAGATTGTGCCCCGTGCTTTTAATCTTTCCGACTTTATGATATCATGTTTACATCCTTTGAGAGTTGTGTATAGAATTAATGAAAATGCATGGTAAGTTTAAACATATAAAATGCCAAATTAGTCACAGCATTTTATGTTTTCCTGATCTATATTTCATATATATATATATATACTTAGGATGTGAAATGTGGTTTACAGTACTACAATTTAAAAATTGTGAGCTATTTGTCATTTAGAATGAGTTTACTTAGGTAACTTGAAATACAGTCCTGAGTTTTCACATCTTAGAAATCCAGCCATTGGCCTTTTTAAAAAAGCAAGTTTAAATCCTGCAGAAAGCAGAAAACATAACTTAGGTGTCTAATTAAGGTACCTAATGTTCAATTAAGGAATTAAGTCAATATTATTAATTTAAGTGTTATTTTCAGGGCCAATTATAGCAGGCTTGTTCTGAGTTTGGTTAGCCCCAAACTCTTTACTGTATTTTGCAGACATTTTCAGCACTGCTCCCCCTTCAACTTTTTCTTGGCAATTCCTTTGTGACTGTCTGCCACTTGATTTGTATTACTGTCTGTCAATCTGTCTCTCATTTGGATTCATCTCCTCATGTAGCCAAATCACTGAATCAGTACCCTCATTCTCAGCTGATTTCATTTGCCCTCACTTAACATTGTCAATTCCATATCTCATTGGTCATACTGAGTAATGATGTCATCTTATTCACCAATATGGTTGGGTAGAGTTGCCTATGTAACTAAACCAGAAGTAAACAGAAGGTGGGGTAAAATGGCATTTAAGTAACAGGTGGGGAAAGCACTAGGATAAAACCAGATTGGATAAATGTGCGTATTCTGACTTTCAGTCAAAGAGTTTTGATGGGTAGGGCTTGGTGTGAGGAAACTATTTCTAAAACTCATTTATTCAGGGACCAAACAAACTGAAAAAAGAAATTATTCATTACAGCCCAAATTCAGGAGCCCCACACAGACCACAACTTCTTGCCTATCAGACTTGGAGTTGTTCTAACTCTAGAAAACTGGTTCTAACCTGAAACCAGCCTTGCTGTTCAGTCCAAAGGTCCATTTATTCCAGCATCCTTTTCCCCATAATGGCCAAAAAGATGCCAAGCAGCAAAGACATAAGCAGGGTTTTCTCTGAGCCCTCCCTGGAGATCCAGAGGCTTGAATCTGGGACCTTCTGCATTTAAAGCAGAATTGTGGCCTCCTTAATAGTAAGAGTGGTTTTACACTGGAACAAGCTCTGCCACAGGAGGCGCTGGGCTCTCATTCTCTGGGAGTATTTCAGCAGAGGTTGGGCAGTCTATGGTAAGGGATGCTGGCTGCTGCGATGGTCCATTCCAGCTCTATGATTCTATGAAAGGCACCAATTTATGAAATTCCCGCACAGAACCCTGGGCAGACAGAGCAAAAGAAAAAGAGAGCAGTATAAATTTCACCATCGGAAAGTTCCTTACACTGTGTTTTTAACACAGCAGTCTGTGTTTTTCCCCCTACATGTACAGTTTGAGCAAAAGCCCAGTTTCATTTTCAGCGTTTTGTTTCAATAAAAGAGCTGATCCCTAAGTTTTTCCTAGGAATATGAGAAAGCGTTTCTACAGTTGCTCCAAATGGCTGTTAAAGGAACAATGGGCTGATTCAAAAATACATATATATTTTTTGTCAACACAAACAGTCAAATGTCTTCTCCTGTTATGCACTTGTGTGGGAAAAAGTAAATGTCTAATGATAAATATGGCTCGTCGAAATTTCTGTGACTGCAGCTGCCAGAGAGGGCAGAATCATAGCAATGATCATATGTTTCCCTATCCAGGACCATACATTACATTTATTTGCAGAAATGCATGGTTGATGGGAATGTGGATTGTTCACATGGTCAGGAAAGGCATTGTGTGAACTAACCTGTAGGCATTTAAAATAACTATGGCTTAGTTCCAAAGAATTGTGAGCGGAAGGAGAAAACACATTAGGGTTGTTCTGTGAGCTCTTGCAGAAGCGATGTTGACTTCTCACATGGCAGTGCCCTAATGTGTCAGAGTTTGCACTGTTTCAGTGTAAGAAACAGAGAATCAGGAAAATGCAGACTTAAGTGTTTATATACCAACCATGTGGAAGTCTCAGGGTTTGATCTGCACAATGCCTTAACACAAGAATTTGCACCAACGGAAGTACACCTCTTTGATTTGGGGGTGCTTTGGTGAGGAAACTGCTGTTCAGCTAAACTGGAAATCATTCATAAGTGTAACAGATCTCTTGCTATCAATAGCTATTGGAAGGGGGCACTATTGGAAGTTCTCACTAATTTACATTTAGAAAATAATTGCTATGTCTTTGGGTTTCCCCCTCCATTTTCAGTTTCTTGGCGAGGGGCAGAGTAGAAGGAATTGTGCCCAGTCCCAGCTACGGTATCATTTTTTTAGTTTCTCCATTCTTCAGTTTCTTCTGTCCTACAGGAAAATTAAAAATAGCTTCTCAATGTGAACCAGGAAGTCACCTGTCCAGGCAATGGGATGGTTCTTTCTAGCGCGCGCCCGTGTGTGTGTGTCATCCTGTTCCAGCCACTCTGTTCTGTTCTTCTATCCCACCTGACAGTTGTTTTCCTTCTCAATTTTTGTCATTGATATATTTTTGGGCTGTTTTGGGGGTCTTTCCGCTCTTAAATTTTCCTGCAAATTTTTTATGTGTTTTTTTACTTGTTAGTATCTCAGGATTACCTTGAGAGTGCTTTTACTTCTCTTATGTGCATTTGTGGTGTGGTTTTGAATGTATAATTATCACAAGAGTGGGAAGACTTGAATCTAGAACATAGATGACGGTAAAGCTAAGAGCTTTTGAATCGCACCGATTTCAGTGGAAGCCCCTACTCAACACCCTTACTGAAACCTTACTGAAAAGAGAGGAAATTGAAGGTGCTTTCTTTGGGGTGGATCATGCCCAGTGTCATTGAACAAATCAAATGAAACTACTGATGACATTAAGTATCCCCATGAAACCCAAATGAAATACTTGTCAATGATATCCGTCAGAGCGTTTGAACACTCTGTTTTCATCCCATGGAAATACTGTAATCCTTTAAATACTGCTGGTGGTTACTACTGACTGCAGTCAGTAAAAAGGCCCCAGAATGGGCAGGGAGGGGCTGAGTCGTCACAGGGTATCTACTGCTGTCATGTGACAGCATCAGGCTCCATCTGGGAGCTCAGGAAGCCTGTACAACAGTTTTTCTGACCCCACATCTACCTTGGCTAGCGGCCCCAACAGTGACCCCCTAGCTCCCTTAAGCCCCGCTTGGCAGCAACCAGCACCAGCATTGCACACTTAAGCCATTAATTAAGCAAGCCAATAATTAAGCAAGCGATCCTGGAGAATGTGATGTCATAAGATAGTTGAAGCTAAGCAATTGTGTCCCTGGTCAGTGCCTGGATGAGCGACTGGCTCCTAGGAGTGTATGTAGGGAAGGTTGTCATACGTATAATAGATAAATAAGTGATAGGAGGAGGGCATAACCTTCCACAGTTTAATTTTTACAATTCAGGCAGCTGTTAAGCATGTTGATACAGAGACCTTAGTGATTTTGATGACAAACAGAATTAGTATATACACTCATAAGTAGTAAATTCCAGCATTGTTTATTGACACTCATTAAAAACCCTTGTTGACTTGGGATATCCTTATGCATTCTCCACATTGTGCTCTGCTCTAGCATGTAAAGGATAACGAAGAGTTCAACCTTAAAAGCACTTCATCAACAAAAGCCCTATTAAAGTTAAATACGGCCTCTGTGAATAGAGGTGCTTGATGATCTCACAACCAGGCTTAAAACAGAAATGAAGTTCTCTGAGAAATGCATCTCACCAAGATCAAAGCTAGGGCTGCGATGGATTGCGGAAGTGAAAACAGTGGGAGGAACTGCCTTTTGCAGTCCCAATTTCAAATCTTGCAGTTTTGGCTGGGCAGAATTATATCTGCTCACATTTTAGCAGGTTGTAGCCACGCATCAGTTTGTTAAATAAATGATATCCTGAGTCCTTTTGGGCACATGTGCTTTGCCTGCTGCCTTGCTCCACCATGGTTTTTGTAGCTTAAAGCTATACAAACAGTCATTTTCACATATGCACAGTATGCTTGTTCCATAATAACTTACCATTGGCAAAAGCACGGCAAATTTTGGAACAGCCGCTAGAATTTCTGGAGCAGAATTCAGTAGTGGCAAGACCCGATTAATTCTGAAAGGTCCTTTATTTTCTCCACCTCCCCTTCTTTCCCAGACAATCTGTTTTAATCATAGATTGATTTTTAATGTAAAGTGGTCAATTGCTTATCGTGTGTACCGTATGGAACAGAATCTTGCACAGTTATCCTGCGTTTCAGAAAATACTGCTACTTGCAAAGGGGCAGGGAGATGTCTATGTGTACCAAACACATCACTACCCCATGAAAAGATATTTAAGTTTTAAAAATATTTATGTTTTATTAAGGTGATTTCAATTAAAAGAAATAAAGTGATGCAGGACAAACAACAACAAAGATACATATAAAAGTGAAAACACACACACACACGCACACACACACACGCAAAAGCAATATACAATATTCCCATACATTCTTGTATACATTGTTACAGTATAGTGTTATGGTCCTAGTGCTTATGTAAATGTTAGTAGCCTACTACTATTTGTATACACTCATTCCTTATGTTATTGTATTTATCCATACAGAGTCTGTGCCTGTAAGCCGTCCATTCATAAAGTATGAGTGATGTCATATTGTCCGTCCATTCATTGAAGGGTATCATACCATTATTTTTCCAATTCCTCTTGGCTACCATTAGGGCACAGAAAATCCATTTCCATTGTCCCGTTGATAAGAAAATATATTTAAGTTGCTGATATTACTGTGAAGAAGCTACATAACTAGGTTATGGCAGATGGAGTGGGGGACCTCCACAGTACTAGAGCCTCTCCGCCAGCAGAATCCAGGACATTCCATTGAAAGAGGCAAACATCAGCAGAACAGAGAAGGGAGCAATTCTGTGGATTCCCTCTCTGCTGCAGCCCCAAATGGCCTAATAAATCTGCTCTACAGGACCAAAATTGGACTAGCTTTCTTTACACTTCTCATGCTTGAGAAGAATGTTTGTTCTCCCTCCCTCCCCCCAAAAATCTATCTATCTCAGACAGACAGACAGACAGACAGACAGACAGATAGATAGATAGATGATAGGGTTGACAATACTTGTTGAAATGTTTAGGTGAAAACACAGGGAAGATTCTTTTAACCACGATATAGGGCCCATGCCTTTGTTGGACTCTGATAAACATGTGATGAGTTATCCACTTGGTGGAGGAGCTTCTGTCTATGAAATAAATGGGGGAAGGGGAGCATCTTCCCTTTCAGATAATTTGTGCGCTTCAGAAGCAGGTACAACTCATGGAGTTTTGAACATTAAAACAGAACCACTGAAAGAGCAAACATGAATCACTGGTTCCTGCCTCTCCCCCCACTTTTTTTTTTAACATATAACCTTCAAATAGGTACATATGAATATGTTGATTGCGGTTTCTCTCCCTTTCTGATTTTCTGAATGTTCAGAACTTCTCTATCAGTTTGTGGATTATTTTTTTAAGCCCTCATGAAAATTAATCTGCATTTTAGTCCAAATTTATCCTGTTACAGACATTTTTGTATATACTTTCCAAAGCAATTTCCAAAGCAATTTCTCCTCTTATTAGGAATTTCAACACCGTTTTCACCCGCATATGCATTTTTAGGCACACTTTAGCCTAGTATGTACACATACTATGTGTCTGGATTCTATAGCATTGCAAAATTTGGAGAAGTACACATTTTTAATGTTGGCTGCATTTTGGTTTATGTATTGTTTTCGGTGTAGGGTTGTCTTTAAATGTGTCTTAAGTAAGTTTTTCTTTAAATGTGAACTGAATTGAACCCTGCCTTCCCCAAATCCCTGTCTGCGAAGCTACTCTTATTAGCACTGCTGCAGGTTGTAGTTGATGATGATGATGATGGCATCCGTCTCTCTTGGGTGACAATGGAAGAGTGCGCCTTTGGGGGTGAAGTCAAACCGTTGGAGAATTACAGCGCCTGCTGTGACAAGGAGAGAATGAAATGAGAGAGACGTGTTTTATTGCGGATATAGCAGATGAAGGCGTCCGGTTTTGCTGCTACAGGTGCACCATGGCGTTTTTTCTCTCCGCTCTCCTCCCAGCAGTCATTCTTCCTTTGGTCACTGCTGTAGATACAGCAGTGAATTAATTAAAAGTAAATGAATTTCAGTCAGAGTCTGGGGCATCCTGAATAGGGAGCAAGAGCAGAATCAGCAAGGGCATGAAGTCAGCGTTACCATAACCAACCCAATATGTCCTCGGGTTGCATCTCTTTGCTTTATCCCATACAAATGAATGGCTGCTATATTCCCATGTGGTGCAAAATGCAGTACTGTACTGACCTTGGGGATAGCGGCGAATGACTCACTCAGCGCTGCTGCTGATTAATCCCTTCAGGTGCTGTGTGGGATGTGTACAGAGAAGACCTTTCTCCCAGCACAGGAAAGGTGGAGAAACGGTTTCTGCCCGAGGACCACATTCCATTTTGAGCCGCCTTCCAAAGGCCATGTACTTGTGTTAGCTGGGACCAGAGGCACAAGTAGGCAGAGCAATGGGCACAAACGTTCCCCTTAATAGAATAAGCTGGTTTCTACACTCACTCGGACACCCCTCTTTATCCTTCATCCAGACAAGCAAGAGGTGTTATCAGAGTTCAATGACACATACCAGCCAGGCAAACCTATTCAAGGAGGGCCAGTGAGGGGTGAGGCCTGGGGAGAGTTCGGAAGGCCAAAGAAGAGGCTCGGAGAGGGTGCAACTTGCTCCCAGATCTGAGGTTTCCCACCCTTGCTCTGCAGAAACACGCACTGCCTGTCATAATGCAGGGCAACTTCCTAATTACATTATAAAAAGCAGAATAATGCAGTGTGTTTCTGGATAGTGACTGCTGACAACCTAGAGAAGCAGACGAAAATTCCGCTTGCCTTCATATGCCTTAGCCTCCCAGATTGAATTAGATTAACAACAATATGTGTCTTTCAAGAAGACTGACATAACTGAACTGCAATAATGTAATTACCAGGTAGTACAGGTTTGTTTTTTTTACAAAGACACAGCCAATTTTATTGGTGTCAGAAGTTTATTGTGCTGGAGTTTTGGAGGGGAAGTAAAGGAATATCTGCAGTAATCTAACCTCCGTTGTGTGACTTGCTAGCCCATTACTGTCAAATGTGTTGGGGGGGGCAATACAAAATACGGAACATAAAGGTGTGTCTAGGGTGTGACTCAGGAACTATCCTCTATGACGTGTCAGAGTTACCTGTGAGAGCACACCTTGGTGTTCTGTGCAGGGATGGGGAACCTTTTTCAGTTTGAGGCTCACATTCCTTCATGAGCAACCTTCCAAAGTCTGTAAGCCAGTGGTGGGCAGGTCCGTAGACAGAAGTGGGTGGAACAACAAATGTGATTCTTAGCTTTGTAGAGTCAGTGCCTGCAATAATGCCTCTAGAACTTAGAGTCTAAGGTATATGGACAGCTAAGGAACTGGCACCTGCTGAACCACCCTATCCATATTTACTGCAGAAATCGGATTCATTCACTTCATCTGACCCCTAAAGTAGCAGCCATATGAATGTGTTATATTACTGATTGCATTCAAACATCACAGCGAGCCATGGTTTTTTCTCTCTTGTCCATACCCAGTTGTTGAGAGAATTTGATAAGGATAGAAGAGAGACACAAAAGTGATATTGTTATGCTCTAGACTTGCCTAGCTAGCTGGAACACATATATGACGTTTCCCTGAAATAGATTATACAACTTTTGCAGAGGCAAGTCATAGTAGTAATGAGGACTTTCAGCTATTCTGACATACACTGGAGGTCTAACTCTGTTCCAAGTGGAACATCCAATAAATATTTGACTTGTCCTGCTAACAACCTCACAGATCAGAAGGTGGAGGGGAAGGTTCAGGAGTCCTGCTATCCTGACCGATAAGGCTGAGGGAGTGAAAGTGGCAGGAACCTTGGGGGAAAGTGACAGTATCATCTTGTAATTTGTGATAGGAAGAGATGTGAGAATCTAAGCATAATAAGAGTTTAGGGAAGCAGATTGAAAGAAGTTCAAGGAAATGTTGAGTATGAATTCATAGCTAGAAATTCTGAAGGAGAATGAAGGTTGATGATGTTTGGGAGAGTTTAAAAAGTGAAATTTATTTATTTATTCATTCATTCATTCATTCATTTTATAACCTGAATCTTCCTCCAAAAGAGCCCAGGGCAGTAAACATGTCAGTACTAAAACAATGCAGTTAAAATGTCTAAAAACAGTTAAAAACTCCTAAAAGCAATCACTAAACACAATCCAATAATTTCAAGGTTGCCACGGACAGAACTTTTAGCCATCAAATGGCTAGGCAAACTAGAATGTCTTAAATTTCTCCTAAAAGCTAATATTTAATTATTTATTTGAAAAAATATTTATATACTGTAATACATAAAAACAACCATACACCATATACAATAAAAACTGTTACGAAAAAACTAAAACAGAGTTCAACTAACTACTGCAGAAAGATATCGATAATAGGGAGGGAGACTGGCGCATCTTGCTAAGGAGGACGTTCCACAAACAGGGAACCACCACAGAGAAGGACCTATCACAGGTCACAGCCAACCAAGCAACTGCTGGGGCAGCACCACAAACAGAGATACCGAAGGCGCAATTACAAACCGTTTCCATGCCCAGTGCAGCTGCACAAGGAGCTCTCTGATGAGGAGCAGTTTTGATCCTCTAAGCCAGTGGTTCTCAACCTGTGGGTCCCCAGATGTTGTTGGACTACAACTCCCATCATCCCTGAGCTCTGGCCTTTCTAGATAGGGGTGATGGGAGTTGTAGTTCAACAACATCTGGGTACCCACAGGTTCAGAAAGGCTGCTAAGCCTCTCCATCTGGCTTTTGGGACTCTTCCCCACGCCACTTCCAAGCCACTCACCCTCCTCCCAGGCCACGCCCCTCACTGGCTCTGCTTTACACACCCTTCAGTGTTTTTGCCTGGCTGGAGATAGCTCAGCATGTAGAGCATGAGACTCTTAATCTCAGGGCCATGGGTTCAAGTCCCATGTTGAGCAAAAAGATTCCTGCAGTGCATGGGGTTGGACCAGATGACCCTTGTGGTTTCTTCCAACTCTGTGATTCTATATATGTATATATAACATTGATAACTGATCTTTTTTCACCTGCATGGAGGATATGTGGATGTGGGTAGAAAGTAGCCTACTGTAAAATTTACATTTGTTGCTCTGCTTGTTTTTCCATTGGCCCCTCCCACCATTGACATGTTGCCTGGATGGTTGTCCAGGAGGGGATACAGTCCTCAGGCTGAAAATGGTCCCCCATCCTTCCTTTGAAAGGACATGCATAGGAGATGTATATAGTCAACAATGAGTAGACTAGGATACTTCTTACTTGTAATGGCAGTGTCAGAAAAGCTATAAGTCCCAGAATGAGCTGAGACTTAGATTAGATGCTAAAAACAAGGAGGACTTCTCTCGTTATGTCTGGAGAAAGAACAAGAAGGAAGGGTTAGGTCTGTTGCTTGGAGAAGATGGTGAAGCCTTAACAGGTGATGCAGAGAAGGTGGAAACTACTCAACTCCTATTTTGTCTTGGTCTTCTCCCACAAGGGGAATTGGATTCAACCTGGGAAATGTAGAACAAATGATATCAGGAGGGGCTTGCATCCCAGAATAGGTATGGTGATGGTTAGACACACCTTAAATGAGTTCAAATCTCCAGGGCCAAATGAATTACACCCTGGAGTGCTGAAGGGAGAGGCAAAAACTATTTCAGAGCTGCTTATTGTAATCTTCAATAATTCTTGGAGAACAGGTGAAGTGCCAGATGACTGGAGGTGGGCAAATGTGGCCCTTGTTTTCAGAAAGTGAAGAAACTACAGACCAGTCAGCCTGCTGTTAATACTAGGCAGAATTCTAGCACAGATTATTAAGACTGTCAGCATCTAAGGAAGACTGCACTGCTTACGATTATTTTATTTATTAATTTCTTCCTATGAACTACCCTGAAGCGATTTACAATATAATATATATAAAACAGTTGCACGCACACACGCACGCACACATTTCATAAAGTTATGCACCACTTGGTTGTAAAAACAAACAAACCCTGAAAGTTGCTTTTAAAATTCATATTTAAAAACGTGAGTGAGATTTAAACAACAGCAGCACATATATAAAATAAATTCAAATCCAAGAGAGATACCAACTGGGATAAAGATTACTAGAAGCCAGCATGAGTTTATCAGTAGTGCATCATGTCAGAACAATCTTATTTGATAGACTCTGATAAATCTACTGGTAGACAGGGAGCACCATGGGTTGTACACAGCTAAGTTTTATTCAGTGTTGACCCATTGCTAATGATGTCCATTAAAATAAATGGGTCTACTTTGGTTATGACTAGCGTTAGGTATGACCCCATGGACATTGTATAGCTTGATTTCAGAAAAGCAGTTGACAATGGAACCCATGATACCCTTACTGATAACGTTGTAGAATGTGGGCTGTGAATACCGGTTTTGAGAGCCCCAAACAATTTGTACTTATGATGTCATAAGTACAAGTTGATGACTTCAGTGGGCAGGTGAGCTGTTCCATAAGCATATAATTACCGAATGCTCAGACATGTCCTGCCCCAAACAATTGTAAAATTCAAATGTAATCAGGATCAACTCCTTTTTTTCATCAAAGAATTGATTGTGACGACTAACTGCTGTGTGTGGAAAAACATGTTCCATTGTCCATTCATTAGCCTTTTAGCAGCCTAGCCCTTTTTGGTTTTCTATAGTTCTCTCTCTCTCTCTTGCTTTGTTTCTCTGTCTCTCATTATCCCATGTATGGGGGGAGAAAACACTTCATAATCTATTGTATGACATAAGCATCTTGGTGGTGTCAGCCTTTTTGAATAAAGAATGAATTGTTCTTAATTGTGAAGAGCACAAGAAGCATCAAAGGTTAATATCCAGCCATCTCAATGCATGAAAACACTGGTAGAGCAATGGAAATGCAAGGAACTATTCACATCTGTGTTGGTTTTACATAAATTAAAATAGTCCCTTACTTCAGTCTCCCCAAAGGAAGCTGTTATTTCAGAACAGTATTATTGTAACATTGTTTGGTTAATTCCACAAGCCTTACCAAGTAGGTTGGTTTCTGTAATAAATGTAGGGGTTGCTCGTGCGCAAGTTGGTGCCACTCCTGGCTAGGTTGCCTTGTTAAACCTTTTCTGTCTGGACAGCCCCTGCACTTCGTGGCTGTTCAGTCGCTAGCAGAATCCGTCAGTGGGCGTTTCTTAAACCTTTTCCAGCATAAAAGTTGTTTGACTCCAAGTCTCCTCCTACTCTCCCTGCGCGGAAGCCTTCTGCGCAGGGAGGGCGTGGGTAGCGGAGGACCCGTGCTCTCCTCGCTGATCTCCGGCGAGGAGTCCTGGAACCCCCTCGCCGATTCCCCCATCTGCCCCCCTTTATCCCTGGTGTTACGCTGATTTCTTTCCGCAGCTGGTGAGCTGCCTCTCCCCCTGCTGGGCCCTTCTCCAGCATCGCTTGAGAGCCTAGCCTCCGCCTCTGGCTCCGATGTCAGTTCCCTGACATCCACCTCCCCCCCAGGACCCCCTTCACCCCCGGCCCGACCTTTTGATCCAACTTCGTCCCTTTCCTCGGCCGACGATGCGGGGAATCCCCGGAAGGAGCTGTCGCCATCCTCTGAGGATTCAAAACCCGCTTCCCACCCGCTCCGATCTCTCCCCGCGGGGTGGGCCTCCCAGTCTGATTCTTCTTCCTCCGAAGCCTCTCCTCCCTCCTCTTCGGAGGCAGAAAAACCCACAAAATCCTCTTCATCGTCTGTGGTTCCAAATTGCTCCTCCCAGAATCTCACTAGTGGCTTGGGTTTGTCCGGGAACAGGCTGTGGAATTCCTCCACAAGATACCCGTCATTGATTGCCTCCGCGGGAACCCACGTGTTTTCCGACCCGGGTTCTCCCTCCCAAGCTACCAGGTACTCCACCTGGCGCCCTCGCCACCTTGAATCGAGTATTTCCGTGGCCCGGTTGTGGTGTTCCCTCTCCTCTATCTGCGGGTGTGTGGTGACTTCGCCTTCCCGCCCGGGACTCCCCGCCCCTCCCTGTACGGTGAGAGTAGGGACCTATGGAACACCGGGTGTATCTTCATGCTGTCCGGCAACTTGAGCTTGAATGCCACGGGGTTCACCTGCTGTGTTACCTCAAACGGCCCCAGCCGCCTTGGCTGCAACTTCTTGCACCCCCCCTTAAAGGGTAACCCTTGGGTTGACAACCACACCCGGTCCCCCACCCGTATGGTCTCCCCTTCCCTACGGTGCTTGTCTGCCTGCCTCTTGTAAATTTCCTTGGCCCGTTCTAAGATCATCTTCAGTTGCTGGTGCAGAGCCTCCATTTCTTCCACAAACTGTTCTGCCGCAGGTACGCTCCACCCTTCCTCCCCACTCCCCGGGAAGGCCCTGGGGTGACACCCATAATTGGCCATGAACGGGCTCATTCCCGTGGACACATGTTCAGCGTTATTGTACGCAAATTCAGCCAGCGCTAGTTTCTCTACCCAATCGTTCTGCCTCTCGCTGACGTAGCAGCGTAGGTATTGCTGGAGTACACTGTTCGCTCTTTCTGCTTGCCCGTTGGTTTCCGGATGTCTCGCCGTCGAGAAGCTCACCTCTACCTGCAGCAAGCTCATGAGCTTCCTCCAGAACCGGTAGTAAATTGTTTCCCGCGATCCGAAATTACTCTCGAGGGAGCCCCATGCAACCTGAAGATGTGATCCACAAACAACTTGGCTGTCTCCTCTGCGGTCACCGCATGTGAACAAGCTATGAAATGGCACATCTTTGTCAATAGATCGACTACTACCATGACTGCTGTCTTCCCCCGGGACTTGGGCAAATCGGTCATAAAATCAATGGACACCACCTCCCAGGGTCTTCCCGGCGTGGGTAAGGGTTCCAGTAACCCTGCGGGGCAGCCCTTTCCCCTTTGCCCTTTGGCAGCGGTCGCACCCCGTACATATTCCCGTACATCCTCCCTCACCCTTGGCCACCAGAACTGCCTGGTGATGAGCATCATGGTTTTGTGCTGTCCAAAGTGCCCAGCTGTGGGGCTGTCGTGGAGTTGTTTGAGTACCTTTCCCTCAGGGTCTCCCCGGTACATACAGCGCCCCCTTATAGTACAGCACCCCTTCCTTTTCCTCAAAACCCCTTGGTTTTCTCTTCCATCTCGGAGTTCCCGGATTTTAGTTTGAGCGAACACGTCGTTTCTAGTAAGCCCGGCCAGTTCTCGTTTCCCAACCAAGGCTCCCCCACACACCCATCGGTCCTCGGGGATCACGTGTCGTATCTCCGGCGGTCCCTCTCCTTCCATGTACTCCGGCTTCCGGGAGAGAGCATCTGCTCTTACGTTTTCCTCTCCTGGCACGTATCGGATTTCGAAGGAAAACTTGGAGAACTCCTGTGCCCATCGAATCTGTCTCTGGTTGAGTACTCTTGCGGTCCTCCAGTACTCCAAGTTCTTGTGATCAGTACAAACCTGGATCTTGTGCTGTCGCCATCGGTGAAACGCCGCATAGATCGCAAGCAGTTCGTGGTCGTACACCGTATAGTTTTGCTCCGACTTGCTCAGCTTCCTCGAGAAAAAGGCACACGGCTTCCATTCCTGCTTGCTCCTCCCTGGCTGCAAAAGAACCGCCCCAATGGCTCTGTCGGACGCGTCGGTCTCTAGCCTCATGGGTTTCTCCAGATCAACGTGCAGGAGCTGCTCTTCCGAAGCGAACGCCTTCTTCAGTCTTTCAAAGGATTGCTGGGCACTTTCTGTCCAGACAAACTTCTTTTTGCTACTGAGACAATCTGTGATGGGCGCTGTCAAGTGGGCGAAGTTCTTGATGAACTTCCTGTAGAAGTTGCTGAACCCTAGGAACCTCTGCACGTCCTTCCGGGTTTTGGGGGCCTTCCATTCCAGCACCGCCTGCACCTTGCTTGGGTCCATAGCTAGGCCTTTGTCTGACAACTTGTACCCCAGAAACTCGACTTCTCTGGTGTGAAACTGACATTTTTCCAGCTTGACCCACAACTGGTGCTTCTGCAGTCTCTTTAGCACTTCCCTGACGTCTCTGACATGTTGCTTCTCATTGTCCGAATAGATTAAGACGTCGTCCAAGAAGGCTACGCAGTTCTTGTACAGCAGGGACCCCAACACGTGGTGCATGAAAGCTTGAAAACAGGCGGAGCCCGACTGTAATCCAAATGGCATAACTAAGTACTCAAAGGCCCCCAGGGGGGTGAACATTGTGGTCTTCCATTCGTCCCTCCCTCATCCTAATCAAATTGTAGGCTCCCCTGAGGTCCAGCTTGGTAAAAAAATTTCCCTGCCTCACCCGTGTTAAAATGTCGTCAATCCTGGGCATTGGGAAGGTCACGGGTTCTGATACCAAATTTAACGCCCTAAAATCTACGACCAATCTGGGCTGGTTAGTCCCTTTTTTGTCCACAAAGAACACCGGACTGCCCCCACCGCCTTTGATTCCCTTATGAACCCCCTCTTCAGGTTCTTGTCAATAAACTCCCGCAACTCCTTCATCTCCCGGTCCGACATGGCATACAGTTTACCCACTGGCAGCTGAGCCCCTGGGAGCAAGTTGATTTGGCAGTCAAAGGATCTATGGGGGGGTAGTCTATCCGCCTCCTTCTCGCTGAAGACCTCCTGCAGGTCAGCATATTGTGGTGGCACCTCCCCTTTCGGCTCCACCACTAACCCAGCCACCCTGGCCACGGTCATCCTTGGGGTTTCCCCCCCTAGACAGTGTTCCAAGCAGTAAGCTGACCCAAAGGTGACCGTCCGCTGATGCCATGCCACTACTGGATCATGTAGTGCCAGCCAGCTCATCCCTAATAGTATTGGGGATCCTGCCAGTGTGGCTACGTGAAAGGCAATGGTCTCCGTGTGCCTGGAAACCCTCATTCTCATTGGTGGGGTCTGGTGTGTCACTTCCCCTCCCAGAAGCTCCCTGCCATCAATGGTGGTCACTTGCAAGGGAAAATCCAGGGGCAGCAGGTGGAGCTGGTGCTCTAGGGCGAAGTCCTTGCTGAAGAAATTGCAGGAACTGCCTGAATCCAACAGCCCCTTCACCTTGACTGGGTGCCCATTCGGGAGTTCTAGCACCACTTCTATGGCTATGGCCGCTCTGGGGGGGGTCTGGCTGGGGCACTTCTATTGGTTGCTGGCCTGGCTGCTGTGCCCGCTGAGTGGCAGCCAAGCGTTGGCGTTTCCCTGCTCCTGCTCTTTTCCCCCCTCCTCCTCACCTCCAGCAGCTCCCACCATTCCTTGCCAGGCCTTTCTTTGAGGGCAGACCCTGGCAAAATGTCCTGGCCGCTGGCAGAGGAAACACTTCTTATTAGTTTTCCAATCCTTTCCCTCCCTTTTGCGACCTTCACTGGAGTTTGAAACCTCCCGTGCGCGCGCCCCATCAATTTCCATTGGCTCCGCTGGCGGGGAAGGCTGCCTCGGTATTTCAGGAATGCGGTAGTCATGGCAACGTTCTCCTCTCCCTTCCCGCTTCTCCTGAGCCCGCGCTTCCTGTCTTACACCAATCGCAAGCACAGCCTTGGTCAGCTGATCCATCGACTGCGGGCGGGGCGCGCGGGAAAGCTCATCCTTCACCGTTGGGGACATCCCCTCCTCAAACAACATCTGAATGGGTTCTGAGTCCAATTCCCACCCGAGCCGGTGGACTAACATGGCAAAGCGCGACCAGTAGTCTCTAACTGACTGGTTCCCCTGTTTACAACCCATCAGTTCCCGCCGAGTCACACTTTGCTGCACATCACTGGAATACATCGCATCCATCGCCTGGAAGAATTTCCTCAGGTCTTTCAAGGCGGCATTTTGCGTTGCCATTAGGGGCCTGATCCATTCCCTGGCCCCATCCTGCAGATGCCCGACAATGTATGCCACCCTCTCCCCATCGTCCGCAAAATCCTTATGTTGCAGTTCCAAAGCGTATTCTATTTCCGTTCGGAACGCGTTGTAGATCTGGGGCTTCCCCCCAAACTTGTGTGCCAGTCCCGGTACCTTCCTTGCTACGGGGTTGGGTCTGACCTGTGCATCGTGAGCCCGCCTTTCTTCCAACCGCGCCGTGAGAAGAGCCACATGCTGTTCCAAATCTCGGTTCCTCTCCACCAGATTTTGCACTCCGGCTGCTCCCTCCGTGGCGCCGGCTTCTCCGGTTTGGCTCATTCTGCTGCCTGCCTGTCGCTGCGCACAAGCAACGTCAAGGACTGATGGATTGCTGTAATAAATGTAGGGGTTGCTCGTGCGCAAGTTGGTGCCACTCCTGGCTAGGTTGCCTTGTTAAACCTTTTCTGTCTGGACAGCCCCTGCACTTCGTGGCTGTTCAGTCGCTAGCAGAATCCGTCAGTGGGCGTTTCTTAAACCTTTTCCAGCATAAAAGTTGTTTGACTCCAAGTCTCCTCCTACTCTCCCTGCGCGGAAGCCTTCTGCGCAGGGAGGGCGTGGGTAGCGGAGGACCCGTGCTCTCCTCGCTGATCTCCGGCGAGGAGTCCTGGAGCCCCCTCGCCGATTCCCCCATCTGCCCCCCTTTATCCCTGGTGTTAACGCTGATTTCTTTCCCCAGCTGGTGAGCCGCCTCTCCCCCTGCTGGGCCCTTCTCCAGCATCGCTTGAGAGCCTAGCCTCCGCCTCTGGCTCCGATGTCAGTTCCCTGACAGTTTCATACATGCATCCTTTTCTGTTATCCCTTACCAGTTGTAGCATGTGGGAACAGCAAAATGTTGCAGACTCTTCAGGTAGTTTCATCCTCTCTGCCTTCCGGTTTTCTGTTTGTCCACCCCTTAGAATCAGCCTGAATTCCATGACTGCTGAACAGGCTCAGTCTTCATTCGGCTGGGGTGAGGGCTCCCTTGTTTTTCCTTTTTAAAAAAATCACTTTTGTACCTCCCCTTTTGGAACACTTACTCAGTACACTTCCAAAGGCTTCATAGAAATGTGTTTTTCATGGAAGAAAGAGATGCTGGTATTGCACAGGTGTTGTGTGTTCAGGCATGTTTTACCAAGGTGCTGGCAAGCTGGGTGGAAGAACAAGCCCTGCTGAGGGATGTGGCCTAAGGAGAAAGGATAGGCCTAGGGAGAGTCCCATGGACCAGATCAAGAGACCCGGAAGACTGCATTTGTCCCCCGGGCCTGAGGGTCCCCATCCCTGCATAAAGTATGCATGACAGAAAAGCGAGTACAATTGCAAAAATCATACTTTTGCAACCTTTATACTTTGCATGGAACACCGGTGTAATATTAGGTGCCCAGTGGGTGGCAGGGACTCTCCACTGCTCCTGCATCCAGCATGCGGAGATTGTTGCCTCTTTGCAGGTGTATGAATCATGGCCAAGTAAGCAAGCAGGCCAGAATTCACAAAGGCGGAAGTGGGAAGAGGCAGATCGAGAAATCTCTCATACAGGACCACATACGGGATTCATTCCAGAAGAGTTGCATTGTTAAACTGGAGCAGCGGGAGCAGGCGTCCAACCCCCCACCCACATACAACACAGAGAGTGCTGGAGCACATTGGAAACTAGTATGAAATGCAAGCATGGATGTTTTATAGATACAAAGTGCAGGGTTTGAATAGACATTGGCAACTACTAAGCCTAACGTTCACAGGTTTTAATTTTTGCATTGTCAGGAGCTTTCTAGGGCTCGAGAACCAGAGCTCTCAGTTCTGTGCACAGCTGTCTCTGCCCCCCACCCCCATCCCTGCTTGCTTTGCATCAACAGAATGTCATATTAATCCTGAAAATCAGAAAAGAAAGAGCCCTAGAACTATATTCTCAGACTCTTAAGTACCGTAGTTTTCCGTGTATAAGACGACCCCATGTATAAGACGACCCCCTTTTTTAAAAACTCAGAATTAAGAAATTAAGTTGTTTAGCTTTGGGGGGGGGGTCACTTCCACCAATCGCTCACCTGCCTTCCCGCCACTGCCAATCGCTTGTCACAGCCATGGCCGATCGCACACCTGGTTGCATCCGGCAATTGCCTGCCTGCTCACCGCCACCAACAACCCACCCGCCCACTTGCCGCAGCTGCCAATAACCTGTTTGCCTCGCCACAGCCACCAATCACCTGCCCAATTGCCACAGCCAGTCGCCAGCAGGCCTTGCCACAGCCACCAATCACCTGCCCAATCGATGCTGCCAATTGCCTGCTTGCTTCTGCCATTAATCGCACGTCCCCCCACTCTGCATTCACTATCAGTGTATAAGACGACACCCAGTTTTTGTCTATTTTTTTTTTTTAGCAAAAAGCATCATCTTATACATGGAAAAATGTGGTAATATATGAAAAAAGTGAATGGCTAAAGATAGATAGAATTGACCCTGTTTATTTAAACATTTCCACATGGGGTGCCCCATCCATAATGTTGGGGAAATAGCCATAGACTTTCATACATGATTTGAAACAGCAAATCAGCAATCTTGAAGAAAGCACCTCCAACTATTTGTTTCAAAACATTGGAACTCTGAAAGCCACAGTCTCTCTGACTTGGAAATATGTCCTATTGCTAATGGTCTTGGTGGACCACTTGATGATTTTTCTGCCCCTTGTAGCAAATAAAATGTGTTGTGCTAGGTGCTATATGATTTTTAATTGTATGTTCATTGCTTCTTTTATTTCTTATATTGTATTTTATTTTAGTACAATTTGAACTCCTTTCCACAGAATTAAAATTGTAATACAATAAAATACAATATAAGAAATTAGAGAAGCAATTAAATGCAATTAAAAATCAATGTGAACATTTGATGTGCCATCTCCCATCTTCAACAACAGATCCACAGACATGCTGTGGATTACATGAATGAAGCTCACGGACCACTGGTGGTCCACAGACCACAGTTTGGGAGCCCTAGTTGCAAGCAGTAAATCTGGGAATATTAGAAGAAAAGAGAAGTTTTGGAATATAGACTCAAGACTCTTAACAGGTCATGAACGTAATCTGGAACTATATACACAGTCTTTGATTTTCACTTTTTAGAAAAATGTTTAGCTTATGCCAGACTCCTTTAGAATTTTTCCATCTTAAGTGTTCTTAATGGGATTGGATGAAGCTGTCTTGATTTGATTAATGTCTCTTTTATATCTATTGACCAGCATCTCCACCATCTCCATTATGCACAGATCCTAAAAATGTCACACTTTTAGCATTTTTTTAAAAAGATTGAAGTACCTATTAGGTGTTCAGAGGGCTGTTTTTTTCTTTTTTTAAGCTGCTTGGAGAAGCTATTGTTAGTACAGTATGGCACCCAGTAAGTAAAATGCCTTTTAAATACTCCAGGAAGGAGCCATAAAACTTAATGCACAGACCCTTCTGGAGAATTGTACAGAGAAAGAAAGATGGGTGCCTTCTTGTACCCATTGGCCGGCCATCTTTTTTCCTGTACAGTGGCCCTTGTAGCCTCCCATATTTTTTTCTCTATATAATTCCCCAGGAAGTGACTTTTCATTATGACATATTGCTACCAACAGAAGCACTTTTAAAATGCACCACACTACTTACTAGCTGCTTGACTGTTGCAAAAGAGAAAATGCGAATAATTTTGAATATTTCACGCCGGCCCAACTCAGATAGAAGTAAGGAGTACACACCACCTAACACTGGGGAAAAGCTCTGGCAAAATCCCTCCTCAAACAAACATTTAATGTAAATCTCTAAGAAAGCTTCTATAAACTCATTTTTTATTATATTTGACATCATTGTGACTTAATCACATTTATAGCCCAGCAAGTAAACTATGTTAGAGATGCAATACAATAAATGCAGACATGTTTTCTTGACTTGTCCTAAGATAAAGTCTAGGATAATGTGATAAGAGAAATGGAAGCAATAACAGGATATGTACTCTCAACAGATCCATTAGTTATTTTACTTGGTGTGTTAAAGATTTGGCCTTAACAGATGATAGAGAAATGGTCTCGAACTTGTTCATGGCTTCTTGCTTGACTATTTGTCAAAACTGGAAAAAGATAAGAACTCTGACACTTGAAGACTGCGTAACCGAAGTATGGGATGTAGTAAATAACATAAAATGGACTAATATGGTCAGTCAAAGAGGAAACAGAGCCTTATGACCATTTTGTTGAGGAATGAAACATAATCATAATGTATTGGTGTGCAGTAACATACAAGAAAATATTAATCCACTTATGTGGATAGACATCTTGTGAAGTATCTGCTGTGAGAATGTTCATATTCCTTCTAGTTAAGATGTTCGTTTGCCACATTATTAATGGTTTGTTATAATTTACAACCTTCAAATTCTCATTAAATAGTCCTAATATATATTTGATTAAAAAACCCTTATCTGGAAAACTGCAGTGCCCCTTCTAGAAACCTTTAAGCATCATTGCAAGATGGTGTCTTTCTGGCGTGTGAAACTGGCATAAGTGCTATATGCACAGCGAAGCAAGGAAGGCACTTCATGAAAAAAGATTCTTCGGGATATGATCACACTTGTGAGAGGTGAGTAATGGGACTCACAAGAGAATTTTTTCTAGGAAAAAGTGCTCTTTTACATCCTAAGTGTGCTGAAGACACAGGTGATAATTCATAGAAGCCACCAAAGTAACTTGAAGGGCAACATCCAATTCAGACTGGAACATCTTTGGAAAGATCTCTCCAAACTGAGCATCAGAGTAGAGAGAAAAATGGCATCTGTTGGATCCACTTAAATCTGGGTACAGAACTGGCTTCAGGACTAATCTGCCTTGGTGGAAAATATACTCCATAGTAGAATACAAAGGTCATAGGTATACCAAACATATAAAATAATCATGAATGTTGCTAAAGAAACTCATATTTAGTGGGGGGGGGGAGATGCCAGCTATGAGATTGTTTAGTCATATGAATCACAAATGGCCTCCAGGCAGAAGTGAAGCCGCCTTGATAACTGATATTGGAAAACATTTCACAAAGCAGTTTTTCTAAATAAAACTGTGCCTATAAAGTATAAACTTGTGTGCTCTGGGAATAGTCAGAACCCTCCATTTTCCTAATGAGGTTTCATCAGGCTTCATGAAACACTCATCCTATGAATGCCATAACTCGACAAGAATGGAGAAAGACCATTTGGAAGCTACACAACCCATTCCTTCTTAGCAGTCTCCTTCCTTGTCTCTTGTCCTCTTCTCATGCACCACCATTAGCTAAGAAATGGCCTTGCAACTTCAAGGGTGTCTTAATGGATTCTGTTCCACATAGCTTTTTAAATGATGCATCAAATCGTAGTATAATGTTGAGTTCTGCTTCGCTTCTGGTAAGGAAGCATCTATGGACTTCAACACAAAATATTATGGAAAGCTCCGGTATAAAATCAGATGTGACTTGTCTAGACATGTAGCAATTCAGCCTTTAACTCCCAGATGGAAAGGAGGATGGGACCGATGGATGGATACCTGTATACATGCATACTATATAGATTTATCCTTCTGAATACCAGTTGCTGAGTGGCAGCATAGAAGTCCTGTTGCCTTCATCTCAGAAGCATTTGGTTGATCATGGGAAAGAAATTTTAGACTAGATGGACCTTTCATCTGATCCAGCAGGAATCTTAGATGCTTGTGAATGGATTACAGTGGTCCAAACACACGTCCTGGTCCATGTGATGACCACACATGTTCAGGGAAGGGACCACAGCTTCATGGTAGAGTACATGTTTTGCATGCAGAGTGGGGCTCAGGTTCAATTTCCAGTTAAATGGTCACATGGCAGGCCATGGTAAAAACCTCTACCTGTGAATCCGGAGGGCTGATGCCAACTGAAGTAGACAATTTGTTGAGCCTGGTGTGAGACCACTTCTGATGTTTTAAATGTAAAGTAATTGTGATTGGAAGAATTAGGTGTGTTTAGGCACATTTACTGGGCCATGTCAAAGTTGTAACAAATGCTTGGCCCCCTTCCTATATAAGCTTAAATTGTTCTTTTTGTCTTTGATGCAATGCTGTGCCTTCGGTCTATGCATTACTGTCACTGCTTCTTTCTGTGCTGTGTTTACAATCAGACACACACAGAGGGAGGGAGGGAGGGACTGGTGCCATTTACATTTTGCTGGAAAATGACGTGCTGGTATGGGATCATAAATTCCAGGCATAATTGCAGAGTCACCTAATCCTGGAGCATTATTTGCCTCAGTAAAAGAAAACTTTCATTTCACTTATGACCTTACAGCAGTTGCCACACCTTCTGGATCCTGTTCACTGTTAGGCTATAGATGCAGGGCAGACAAAAAAAATGGTATTACTTCACACAACACATACTTAATGGAATTTGCTCCTGCAAAAGGCAGTGGTGGCCACTGACTTGGATGGCTTTAAAATAGGATTGGACAAATTCATGGATGATGAGGCTATCAATGGCTATTAAGCCTGCTGGCCATGCTCTTCTTCCATGCTCAGAGGCAGTATGCTTCTGAATACCATTTGCTGGAAACCACAGAAGAGGAAAGTGCCTTTGCACATAGGCATCTGTGAGAACAGGGTGCTGGACTAAATGGGCCACTAGCCTGATCCAGCGGGCTCTTAAGAATGTTCTTAGGTTGGATCCCAGCTAGCTCTGTGGTCCAAAGGCACAGAATTCAGAAAACTTTCTGAAGCAGGTCTATGGTGATGCTTCCTACATAAGAAGAGACTTTCAGGATCAGACTAACAATCCATGTAGTCCAGACTCCTGTGTCCTATAGTGGCTAACATGGTACCTCAGGAAACCCACAAGCAGGGCATGAAGACAATTGCCTTCCCCTGTTGTTGTCCCCCAACAAGGCTGGAAATGGTGGCCCTCCAGATTTGTTGGACACCAACTCCCATCAGCCCTAGCAGCATGGCCAATAGTTAGGGAGTTGGAATCCAATATCTGGGCTACAGGTTAGCCACCTCTGTTTCTATGAGACATACTCTCTCTAAACATGGAGGTTCAATTTAGCAATCATGATTAGTAGCCATTGATAGTATTATCTTCCATGAGTTTGTCTAATCGACCTTTGAAGCCATCTGATCTTGCTGTTGCAACTGTTGTAGGGAACCCCTGCAATATATGTCATTTTCATACTAAAACCATTGCCCACAAAAACCCAGTGTGGCCCTTTTACTTCTCCTCCTCAACTTTTAAAGCACCTAGCATGAAAAAAAACCCTTAACCTATTCATCTGTAATTTGTCAAGTTTCTTTCTTGAGGCATTTATCTCACATATGTCATTTCCATACAGAAAACAATAGCAGATATTAAGCAACTACCCCAAATGTGCAGGAAAAGCACAGCAGCTATCTTTCTGAAATTTGGCTGGATTCCCCTCAAAAGGGGAATGTCTATAAATTCCAGCTGATTCGGCCAAAAAAGTTATAAATGGTTCATTAAAAAAAAAAAATCTTTAAAGGTGCCCAGCACAAAATCCCTAGACCTGTTTTCTGTAATTTGGCAGGCTTTATTCACCCCGAGGAGCTACTATGCATGCAAATGTCATCCAATTCTGTCAAAAGGAAGAAAAGTTATAGGTATCATTAGTTTTACCCATAGTAGTGAATTGGGGAAGAAACAACACTTCATTTTTTCCAAGTCAAAATTTGGACCTAAACCAAAGCAGGCAGCCTCCACAGTGCTTCAGACTAAATTTGGCTCCAGATTAGAATCTTGAGATCAGTGAACACCTTTACCATATACTGGTCCATCTGGTTCAGTATTGTCTACACTGACCAGCAGCAGGATTCCAAATAGTGGGAAGGCTTCAGCTGAACACACTGAGAAGCCGCATTCAGACCTTTCCTCTCAATGCAGGAGGGTCAGGGTGGAGCAGCCATGGATGAGGACACTGAGGGTTCGATCAGCATGTCTGCGCCTGCTATTCCTACATACTTTATGCCTATACTCATTCAAAGAACTCATGAATAATGCTCGCAATTTTTTAAGCATCGTACCAGTTTATCTATTTTTACGGGAAGGTGAATATTGATTTTATATATCTGTATAGTAACTGAAATCAGAGAAGCGCCTAGCATTTTAAAATTCAGAAGGCTTTCCCTGAAATGTGGCCCAGCCATTTAATGTAACAATAACTGTAAAATTGTAGAAATGGTTTTGTTCCCTTTAGTTTCCCTGCATTTTATATTTTATCTTATTTTATTTTACTGTACAGCACTTCAGTAACTTTTGGTTGTGGAGAAGCTTATAAACCTGCAAATAAATAGTAACAGACGAAAAATCAAGAATTGTTCAAACCATTTTGTGAGGCTTGGTGCTATCTGATAGACTTGACAGCAACGAACTCAGTTGAACAAGCATGTTAGATTGGCATTCTGTATACCAGGAGTAGGGACCTTTTTTGGTCCAATGGGCGAGATCTTTCTCTCCTCGTGTGAACCAACCCACTTGTCAATCATATGATAACATAATATCAGGTAGATTGTCCCATCCACCTATCAAAGTTGGCCCATAGGGATGAAAAGGTATTGCCCAAGCAGAAGTGAACTCCCCGTGCATTGCTTGATGTGTGGAAAGTTCAATCCTGCTTTCTGCAAGTTTGGACACACCAGCCGGTTCCCTGCAGGACCTCACTGACGTGTCCAAAACCAACAGAGCAAATATATTTGGATACTTTTAAATGACTCAAGAGATGCAAATGAGTAAAGCTCCACCAGCTGAGAAATGTTTACTTACATTCCCCATGATCCAAATTAGTCCTCTGGAAGAGGCAGGGAGAAATAATGTATTTGTAGCATTACATATGATGCCATGTTAAATAAAATCCTAACCTTCCAAGCCTTGTTAAGTTCCTTTCAACAAGGACTCAGGAAGAGCTTTGCAAGTTTAAACCTCATTAATAAATTAAGTCTCCTCATTTCCACAAGGTGAGCAAAGTGTAAATAAGGAGCATTTCCAGAATATTAAGTCTTCCGAAACGGTTCAGCATAAGCCTGGTGAACTTCCTTCCTTTAAATAACTGTTTGTACTGGAGACAAGTGTGTGTGTTTTCAGAGTAACAAACTCTCTATTAAATTAAGCATGACTATGAAGCTTATTTTGGGAGTCTTGGGTTATGCGTGCTTTGCACTTGAACTTAGAGCTGCATATATATTTTTTTTAAAAAAATGTGATTGTTAACGTTTTTTCCTCCTTTAAATGAGAAATCAGCCGCACCAGTGTAAAGGAGGAAAAATACCCCAGTGGACAGGATTGGAATGCCAACACGTCAAAGCCAAGCGTTAGGGAGAAATTGAGCTACTGATGATGATGGGAAGAGTCACCACAGAATGATTTTCTGCATCAAATCACACAGTTTCCTCATAGGGCATCACAGCTGTAGAACATCCTCCCTGTAGAACTGGGGTGGGGAATCTCAGGCCAGATGTGACCCAGGGACTTTTCCCTCAGCCCTCACCGACTCTTCTCTGTGCCTTCCTTGGATGTCCTTGCCTGACTAGAATGTTTCCTTGCTCTCTGGCATTCTCTTGCTTCCCTAGATGGAAGGGAGAATGAGTGTGTAGAAACTAGCCTACTGTGGAAAGATAAAATTGGCATTTGATGCTCTGTCCACTTTGGCCCTCCCCACCCCTGGCATGTGGCCCCCAGAAGATTATCCAAAAAGGAAGGTCAGGCTCAAATAGTTATACAGTTTTGTACAAGGACAACGTAGCGCCAACTTTGCTGTCTTCTCAGCACCAAGTCAAAACATTTCTGTTTGTGTAGACATTTTAGATGTTTTGTCTGCCCTGTTGTGTTTCACTGCTTCTTAAAATTGCTTTGACTATATATTACAGATTTCAGTTCATGGTTCCATTTATTTTGGTCTTATTTTGTATACTGGCCTGATACCTAACTGTTAAACTCTGATCACCTCAGCCTGGCTGGGGATAATGAAAGTTGGAGTCTAGCAACATATGGATTAACTAGACTGGATGCTTTCAATCTCTTTACAGAGGAGGAGTAAGGGAAATATGGGAGCCAACAGCAGACTTTTGTTCATTTACGGAGTGCAAGGATAGCCAACATAGTACCCTGCAGATGTTTTGAAATACAGCTCCCATCAACTCCAACCATTATGACCAATAGGCAGACATCAATAATAGAACCATAGAAGTGTAGAGTTACAAGGTGAGTCCTTTAAAAGAGGCCTCGTGGATACAGAGTACACATGTTCCACAGGGCCTCTTTTAAAAGACTCGATCTGTAGAAGGGACACCAAGGTTCATCTAATCAAACCCCCTGCAATGCAGGAATCACAGCTAAAGAATGCCTGACAAATGGCCATCCAACCTCTGTTTTTAAAAAAACCCAATGAAAGAGAATCCACCCCTTTCCAAGGTAGTCCATTCCAGTGTTGAATAGTTCTTACCATCAGAAACTTATTCCTAATGGTTAGTCAGAATCTTCTTTCTTGTAATTTGAATCAGTTTGTTCCGATCCTATACCCTCTGGAGCAGCAGAAAACAAGCTTGCTCAATATTCCATGTGACAGCCCTCCAGATATTTGAAGATGGCTTTCATATCAAATCTCGCTCTTCTCTTCTTCAGACTAAAACCAGTTCCTTCAACGGTTCCTTGTAAGGCTTGGTTTCCAGATCCTTTATCACATGGTGGGACCAAAATATCTAAATGGTACCATGTCATGCTGCACCATGATTTTGTCTTATGCGCCAGTGGAATTATAAGTGGCTGGTTCCTGTGTTACATGCTGTGTCAGCCATATTTACAAGTTAAGACATAGCATGCTAAGAACAAAAGAAGTGTTTTCGCATCACTGTGAGACTGCTTTAGGTGCAGCAGAGATGAAAGGAAAAGGAAATTGTATGCATTCTCCAATTTAAATTAACAAAAATGGGGAATATAATAATGATTTGGTTTGTATGTGTCAGTTCCAACTGAAAGGAGAATGGATGGGGGAATGGAAAACTTAATGACTAGTTTCTTCCTTTTCAGAATTGAAAATATATTTTGATTAATCTCTAGTAGCCAGATAATACATTTTTTCTTATTAGCAGAAACTTCCTCAAATGTACTTTGAGATGCTGTAGAACGTAAAAGGAGGTTATTACCAGACTATGAAAGTAGCAAAATACTCACAGATTTTCAAAGCTGGAATAGTGGAAATGAAACTGCTTCTTCGAAGATAATTATGGGTTGATCATTGGAGTGCACTATGAAGAAAAGGGTTAGGTTCATCTCTTGATGATAATCATGTTCTCAGGCTGTATTATGATATTTTCATTGAACCCCATACATGGCGGGCTTGGCACTTGTTCATTCAGCAATCCTACATTGTGGGAGCTACTGCTTTTAGTCAGTAATACTGAATTTCAGTGGCACTGCTCTGTGTAGCAGTGGTTGTATACCCATGTGCATTCATTCATCCATTTTATTTGTTTGCCACTTTTCCAGACAAAAAAAATACTCAAAGCAGCTTACAACAAAGGAAACAGGAATACATTTCAACCAAAACACTACAAAAACAATTTCCTAACATTGCAAAACAATAACATAGTAACAATTTCATAATTAAATAGCAAAACAAAAGCAAACATAATAACATACAAAAAGACCCACATTTCAGTATTATAAATATAACAAGAATACTGTACTTAAACAACAAGCAGCATCCAATAGCAAAAATAACTAGAGAGTTTCTCAGTTTCACCTTAGTCCTGGAAACACCCCTTCCATGATTTTGCCCAGCGTCCCTTGCAAGGCTTCCAAGGGCAAGGGGTGGGGTAGCTGAAAACACTCACCTGCCCGCCATGATGTTGTACAAGCCTGCATCAAGGATAGAGCATCTTTTTAAGCCTGAGGGCCATATACTCTTGCAGGGTCAGTCATCTAGGGGCCGCATCGTAAGCATGGATGCGGCCAGATGCAAAAGTGAGTGTAGCAACTGTGGGACTAATAATAATAATAATAATAATAATAATAATAATTTTATTATTTATATCCCAGCCACTCTGGGTGGCTCATAGCACATAAAAATGGTAAAGCATTAGACATTAAAAATGTACTGATACAGGGTTGCCTTCAGATGTCTTCTAAAAGTCAGATAGTTGTTTATTTCCTTGACATCTGATGGGAGGGCGTTCCACAGGGCGGGTGCCACTACCGAGAAGGCCCTTTGCCTGCTTCCCTGTAACCTCAGTTCTCGCAGTGAGGTGAGGGAACCACCAGAAGGCCCTCAGAGCTGGGCCTCGATGTCTGAGCTGAACGGCAGTGGTGGAGACACTCCTTCAGGTACACTGGGCTGAGGCCGTTTAGGGCTTTAAAGGTCAACACCAACACTTTGAATTGTGCTCGGAAATGTACTGGGAGCCAGTGTAGGTCTTTCAGGACCGGTGTTATATGGTCTTGGCAGCCACTCTCAGTCACCAGTCTAGTTGCCGCATTCTGGATTAGTTGTAGTTTCCAGATCACCTTTAACGGTAGCCCCACATAGCGCGCATTGCAGTAATCCAAGCGGGAGATAACTAAAGCATGCACCACTGGCGAGACAGTCTACGGGCAGGTAGGGTCTCAGCCTGCATACCAGATGGAGCTGGCAGACAGCTGCCCTGGACACAGAATTGACCTGCACCTCCATGGACAGCTGTGACTCCAAAATGACTCTTATCTTTCTACAGTAGGCTGCATTGCACCCATGCAAACATCAGAGGTTTCTGTACATGTGCACAACTCTCTCTCCAAGTAGGAAAGAGGCATTGATTCAATGATGCATTCAGGGAAGGGATGGACAAGGACCAATGAGGAAGGTTGTCTCTAGGAATGGGAGAGTCCTGAGGTTTCCCACTCCTGACCCACACAGATAAGGTTTTAATGTTCACTCATAGCAATCCTAAAAGGAAGAGTCAGCCAGAGTCAGCCAGGTTTTTATTACTGACAACCCATCAATAAGATGGAATAGAAAATATGAAATCACAGCTTCCATTATAACCAATCATTATTATTTAAATGACAAGCTGAGAACTAGCAATCATAGCAGGGCTATTAGAACATTCAGATACTATGTGAACTGTTTGATAATAAATTTATTGTTCACATCATGGAAGATACTCAGAACAGTGCTTTTTTCTGGCAGTACACAATGGTATGCAGTACCGACAATTTTTGGCTGGGAAGGAGACAGGAGGGCTTTCAGGCCCTCTCAGAGCACTGTGCCTCCTTCCCTAAGATGGGCAAATGGTCCCCGGGCTCAGGGAAGGAGGCACAATCCCATACTGGTTGGACAGTATGATCCTGTGGTGAAAATAGGCATGTGCAGTTAGGGTCTGTGAGTACAGAAAAAGGTATGGTGTTACAGCAAGTCATTTAATTATAATGCATTATGCATTATACCAGGCTTATACCATGCATTATAACTATATATGCATGAAGTTCTATTAAAACATGTAATTATTTTATGTGTAATTGTTTTTCCTAGGCTCAAGGAAATTTTGTGCCCAGGGCAACAGCATGACCAGGGGTAGCCAATGTGGTACCCTTCAGTTGCTGGACTACAACTCCCATTAGTTGCAGTCAGTGTGGTCAAGGATAATGGGAGTTGTAGTCTAGCAGTATTTGAAGGGCTCCATGTTGGCCACCCCTAGGTTACACAGGCAGAAAATTTGCCATCTAAAATCTTTTGACGGTAGAACATTAAAACAGGCCGAGAAAATGGCTCTATTTTTTGTAGGCATCTTTAAAATAAAACAGATATGCCTTACATATATTGGAAGAAGCCTAAACCATATCCAACCATCACTAAAAATAAATAAAACTTAAAGAGAAAAGAAACAAAATCCAGTGGATTCAGGATCCTGGGCTTGCCTCTTGACAGTCCTTTGATATGCCAGCCTCGGTTTTTGACAGCAGAGATAAATCTCAATTAGTCACCACTGCCATCTGTAACTAACACATACTTCCTCAACAAAAAACTCTGAAGTGGAGTCCTCAAAGGGAATTTACGAGCATGGGCAGTTTCATATTTGCCAAGTTTTGGTTATGACCACACATGACGGGGTTAAATGGTGGGGCGGGGCGTGGATTTCTCTAGAAGCGTGAAAGGCTTGCTTGCTTCCCACATCCTTCCAATATTTTTAATACGTTTTGTATTTTTCTTATTTTTTGCAGAATATGCAAGCATTACAGTCTGGCTCTCTTAAAAAAATTAAATTCCACAGAGAAATGGACAAAATTAAAATGCACTAACATCAAACTACAAAAATGGTGTTAAGCTACAGAAGTGGGCAGACTTTAAATTCTGGCCTAGTCATGTGTCGATGACTAGCTGAGTTAAAATTTCCAGCCACCTTGTAAACATCTGGGCATATGTTGTTTTATTTTTCACTTTTTGTAAGAAAGACTTTCAAGGAGGATGCATTCAGGAACTGTGTTGTGGTTGTTATACTTGGTTAATCATTGAATTGCACAAGCAGCAGTGTGTTCTTAACTTCTAGGTATTCAGGCACTTTCTCTCATAGCCATAAAGGGCAGGGTGGAATGACTTTTATACCCACCTCAGTGAGGCTGTTAGACATTTTGCAGCTGCCTGCATCATTTAAGGCACAGGACTGAAGACAACTTCCTCTGGCCACATTCACACAACCATGCAAACTGGATTCGTCCAGACATCATGGCGAAAGCATGCTTTTGCTGTCAGGAGAGGGATGCGGGTGGCGTTGTAGTCTAAACCACTGAGCCTCTTGGGCTTGCTGATCAGAAGGTTGGCGGTTTGAATCCATACAACGGGGTGAGTTCCTGTTGCTCTGTCCCAGCTCCTGCCTCCCTAGCAGTTCGAAAGCACGCCAGTCAAGTAGATAAATAGGTACTGTTGTGGCAGGAAAGTAAACGGCGTTTCCGTGCGCTCTGGTTTCCGTCACAGTGTTCCACTGTGCCAGAAGCGGTTAAGTCATGCTGGCCACATGACCTGGAAAGCTGTCTGTGGACAAACGTCGGCTCCCTTGGCCTGAAAGCGAGATGAGCGCCGCAACCCCATAGTTGCCTTTGACTGGACTTAACCGTCCAGGGGTCCTTTACCTTTACCTCTTTACCTTTGCTGTCAGGAATAGGCATCCTGTCTATTTTCATTTACTTATTTCTTTGAAAATTTATGCTCCGCTTTTTGAAGAAGTTCCTCCACAAAGCAGTTTACAATCCAGTCAAAAAAACCAACTCCCACCTGCCAACAAAAGATAAAAATACGAAACGCCCCATTACAATAAAAACCAGCACAAAAAGTGGAATATTGAAATACAGTAGAGCATACGAACATAGGAAGAGCCCTGCCTGTTGTGACCGTCACAATAATATTTCCAGAAGGGTAGCCTTGTATCTGCTGTTGCAGCAAAAACAATGGAGTCTTGTGGTGTGTTAGTCCCCATCTGCACTATACACTTAAAACTGATTCATAGCACTTTAAACAGGCGTGGCTTCCTGCAAAGCATCCTGGGAACTGTAGGTTGTTCAAGGTGCTGAGTGTTATTAGGAGACCCCATTCCCCTCACAGAGCTAGAATTCCTTGCAAAGAGGTTTTTAAACCATTCTGTGGGGAGAATAGGGGTCTCCTGACAACTCTCAGCACCCTTAACAACCTACGGTTCCCAGGATGCTTTGAAAACCATGACTATTTAAAGCGGCATAGTACAGCAACAAATGTACAGTGATACCTCGGGTTAAGTACTTAATTCGTTCTGGAGGTCCGTTCTTAACCTGAAACTGTTCTTAACCTGAAGCACCACTCTAGCTAATGTGGCCTCCTGCTGCTGCCACACCGCCAGAGCAAGATTTCTATTCCCGTCCTGAGGCACTATTTCTGGGTTAGCGGAGTCTGTAACCTGAAGCGTATGTAACCTGAAGCGTATGTTACCCGAGGTACCACTGTATAGTGCAGATGGGGCAATGCACATTTAATGTGGCATCATTTTGTCAGCTGCATGAAGGAAAGCTTTGGCAGTTCTGTGAAGGAGAAAATTGTAAGGTGAGTATTGAATGGCAATGAAATGCATAAAATTAAAGTCAGTGATCATTAGAACACTGCTTAACATACATTTAAGCTGGATGACAGACGGGCTAAAAACACAGGCACAGTCAGTACAGGATTCCTCTTTCTAAGGCAGGGAAAGAATGTGATCCATTAAGTGCACTCTCTCAGAATACACTGTTTAGCTTTTCATAAGAGAGATGGCCGTTGGGTTGAATGACAACATGCTCTCATTTTAGAAATTCTCTTTGAATACTGTAGAATTTCTGTGTTGCTTTTTTGCCCTTTATCGCCCAGAGAGAGCCCACTGTAGAGTTTCTAAGATTAGATCCTGTCACACTGTGACAGCGGAATCATATGTTCTACTAAAGTCGGTTTCATGGGCAAAAATAGGGCATCTGTTAAAGGGATTGCAGTCAGTATATAAAATGTATAACTTGGTTGGGTATTTTAGATAGCAGCCATCTCATTTTATTAGATGGTAGAAGGTTGAAGGTAGAATCCAGTGCTAGTCCTACTCAGAGCTGACCCACTGAGTTAATGGACATGACCTGCTTAGGTACATTAATTGTAATGAGTCTACTGTCGGAAGGACTTGGTTGGATACAATTCTAAGGGTGCAATCCTAACTTCACTTTCATGGGACTGAGACCCATTGAATTCAGTAGGACTTACTTGGCTAGATCTACTTTTCTCATATTTTCATATGTCACAGGAAAGAAATACAGAGTTGGAATAAATTTATTGATAGTTATTGAATACTTTCATAATAGAACAGCTTTTCAAAATGCAGTTTTCTTTTTCATTCATCTAAATTAGTTACTTGTATTTTACAAAGAGAAATATTATCATGTTATTATCTGTGGCTAGAATAATTTACAGACACCCTCCCACTTACGTGGGAGTTGTGTTGCTGCATGGATAGGTGAAACTGTGTAAAGTGGAGGAGAGCGAGATATTCATGTGCGCCACCAAAGCAGCTACTTTCCCTCTCTGAGGGCCACTGCCCAGCACACCTTTCCTCACCCTGAGCCTTCCTTCCAATCCCTCCTGGGCAGTGTCCCTGAGTGACTTCTGAGCTGAAGTTTGATTTCCTCCTCCCCTTCCCATTTAACCCAGCTGCTCTCATTGCCCTTGACTTCCCAGATCAGCTCAGCTAAATTATTTATTATTGTTATTATTATTTTATTTATTAGATTTATACGCTCACACTCTTCCCCCACCACTCATTTTCTCCTCCGCACCCTGATCCCACCTTGTTTGGAGATGGATTCTCACCTCTCCTGCTGGCCCAGGGCAGTGTGGCTAATGGGGCACTGGGTCGCTCATCCTCTAGGCTGCACTCAAGAGGCACTTTATGACCCAGCGGCTCAGCAGGCAGGCACTGATCCCATGTACTCCTGTCCTTTCCCCCTGCCTGCCTATTTTCTGAGGCTGAGTGGCGTAGTAGCGGCAGCCCAGGCAAGGCACACAGGTGGTGGGGGCACTGCTTTCCCAATCACACCTTGAGTTTGGCACTGGGGATGAGCTGGCATGTGTGTGTGAACATGCGCCCCACAGTGCCAGGAGTGGAGATCTGAGCCGCAGGTAGGAGTGGCCATTCGATTTGTTTATTGTCCAGAACCACACATACATGTGGTCATGCAGAAGTCGAATGTGTGCCAGGGTTAGGATAGTAGTTTGAAATGTTTATGCAAACCCTGGAATATTTGACTTCTAAAACAATCTCTTCCTCCAGAACCTGGTTACTGATCATCAGGTCTTCCACGTTTGGTTGATTAATTGACTAGAGGTCCTTTTAATTTTACTAAAATGGATGCCCACATTTTCATCGGCCAGCAGATTTCAATTAAAGAAGTGTAGTTTTTTAAATACATATATAAATGTATTTTGTAATTTGGCTTTTGTAAAACATTAAAGTATATAACACAACAGCCCTAATCTCTTCCCCCTCTCCAGTAACTGGTATCAGGTTATACATTAACGTGAGTGCTCCTTACCTGTTCATATAGATTATCCATACGTCCATCATATAAGGTCCGGGGGAACAGCAGAAAAACTGTCTTATCTGTCACAGGCAAGTCGTTCCCAGAGAAGAGTGTAGTCCAGGCCATACTATTTATGATAACCTTATTTGCAACAGTGCTTTGGAGAATATATCCTTAAGACCAGTATCATTTGTATAATGAATAAATAGCACTTGGTTTTCGTTCCTTTTAGCGCTTTTAAATTATGAGTTATTTTCTCAGCGATCACCAATCACCCAAACATTTTTGTGCCATAAATCCAGGGGGATAGTCTTTGTAAGGCCTTCCAGGCCCGAACTACAATTGAGCAGCTACTAAGAGAAGAGTCAATACATCTTTTGTCTTTATATCGGCATTAGGCCTTCAAAGCACTATTGGGGTGAGTAATCCATGGGCTCCCAAATTATTTTTGATATTTCCAAGGACACAAGTCCCCCAAATGTCTAAATTACTGGGCCATGACTCATAACAAGTCCCCTTAGTACTGCCAACATCATGGCTGAACCATGGACAATGTGAACTGGCATCTGATACCACCAATGTGCCACTTTTAAGGTGTTTTCTGTTATATAAGCAGAGGTGGAATTTACCTGAGCCAAAAGCCAAAATCTTTTCCATTGTGTCTCATCTATACCTTGCCCTTAAGAAAAGGGTGTAATTCTTCCAAAATCTGCATTTGGAAACACCATCTTCTCTGTATATGAGAGAGGACAGGGAATGCATTTTCTAGCATGAAGCCAAGTGCAGCCCTTATCACCTAATAGCAGAGAAATCTAACCTTTTTTACAACTTGGCTTTTCTCTCTTATGTAAATTAATGTAGATTGCATTGAACAATCAGTTATCTCAAATGCACATATGCAATTGATCAAGATTTATTTAAACAGGTACATATATTAAGAAAAAATGTACACTGAAATGCACATGAGTTTTCCTGCAGACCTTTTTTTCACAAACCACCCTGGAAATGGGACAAACTGATCTTAAGACAGGAAGAGTTAAAACTGAAGAAAATAGCAGCCAAAAGATTTGTTCTTCTCTACTCAGTGGTAAATCCCATTGAATTCAGTGGGACTTGCTCCCTGGTGAGGGTTTTATCCAGCCAAGTCCTAGTCATAGCAGACCCATTGGAATGACTGAACTTAAGTTAGTTGCACCCAGTTACTTCAGTGGATCTGCTCTGCGTAGGGCTAGCATTGAATACAACCCTGCAGTCTGAAATATTTTCCCTTGTTCCAGCTTACCTTTTTTTTTTTCTCCACTTAGGTTGAGAGGATCGTAGACAAAAGGAAAAACAAAAAGGGTAAATGGGAATATCTTATACGGTGGAAAGGTTACGGGAGCAATGAAGACACCTGGGAGCCAGAACATCACTTGTTGCACTGTGAGGAATTTATCGATGAATTCAACGGACTGCATGTCACGCGAGAAAAGCGAGCAAAGCACGGGAAACAAGCCAGCACGCCAAAATTTTTACGCGAGAGCAGAGCGTCGTCCCTCGACAAAATACCACATAGGCCATCTGACTCTGGGAAGAGCAAAGGGCTGCCCCATAAACGGAAGCGCATGGCCCCATCATTTCAAAAGCAAAAAAAGGGTTACGCGGCCAAGCCAGCACCTTCAGGAGACAGGGCTGCTAAAACAGTCTCTTACCGGACTACTCCCAGCGGCTTGCAGATTATGCCATTGAAAAAGCCACACAACGGCTTACAGAATGGAGATGCCAGTTATGAAAAGGATTCTAGACATTTTGGGAACGGCCCCCCAAAGCCAGACTTGGATTTAAATGAACATGAAGCGGAACCTGATTTGCCTGGAGTGTTGGATGTGAATAATGAGCCACCCGTCATGAATGGAATTGGTAGGTGATGTTTGTTTTAAGCATTAATTATTATCATTATTATTTTATTTGCACAAAATCATGCCATGTGTATTAGATATGTTATATGTCTGCATATGTAGTATGTTATGATATTGACATGCTAGCATAAATGCAGGCAGAAAAATCTACATGTTATTAATGCATTGCTTCATGGTGTAATCCTATGCTTTCCTATGCAAAAATATGTCCCACTGAATTTTATAGGCCTTTCTCCCAGGTTAGTTTGTATAGCAGAGTAAGCCACAGGTTGTTGGACTACAACTCCCATCAGCCCCGCCAAGCATGGCCAATGGTCAAAGGTGCTGGGAGCTGTAGTCCAGCAATTGGCAAGCGCCACATTGGCAGTCCCTGGTGTATAGCAAGGCCACCTAAATATTTCAGTATGATATCGCCTTAATCCAGTCATAGGGACAATATTTTCTATCCCTTTTCTTTGGAAGATATGTCAGATTGCCCCTTATCCTGTCTTCCCGATTTAAAGCAGCAGCATTTTAACTATTTATTTATATTTTGATACTTTAGATAGCACTCAAACATAATTATCTCTAAGTGGTGCACAAGTAGCCCAATACAACAAAAATAAAAGTCAATGAAAACTATAAATTCAGGCGTCTATTTTTCAGCTAGCCTGGAACACCCAGGAGCCTTGAAACAATGTTTTAGTATTTTCCACCATCATTGGGGATCACCTTGACGTGTCCATAAATGTGCAAAATGGGAAGCTTAATGAGCATCAGTCCTAATGCCTGGTGCTCTTGAAATCTATGTTATGCATATATGATGATGCTCTTTTTATTACTGTTATATGTTCCAATTAGTTCTATTTATGTCCCTTTGCATTGTATGTACAGGTGAGAAGCAGTATTCCTAAATCCCTTCAATTTTCTTCTCTAGGCCACACAATCTCACTATCTTCACAGCCTCCTTATATGGGAGTCTTCTCTGACCTCCAACTATTTTTGCTAATCATTTCTTGAGCCTTTTGTCTTTCTATTATATCCTTCCAGAGATTATGAGATCAGGGCTGAGCACACTGTTCCAACAAAGGATGTCAATGCAATATGTGAGATTCGGTGTGTAGAGTCTTTCATCATCCACCATCTCTCAGTGTCTTTAACGCTTGTAGTGCTTACTCAGCAGAAGTTTTGAAATGGTCAGGGCAATCTTCTGCTGGAGTTTCATTTCAGACTAAGCAGTTTCTTGCTTCATGCCTCAGACTACCTTGCCAGGGCCCTTTTTAGGGCACAGAGTGACCTAGAGGCTGAATATTCATATGGTCCTCCTGTTTCTTCCCATTGCATCTGCCTTCCTTCCTTCCTTCCAAAAATGTATGTATGCCATCCTTCATGGCAAAATTCTCTGAAAGCAGGGTACATCAAAATGGACACATCATATTTTGAAAATAGGGTCAGGACAAACACAGCTTCTCTACTCAAGGCTACGGATGGGGGAGGAGTTTGACTCAGTTATCATTTCAAGGCAAACTTAACCTAATTCAAACTTTCCCAAACCACACACAAACGGAAACACAGCCATCCTTCGAAATTCGCATTGCTCCAAATTTTGCAATGGCAGGTCAAACGATGTGTGAGAAAATGCGCGCACTGAGGTAAAGTGTGCATAGGTTGCTGAAAATAAGGTGCCAGAATGTATTATATTAGGGGGAATCGCTTTGCAAAAAAAAAAAAAATGCATATTGGGGAAAATTTACACTAAAATACTGGTGAATTTTCACAAGGCCTTTTAAAAAAAAAAATGGTGTGGGAATGTGGAGAACTGAATTTAAGACTTGGGAAATGAGGAAGAGAAAGAAACAGAAATGGACAGGTTCACCCATCCCTACACAAAGCTGAATAGCCAGGCAAAATGCTTTGCCAAGGGATGTTTTGAGTGTCTTGTGTTGATGACATTCCCCCTCCCCATTTGTTGGTGTGTGTTGTTTTCAAATTATTTTTCACATATAGTACATAGGAACATAGGAAGCTGCTTTATACCAAGTCAAGCCACTGGTCCATCTAAGTCAGTATTGTTTACAGCGACTGGCAGTGGCTCAGCAGCATATTAAACCTGGGACCTTCTGTGTGCAAAGCAGATGCCACACCACTGAGCCCTTCCCTGAGATAGCTAGATGTATATGTGTTCGGCTTTTGGGCACACTGACTGACAAAACCCTTACAAAGTGTATTTGGATGGAAGGTACCCCACTTCCACGCCACTCCCTGCCCCGCTGCCTTGCTATATTGTACCACTGCCTTCATTTAAGCCTGTACACTCCCCTCGCTGTCACCTGCAGCAGCAAAAGGAAGCTGGATTCCTTTATCACTACATCTCTGAGCCTTGGGCTTGCCTCTTCTGCAAAGTCTTTGCTTATGAGGTTCAGATGCCAGGCAGTGTTGTTTCGCGCTGGGCAACCATGCACACACACACATACACACACTGCAGCAAAGCTGAGAGCGCAGAGATGAGGCAGTCAGAATGCAGTGGGGGATGGAGAGAAGCAACAGCGGAGAGGAAGAACTGACTGTGGACCACAGGTTAAAATAATGGGAGTGGGGTGGTTGATACTATAACCATCATGGTAATCAAATTAGAATCATTACAGTATAAGGCCTTTCAAAAAAATTGGAATCCTTTCTGTCAACGCTGTTGCCAAAATGACAGTGACTAGGAAGAGTTGTTCTTTTTAAAACATTTATTAAATTATCATTAAAGCATGGGTACCCCATGTTACTGGACTACAACTCCCATCATTCCTGACCTTTGGCCTTGCTGGCTGAGGCTGATGGGAGTTGGAATCCAAGAGAGTTGGGGGGGGGCCACATTGTAGCACTATAACACTCTTCCATTTAAGCTGTGTTCCATTTATTATCTATATATATATATATATATATATATATATATATATATATATAAAACACCACCATTTTAGCCGTAGCTGTGTTTCAGTGCTAATTAAAATATTGATTAAAAAATCAACAGGGTGATAAAATAGCCCCCACCGCAAAGTTTACACTAAATCTTCACTGAGCTTCAAGTGGTCCCTCAGCTGAATTGGGCCACATCACACTCACAGGCATAGACAGCATCCTGGGGTGAACACAGGGCGAAAGTACAATATCCCTGATAGTGTGGAAAGCCAGTTGAAATTCTAGCTTATGATTTTTGCATTTATTGCATTTATATCCTGTCTTTTTCTCTGAGGAGCTCTAGACAATGTACACGATTCTCCTCCCGCCAGCAATCCTGTGAGGTAGAATAGGCTGAGAGGCAGTGACTGGCCCAAGTGAGCTTCATGGGCCAATGGGGGTTTGAACCTTGGTCTCCCAGGTCGTAGTCCAACACCCTAACCTCTATACCATGCTGGCTCAGCAGGAGTACAGTGATTATTTGCATTAGGAGAAACCCATCTCAAGAATCTGGTGTTCCCACCACAGAGAAAGCAACACAAAAACCCTCAAGTGCTTCACATAGGACAAATGGGACCTGCAGTGTGGCATACTCCTGCCCTAGCCCCCTTGGGACATTGATATTCCATTCCCACCCATATATTTTTCTATTCGCTTGTGGTCACTAGGCATTAGCCTCATCCAGCAGTCTCTTCTTACATTCACATGTTCTTAAGGCAGTGAAGAGGAACGTGACACAGGTTGTATGACCCAGGTTGCTGTGCAGATGAAATGGGGAGGGGAGAGAATCAGGCATACCACCTTCCGTTCTGAGGAGGAAAATACGTAGCAATAAAAACAATGAGTAGATAAATTAAATAGTTGCCCGTCAAGCTACAACTGGAAACTCTTAGTTCAAGTGGCAAGCTAGCTCTCCCAGTGTCTTGCTATCAGCCAGCAGATGTCAACACTTACCCAGGGTGGGAGAGTCACCCAGCCCACATCAACCAAGCCCTTGATAACACTGAGAACATCTGTTGCGGTTTCACCGAACCCACATGAGCATTCCATCATCTTCCATTGGTGCTTGCTGTCTTCTTTTGTCAGGTTTCTTGACAGCATTATTAAAATCAAAAAGCAATCCCTTATATTTTCCTTTCTCTCTCCGTCTCTATTGATCTAATTCTCTGCACTGTTTGCTAAAGATTGCCCTTTTCATTTAGCTTTACACTGAGTCTTCTGTTTTTTTATTTTTACCAACAGACTCCAGGGATAATCTTTAATTGCAATGCTAGTTTTACTACTAAGGAAGTCAATGTTTGTCCAGCTAATATCACAGCTAATAAAATTCTACTGCACTTCTTCAGTTTGAAAGGGTGTGCCTTGTAGGTTAACCATTTTTGTGGCTTTTAAGTACCCTGAAGAAGGCTGCAGACAGAAGGAGAAGATGATGAGTGTGGACAGTTTTTAAATGCAAATTTTAAAAGCAAAGTTTCATGCGCTCTGCCTCCTGGAGTGGGAAAATGCTCCAGTGGCAAACATTATACGAGAGACCTCCCTTCCAAAGTTCAATTTTGAGATGTGCTTGTGCTGGATGGATTCAGCCTCAACTGGTGCCTCCCACCTCCCAAACCATTTTTTAAAGATTGCAGGTATTTTCAGGGGTCCCAGTCACCCTCTTCTCCTGATATGGACCCCTGGACTGTGCCTTGTGGCCTCTCTGAAGCTGTAGCACCCATGATGCTCCACAACAGAGGGGTGGAACCTCAGGCCTGAGGGCCAAATGTGGCCCATGAAACTGGCCCCTGGATCTCTCCTGGGGCCATCCCCCTCACTGCCCCTGCTTACATTCTCCTTGAGCGTTTTTGCCTGGCTGAACTGTGCCCTTGAACTCTTACCATGCCTCTTCCCTGCCTGGATGGAGGAAGAAAGGCATGTGTGAGTGTGTATATAGTCGATGGTACAAAGGTAAAAATGTACATCTGTTGCCCACTTTAGCATTTGGCCACTAGCAGGTTGCCCAGGTGGCCCTCTTGCTGAAAATCCCCCTACGTCCTCCCAGCATTGTCCACCGTCCACCAACACCACCACAGCAGATTAATGCTATTAGCTTTAAAGGTAAAGGGACCCCTGACCATTAGGTCCAGTCGTGACTGACTCTGAGGTTGCGGCGCTCATCTCGCTTTATTGGCCGAGGGAGCTGGCATACAGCTTCCGGGTCATGTGCCCAGCATGACTAAGCTGCTTCTGGCGAACCAGAGCAGCGCATGGAAACGCCATTTACCTTCCCGCCGGAACAATACCTATTTATCTATTTGCACTTTGATGTGTTTTTGAACTGCTAGGTTGGCAGGAGCAGGGACCGAGCAACGGGAGCTCACCCCGTCGCGGGAATTCGAGCCGCCAACCTTCTGATCGGCAAGCCCTAGGCTCTGTGGTTTAACCCACAGCGCCACCCGCGTCCCTGCTATTAGCTTTAGCCTTCCTTTAAACTCTGCATTAGGAAAAGTTTGCACAGCAGTCAAAGATTAGAAGGGAAAGGGGAAGGTGATGATGAGCCTTATTACTTCCCCTACACCAGAGACATAAAACCACCCCATTCTTTCCGTGCTGCAACCTGATACATCTCATCATATTGCCGCTGTTGTGTCATTTTATGAGAGGTCCAGGAAGCCTGTGTGAGGTTTAGGGCTGCTGCTAGAGTAGGCAGATTAATTTGTGTGTGTGTGTGCGCGCGCATAAAATAGCAAAGCCCATGCCTGCAGCGGATCCCATTACACGCCGCCATCTCTTCTCTGCTCCTTTTTTGTTTTCTCGCAAATGTGGCAAGAGCTCTCCTGTGGACCAACCATTGGTTGCCTTTCCCTCCTCTCCGCAGAGAGGCTTTGCTTTGCTTGGGGGACCTGCTGTGAGGTTAACAGCCTCTTTTGTCACCTCTTCAACTCGCTTGCTAGGTGCTCTCTTTGAACAAATGAAGAAACAACAAATAATGATGATAACCTGATGGATGAGAGGGTTTATGTTGTGTTAGATTTCCCCGAAGGATTAATCCCCTGCCCTCTTCCCTTACCATCTGCACCTTCAGCAGCTGTTGCTTATTCCTCAATAGCATATAAATTTTCCAGCCCAAGTCTGCCTTCATCCATTGCCCAGGCACTTGCATGCGATTTTTCAGAGTTCCCTGTCCAGACCTACTTGAACCTGCTTAGATCTAATTCCTAACAGACACATGGCGTTCTTTTGACCCTGAGCATGATCAATCCTTGTTGGGAGGTTGCTTTTTTGGCTAGGGGAAGAGGTTGCCCCTTTAGACCCCCCCCCCCCCACTAAAGGTAATTTGTTGCCTCAAGCATTCTGGTGATAGCTCTCTGTTGTTTCTTACTGGCCCCATTTACAATCTGGTCACAGCACTTGCCAGGTGGCTCCACTATTAGAGGGAGTGATTATTATTTGAAGATTTGCCTGGTGTATTTGGAGAAAGAAAAAGTATACTCCCTGAGTGGGCTTTAACTGGTGTGCTGGAATAAGATGTGGGAAGACCCTTTGCCCTCGAGGGAGACAGTTCTCAAAACATGGTGAGCAATCTTCAAACAATAATAAATGGTTGTTTTCAAGCAGCAGTCTATGGTTTTGCTTCTCCTTGTTTTGGGCTTTTGGATTGCTACGTTTACTTCCACCTGCAGCTCTCCTCCTCTTCAATGCATCCACTGATGTGGGAGGTTTCAGTATATATAGAGATCAGTTGGTCCATCTGACTCAGTCCTGTCTATTCCAGTGGGACCATAGCTCAGTGGTAAAGCATCTGCCTTGTGTGCAGAAGATCACAGGTTCAAATCCCAGCATTTCCAGCTAGGAAAAATAGTTTGGGGTTTTTTTGGGGGGGGGTTAAATAAAACAATACAAATATTTGGCATTTGTCTGTTTTGAGACAATTAGATTGTGTCTTAATGTGTAAAAATAGTATCAGTGTATTAATATCCCTAATTATGAAGAAGGCAATAGGTGAAATATGCAAGGTGAATATGTCTGGAATATGTTTATAGAGGCCTCACTGTGTGGTAGGATTAGCTGTCCAATCACAGACTCTATTAACTTTTTTTCCTCCAACACCCTCAAAAGTACATAATCCAGACCCTAGTGACATTAATTGAAAGACTTCTCTTGCCTTTGGTTACTCCCTGAGAGACTAATTTACCTTAAACTCCCATGGCAGTCCACCAGCACTTTCACTAAGCAAAGATGAATCCAATCTACGAAACTCAGATCCAGGTCCCAGTTGTACGTCTTTTGTTTCTGATTGAAATTACACCAGGCTGTCTGGAGCCAAGAAACAACTTTGTTCATTGCAATTCATATATAAGGGAAACAAGAGGGAAGTTTGGATTTTAAAAACATTTATTTGGTTGATTTAAACCCCTTACAAAGCAGTTTACAGCAATGAATAGATACAGCGGATTATATCCAATGTGAGTTCTGCTCAGAGTAGATCCACTGAAATTAATAGATATAGCTAACTTATGTCCATTACCTTTAATGGGTCTACTCTGAGTTTTTTTTAAAATGGTTAAATGCAGCCCAATACATTGAACAGTGCAAACATTAAAAACCCAACTGGGGATGAACTATTAAAACAGCAGCAACAAACATGAAGCCAAATAAAGCCATCAATAAAAAGCAGAGTGGATTTAAAAGGGGGGTTCGAAGCAATGCAAGAAGTTGGACTAGATAACCCTTGTGAACCCTTCCTATTCTACAGTTATATAATTCTATGATTCTAAAATTCACTTAAAAGACAACAGTGAGGGGCCCATTCACACTTCCCAAATAAGGGAAGTCCACAACAGATAAGGCCCTGTTTTTGTTCCCTTCCAGTCTCATGGTCCTTGGGCCTGGGCAGGTTCATATGCTTAGAAATGTTCAGTATTTCCTGTCTAGGAATAGAAGAGAAATATACAAATTTTGAAGAATAATTGTGTTTCACTTTGTGTATTGGTTCGAGGAACTGTGAATTAAGCACTTCACATTAAAATACAAATGAAATTGAATTTCTCCTCCACCCCTCGTTACTTATTAGCCGTCTCAAGCTTTTTTTGAAAAGCCAGAATATACAAAATATATATTTTTCGAAAAGTCAAACAAAAATTCAGTCCAAATCAAACATGTGAACAGCATGATCCTACTGATAAATCAGTGTCACTGAGTTCACCGGGGTTTGTTCCTAAGGAAAGGGGCATGGGGTTGCAGCCTGAAGTCCCAGTGATTTCAGTACATTTAAGCACGCACCTTGCTCTTCCCTTTAGCTAGCGCAGTGGTAGGTAACCTCAGGCCTGCCAAGTCTGATGATCTGACCCTTGAGGTTCTCATCAGGCCACACTGTTCACAGGCACTACTGTATGCCTTCTGAGTTCACTTTTTACTGGCTGGCATGCATCTCTGAATTCTTTCTTGTCTGGATGGTGGATGGAAAAGATACTGGGAGTGAGCATTGAAAGCTCTGGTTTCTGTGTAGCCTTACTGCACAAAGGTAGAACTCATATCCATTGATTTGCCTACTTTTGCCCCCTGCTCACTTTGTCTCTGGCCTCACCTGCCAGAAAGTTGCCTGCAAGAGAAGGCAGCCTTTGGCCTGGAAATGGTTCCCCGTGCCTGAACTAGAGCATATTGAGACAAAATATGTTTCACTAAGTATGTACTTATTTTTTTTAAGGGGCTGAGTTTACTTTCAAGGAAGGCAATAGTATCCATTGGCTTTTATTAGAGAAACTCTAGCAGTTGCCACTGTTCCAACTCCCTTAATTACTCCATCCTTTAAAGCAGAATAAGAGCAGTTCAACCAAATGAAAGCAACCATATGAAGCTGAAGTACCTCAAAGATGTACTTCTTGGGGAGAAAGGGGCCATGGCTTAGTGGTACCGCATTTGCTTTGCTTGCAGAAGGTCACAGGTTTAATCCCTGGCATCTCCAGGTGGGCTGAGAAAGATTCCCTGTCTGAAACCCTGGGGAGCCCATGGTCAGTCATTGCATAAAATATTGTGCTAGGTGGACCAGTAGACTGGCAACTTCCTATGTTCCTGTGCTTGTCTCTTGGGGGATTCCTAGAGATAATGACATGTGTCTCTTCTGACTCTTTGCCTTTTGAAAGGTTCTTCTCTGGCAAATGGAGGCCTGAATCTTCATAGCACTGTGAAAAGGAAGCTGGAAGGGGAGAAAGATTACGTCTTTGATAAGAGACTCAGGTACAGCGTGCGTCAAAATGAGAGCAACTGTCGGTTCAGAGACATTGTAGTACGCAAAGAAGATGGATTCACGCACATCCTCCTCTCCAGTCAAACCTCAGATAACAATGCACTGACTCCAGAGGTATGCAGGTGAACATCAAAGCAAAGGGGAGAGGCCCTGTAAAGTGGGAGGGCGATAGTAGCTAGAAAACTAAAGTCAGTCTTAACCTGAGTTTACCGTTGTCCCCTCATCACCCATGAAGAAGCTCCCATTTTGGACTTCCGCTGTTGATGCTTGCAATATTTTTTAAATGAAAGAATAGAATCAGAGGCTGCAGATTTGTAGTCTGTACACAACATTTTTATTTTCCTCAGGGTTTGAATGGAGGCCACGGGAACTTAAGTGATGCTTGCATTATGAGTTGATGACTCCCCAACCCGTCATGTTCACATGGCAGCCAATTGTGTGGGGTGGTGGTCCCTGATTGCATTCCCAAGTGGCAGGATATTGAGGCTTACTGATGGGGAAGGACCATAGCTCAGTAGCAGAGCACAGACTTTGGATGTCAAAGGTCCCAGGATCAATCCTTGACATCCCCAAGTAGGTCTGGGAATGTCCCCTTTCTGAAACCCTGTAGAGCTGCTCCCAATCCATGTAGACAATGATGAGCTTGATGGACCAATGATTTGATGGTACAAAGCACCTTCCTATGTTCCTTCCTATCATCTCTCAAGATATTAGAACTTTTGGGCATTCTCCAGGGTGAAATAAGTATCAAGAGCTTCCTGCTTCATTTATTATTATTATTAATTTTTACTCCCCCCAAAAAAACTATGGGTAAAAAGGTCACATATCACAAAAATACAAAGCTGAGTACAGGAGGTACAATTCATAAAAAATCTGGAGAATATTATAATTCTTTAAAAATTCCACTAGAATGACTCCTATTCCCATGGTTTGCCTACAGCCCTGATTACTGATCAGATGAGCCCCTAATCAAGGATCACTTCCCCCAAGCTCTTTGAATCTCCACTTCACATTCTGAAATAGCACAATATCCTTTGGGGCTTTGTTTTCTGAAGGCGGTGGCTTCTGCTGCTTTATCCTCAATTAATTAAAGGTGCCTCAGAACTTGGTAATTGCATTTCCATTCTTTGCACGGGTTTAAAGCAAAAACAAAACCAGAGCAAATGTTTTGCCTAGCAGCAGACACAAGCAATGTAATGTGCTATCAGAATTGTTTCTTCCAGACATTCAAGGGGGCAAACGGCAGTTTGAGGGGCACACTTTTATGAAGGCATTTGTCTCTGTTTCTTGTTCTCTGGTGCTTCAGAGGTTGTTGGACTACAACTCCCATCATCCTTGGTCATTGTCCATGCTCTCTGGGGCTGATGGGACTGGATTCCAACAGCAAGTTCCTCACCCCAGTTTCTTAGGTCTTCTCTTTGTTGCCCCAGTCCATGACCACTTGTAAACATCAGCTTTCTTAACAATACCTTCAGAAATGGCTTTGAAAATTGATTTTTCAGGTGCTTCAACTGTTCCTAATTTCTCCTAATGGACACATTTTGTATGCATCTGACTAACATACAAATTTTTGAAATGCAATTTCCCCTAATATAATAGATTTTTGTATGTTATCTTCACTAATATATTCATGTTCATATGGAGTTTGCCCTAGTTCATGTGTTTTTGTGCAAATATATGGCTGGAGAACTGCATTGCAAAATTAAGAGAAGTGGAGATTTCCAAGAATGGCTGTGTTTCAGTTTATGTTTTGTTACAAAAGTGCTATCCATCATTATTGTTACTATTTATATCCTGCCTTTTTCCAGGCAGCTTCCAAAAAACAGGCAGATTTGCCTTTAGATGCAAACTGAATTGAATTTCTCCCCCATTGCTATCTGAGTGTAAGGATGGATGGATTTGTTGATTTTGATTTCTCCTAGGACCTAGGTTCACAAATTTCCAATCTTAAGCTTGGCTTTTCCACATAGGTTTGCGTACATAGATAGACTCCCCATCAGCTTGTGTGGCGTTCTACCATTTCTCATACACACCTTTATGCAGTGTAATCCTATTTGCATGCAATTTGCCTAATATACACCATTTTGCATGTTATTTTAACTAGTATATACAATGCACACTTTCCCCTAATAGACACTTTTTTTTGTTCAAGGGCTGCACCGTAAAATCATGGGAAGTGTGATTTTTGAAAGATAGCTGTGTTTCAGTTCATGTACTGTTTCATAATGTGAATTATGAAGGTTCATGATAAAATTCAAGCCAAACCAGATTTTCCCCACATAATTTTACCAGAGAGCAAGTTCCCTTGAACACGGTGGGGGTTACTTTTGAGTATGCCTAACTTTGCCCTGTGAATACGCCTGAGCTGCTGATCATAGTAAGACGAGTTCCACTGTAGTAAACATTCTATTAAAGATTGTTTGGTCAAGGGCCTCTTTGGTCTGATCTGACACCACTTTCAGAAGATAACGCAGGACAGGATAATTTCTGGGTAAACGAAATGCAGTGTGAAGCAGGCGGGAAAGAACTTTCAGCAGTAGTAATGATACTGGGTGTGAGAACGTGTTTTTAAAACACACCCAGTAACTTGTTTATTTTATCAAGACAATTTATACCCTGCCCTTATGGTGCAAAGCACAAGACAATCAGTGAAAGTCACAGTGTGTAGCTGAAGCCAAATCATTCCTAAATCCTCATAAACTAAAAGCCTGCAGAAATTAGAAAACAGTTTCTGGGTGCTATATGAATAATCTTAAATTTGTAAGAAATCAAGGATATGAATTATTTCATTTTCCCAAGGCTTTTAATGTTCTCTTCCTTGCAGAATTAAAGTGTCAGCAACCGTGTGGATGTACATAATAAAATTTACAGTACACCTGATTCTCAGAAAGCTTTCCCAACCCTCTTTGATTCTCCCAAAGAAAGAGCCCCACTAACCAAGCTGGAAAGCTCATTTCTTGCCAAAGATGTATTCGTTTTATTGTCACTTGACTTCCATCACTATTTATTTTATTTTATTTTTTAGTTTCCTTTGCCAGTCTCTCCAAAGAGAATAGTCATACACTGTTGGCGATTCCAACAGTGCTGTGCAGCTCATGACATGTACATTGAACGCATATTATTGAAAATCAATTACCTAGAAGCATAGCACAGCATTTTCCCCTTGGCATATTACTTGCATGGGGGGTACACTATGCAGTTACTGGGGAATGGGACCTAGTTGCATGGAAACTTCTGTACACACAGAGGCTTTGTCAGTTCAGACATCTGTGCCCAATGCATTGATGCTAGGGGTTTTGTGCACTTGGAAGTTGAGATAGGGTTAGAGATGTATCCTTGATCCCCTTCATAAGATGAATGCATCAAGGGGGTTCTATGCCAGGTAAAGTGATTTTACCACCTGTTTTAAATAAAGACAGCTGGCATGTTGCTAGGTTTGTTCTTGCAGCCAGCCATGCAAATACTCAACTGCTTAAATGCACAGAATCTTCAAATCACAGAGGAAAGCCCACACTTACACAAAGTGCGGTACTCAGGAGGGACAGAAAAAATGGGCATGATCCTGCTCTTCCTGCGGTGTGCTTTGGGTTGTGGGTGTGGGTTCTATACTCCCAAAAGTTTCTCCAATTTGCAGCCATTTGCACATCTGCCCATGGACCTGAAAAGGTTGACCAAGCCCTGTTCCACACATTGAGTCTACACAGTCATTTGAAGAGTCTGTACAGTTTCTGAAGGCGTGAAAAGGAAAAATAGCTGTTCTGGGGCCCACACCACTGCACAACACCCTTGTGAGGTCATTTAGACAAGCTTTTCTGGAAGAAAAGCAGAGGGTGCAATTTAAAGGGTGGCAACATGAAGCCTTGGGAAGTCCGAAGCAAACCAATGACCTTAAATTTACTTCCTCCTTTTTTCGCTAGCAATACCTTTTGCTTTTGAAAGTTGCAAAGCAACTTATAAATAATGAGTGTAGAGCAGAGATAGCCAAAGTGGATGTTGTTAGGCTTCAACTCCCAAAAGCAAACCTATCCAGTGGCCAAAGTAGTGTTGAATATATATTTGAAACGTGCAGTTTTAGCTGAAACAGTGTGAAGGTAGTGATCGCTTTAGCTGTGTGTGTGTGTCAAAGAACTGTTCTTGTTTTTTGGTCTTCACAGATCATGAAGGAGGTCCGGAGAGCACTGTGCAATGCGTCAGCCGACGACAGTAAACTCCTGCTTCTCAGCGCAGTGGGTAGTGTCTTCTGCAGTGGCCTAGACTACTCCTATTTAATCGGCAGGTTATCTAACGATAGAAGAAAAGAAAGCACGAGGATCGCAGAAGCTATAAGGTGACTTTGTCTTGCCTCTGATGCTCAGGAGTTGCTGTGCTTGGGGAGGAAGTCTTAAGATTTTTTTTATTTTAGTTTTTGTGGTCACTGTATATGTTTATGTGTTTCTTTTCTTAATAGGGTTGTTGTTATTGAGTTGTTATTGTTTTTTATTTTGATTATGTATTTTGTGATTTTATTTTGTGATTTTATCTTGTGAACCGCCCTGAAAACTGTGGGTATAGGGCAGTATACTACTACTACTACTACTACTACTACTAATAATAATAATAATAATTCACTTACACTAGCAGCCACTCTGAAGTTTTATTACAATCAAGAGATGTATACATTTTGTTAAAATAAATGAGCAAAATTATCACGAAAAACAGATACCCTCACAGCTTAGAAATCAGTGTAGGACAAACTAAAAAATTGTTGTTGTCACTATTTTACCCAACTTTCACTCTAAGGCCCTACGGTGGGTTACAACATTGAAACACAATATATACAACAGATGGCACACATAATCAAGCCTGGAGAGTTGACTTCGGTCAGGGACAGGGAAGCTGTCGGCCTCCAGAAGTTTGTTGGACTACAACTCCCATCATTCCTGTCTGTTGGCAATGCTCACATGGGCTGATGAGATCTGGAGTCCAGCAATGTCTGGGCAGCCACCAGTTCCCCATCCCTGGCTTGGGCAGTGATCCTTGGCAGGAGGTGTTACAAGTGCGTCCCCATTTTCATCTGTGAAATTTGAAAGGGTTGAGCTCACCTGGAGATCACCAAGATGAAGTACAAGCTCTGTAGATGTCTTAATTGTAGCTTTCCTTCCTTCTGGCATGTCAGATATTGCCTCAGGGACTTCAGCATATTCATAAATTTCAGCACTCATGATGATTCCTAGCATGGCAGCCGTGCTTGATTAAAACAGGATTGCGCAATATGGCTGAGCCTAACAAAGGTGGTGTTCTGCTCTTTTCCTTAGAAGTAAAATGACCTCATTTACATGTAAATGGACTACCAGTGCTAAAATGTGGCCTTCCTTTAATAAGTGTCATATTATTTTAAATAGAAATCTGCCTAGTGTGAAGCACATTCCTTAAATCCGTTGCCAAACATGCTCCTTCCTGTTTGGAGCCCGCTCCCAAACTGTTGCCAATTAGTGCCCATGCAATCATGACCCATTTGTGCCAATTATGTTTCTGGCTCGGTGTTTCGTTTGGGAAGGTCTGTAGCTCAGGGGCAGAGGACATGCTTTGCATGCAAAAGGTCCCAGCTCCAACCTCTGACCGCTCCAGGTAGGACTGGCTAAGGCTCCTACCTGAAATCCCAGACAGTTGCTGCTTGTCAGAATAGACAATACTGAGCTACATGGACTCAGTATAAGGTATCTTCCAATGTGCTTGAAAAAACTTAGTTTGTAGTGTACCCAAAAAATTGCAAAAGAAATTGCCACTCAAATCAGGGGTGATTTCAGAAGTTGCACAGGCATTTTAAAGTTTCAGGAGGCTACAGCGTCATAAAGCAGGGGTGGGAAGCTTTGCTCATCTCAAGGGCCACATTCCTTTCTGAGAAACCTTTCAGGGGCCACATGCCATGGGTTAGAGGCAAAAGTGAACAGAATTTGGCCTTTGGTACAGCAAATTAGTTTCTTCACATGCAAGCCCATCCCTCTCTATCCTCCTGTCTAGATAAGCAAGAAGCATGATAAGAGTTCAGGAATACATTCCAGCCAGGAAGGAACCTTGCCAGGAGAGTGCACAACATCGCTGCTGAGGGATGTGGCTCAGAGGAGAGGACAGCCTGAGGAGAGTCATGGGGGTTGCATTTGGACCCCCTGAACCTGAGGTTCCCCATCACAAAGCCATCACATCCACGTATCTCAGGATGATCTGTTTTAAAGAATATTTGGGTGTTTCTCTTTTAAGGCACTGGGACGCGGGTGGTGCTGTGGGTTAAACCACAGAGCCTAGGACTTGCCGATCAGAAGGTCGGCGGTTCAAATCCCCACGACGGGGTAAGCTCCCGTTTCTCGGTCCCTGCTCCTGCCAACCTAGCAGTTTGAAAGCACGTCAAAGTGCAAGTAGATAAATAGGGACCGCTCCAGCGGGAAGATAAACGGTGTTTCCATGTTCTGCTCTGGTTCACCAGAAGCAGTTTAGTCATGCTGGCCACATGACTTGGAAGCTGTCTGCGGACAAACGCCGACTCCCTCGGCCTATAGAGCGAGATGAGTGCGCAACCCCAGAGTTGGCCACGACTGGACCTAATGGTCAGTAGTCCCTTTACCTTTTAAGGCATAGAATCATAGAATCAAAGCACTGTAGAGTTGAGAGGGACCCCGAGGTTCATCTATGCAGGAATCGCAACTAAGGAATCCCTAACAGTGAGTTAAATGCCCATGCAACATTTTACAAATTAAAGGCAGGCAGTCAGCCTGTTTGAAGGAGAGTGACAGCTGAGCCAGCACTGACTTCACTGGCATGTGTGCACCACTTGTTCAAGTGGCAAAGCCGGACAGATGTGTAGGGCTTGCATTGCAGCTGAAGGATGCCTTTCTCCACCCTCCGTAGGCATCAGGAAACCACCCCAAGCCAAGATGGGTGGGGAAGGGCTGCAGTCCAGCAGGCAGGGCATCTGCTTGGCATGTTGAAGGTGAATCAGTAAAAACAATGCTGAGTTAGATGGATCAAGGGTGTGTCCCAGTATAAGCCAACTTCTTAGGTGTACTTGCTGCTCCGGGGAGCTATAGATCAGCGGGTAGCACATCTGCTTTGCACACAGGAGGTTCCAGATTCAGTCTGTGGCATCTCCAGGTAGGGCTGGGGAAAGCTCCTGCCTGAAACCTTGGGGAGCCACTATCTGTCGGCATGGACAGTTCTGAGCCAGATGGATCAATGGCCAGACCCATTATAAGGTAGATTCCTGTGCTCCTATAGGTTGCAAAGGTGAATCCATTTTCAGAGGGAATAGGCATCAGTGATAGGGAGTGGCTGTCTCCAATGGGCTTTATTTGTGAGGTTCTCTTAAGTTACCTGGCTCCCTTGCCAAAGGTTTCACTCCAATCCAGCAAGGTCATTCTCAAGTTTGTTTCCTTTTATTGCATCACTATATATTGTAATCATATATATATTACACGTACATTAACACAGAAGGTTTCCAAGCAGGGCACAGCATTCAGAAAAGGGAACAAAAATGCAAAATAACAGAGGTTCTGCACTAAAAAGTGTTCTCAGAATTGCCAGCAATTTCCGGTAATTTCCCGATGGGATGATTGACATTTTTTGGAATGTGATTAATAACAGTTCTCCTCCTTCTCTAAAACTGCAGGGATTTTGTCAAAGCTTTTATCCAGTTTAAGAAGCCAATCGTGGTTGCGATCAATGGACCTGCTCTCGGCTTGGGGGCTTCCATTTTGCCGCTCTGCGACATCGTCTGGGCGAGCGAAAAGGCCTGGTTTCAGACACCTTATGCAACTATTCGCCTCACTCCAGCCGGCTGCTCTTCGTACACGTTCCCACAGATACTGGGTGTCGCTCTGGTAAGTCTGCTTCCTGGATGATTCTGGTGGTCCAAATCCAGGCTAATGGCTTGGATCTAAAAGTGCCCTTCTGCAGGCACAAATCCTCATTATCACCTCATAGAGAGACCGCTTCTGACTTAACGGAAGAGGATTGCACAAGGAAAGTGAGATGAATCCAGAGTTTCTCTTCTGTTGGGACAAATCCTCATTCAACCATAAGTGCAATGTTGTTTGCTATTTCTTCCCCTGAATCCCATACCTTTATGGTTTTAACTCACTTAATGCAAACCAAGTCCTTACGTTTTTCAGCCTGAGGGCAGCATCCCCTCCTAGCCAAACTTCTGGGGGCCACATGCCAGTGTTGGCTGAGGGGCTGAGGCAAAAGTGGGTGGAGCAAGACCTGTGACTCTTACCTTTGTACCAGAGGCTACATTCCAGCCATGCAGAAGGCCGAGGAGCTCTACACACACATTTCAGCGTCTTGACTCAGATATGTTTGTTTGCAGGCAAATGAAATGTTGTTCTGTGGAAGGAAGCTAACGGCACAAGAAGCCTGCAGCAGAGGACTCGTCTCCCAGGTTTTCTGGCCCACAACGTTCGGGCAAGAAGTGATGTTGAGGGTGAAGGAAATGGCATCCTGCAGTGCAGTGGTAAGAAACGGGCAGTCGCTGGGATTGGCTAAGGCATGACCATGTTCATTTTTGGAAACGAAACTCACAAACTGATATAGGAGTGTGGAGACATGGATTTAAGCTTGGAAATATAAGAAACCGAAACTAATAGGTTTGCCCGTTTGTATAAAAGCATCAGCTACAATAACCTTTATATATATATATATATATATATATATATATATATATATCCTCTAACAATATTTCTCTAACAATTTCCCATATTTCCCCCCTACCTCCCCTGACTTCCCTCATATTCCCGTTTTGTTTTATTTCCATTTTACTTAACCTGTGTGTTGTTTCCCAAAATTTCCCCCATACATATAATCTTACTTTTTGTTATATACAATTGTTTTTGTTTATTCAAACCCTGCCAGTGAGTCCAATTCTTTATGTTGCTTCTTTATATATGCTATAAATGGTTCCCATTCTCTGTTAAAGTCTTTGTTATCCTTTTCATGTAATTTATCCGTTAATTTTGCCAGTTCTGCGTATTCCATAAGTTTCCCTTGCCATTGTTCTTTCGTTGGTATTTCTTCTGTCTTCCAAGCTTGTGCTAATATAATTCTTGCCACTGTTGTTGCCTACATAAATAATTTCCAATTATTTTTTTAAAAAATCTTGATCTAAAATTCCTAGGAGGAATGCTTCTGGTTTCTTAACAAAAGTCTTTTTAAACATTTTTTTCAATTCATTATATATCATTTCCCTATAATTTCTAACCCTTTTGCATTCCCACCACATATGATAAAATGTACCATCTTTTTTCTTTACATTTCCAACAGGTTTTAGATCCCTTTTTATACATTTTGCCACTTTCTCTGGTGTAATATACCATCTTTACATCATTTTCATATAATTCTCTTTCAATAAGATAAAATCTGTAATTTTTAAATTCACTTTCCACATCTTTTCCCAATCTTCCAATTGTATATTATGACCTAAATCCTGAGCCCACTTTATTTGTGCTGACTTTACCATTTCATCCAGCGTTTCCCCATATAACAGGAGATTATACATTTTTTAAAGTAATTTCGTATCAGTACAATATCCTTAGGTGCTACCTGGCTTGCTCTATTTCTCGGCCTGAAAGGAATAGTTAAGACTTCTTTTATGTATTTACTTTAAAAGCTAATCTCATCTCTTCCAGAAACTTCCAGTAATCAGGATTGTTGGGAATAATAATAATAACAATAGTAGTAGTAGTAGTAGTAGTAGTAATAATAATAATAATAATAATAATAATAATAATTTAATATACTGTAATCTACCCTGTGTTCTTCATGTGAGGGGCAGTATATAAATAATAATTATAATAATAATAATAGCAACAACAACATAATTAATATGCAGTGCTTTGAGGACTCTAAAAAGCTCCATAAAAATATTTTTTTATTCTTATTGCTGCAATCTTGGGGGGCTTTTTAGGGAAAGTTGGCAAGGATGCATAATCCTTTACCTGGGACATTTTATTCAGGGATGGGGAGCTATGTTTGTCTAAGGACTGCATTATCTTTTATGTGATCGGGGGGGGACACACGTCATTGGTGGGGGAAGGCAAGGGCAAAAGTGGGCAGAGCAAGAAGTGTAAATTTGAGCTTTGTACAATAGGCTAGTTTCTACAGACATTCCTCTCTCTTTTCTCAATCCAGGCAAGCAAAGAGGCATTATCAGAGTTCAAAGACACGTTCAGCCAGACAAAAGGAGAGGGTGTGAAGCAGGGTGGGTGACGGGCGTTGCTTGAGTGGGTGGGTGGCATGGGGAGATCCTCAAGGGCCAAAAAGAGAAATTTGGGGAGCTTATGGGTGGACTCTTAAGTCCAGGAGTAAGTTTGGGTTGGTAAATAGATGGGTGAACTGGTGGATAGGAGTAGTGTTAAGCACTCTCCCTTCTGCCCACCAGTTTTCCCCTGCAAATTTCTTCTCCACCCCTGGAGCAGGAAACATTTTTCCATGTTGTCTGGCAAACATATGACAAACCCAACTTCATCAGAACAAAAAAACCATTTGTTCCTCCATCCTGTTTCCAACAGGTGCCAACCAGATCCTTCTGAGAATCATCTTTGCTAAGCTTGCTTTTTATAATTTGGATACCTGAATCTACCTTATAATGAGCCAGACCATTATCCTATGTAGCCCAGTGCTGCTTATGGAAACATTGTGGGGCTCATGGTGTCACAGGCACTAGCCAGTCAAGTGCTGCAGACCCAGTTTCTCAGAGAGGACATCGTTCATTTGCACACACTACATTTGCACAGACTACATATGCTCAGCAAAAGTTCTTCAAGAGTAGTCCTGATTTTTGAATAACGTGTCATGTGTGGGATCTGATTTTCTACCCAAAGAAAAATAGAATATTTTTCTCACCTTTTATAATAAAAGATTGTAGCTCTGCCACACACTTCTCCAGCAAAGACAGAGCAGGTACTTGTTTCAGAGGAAAGGTTTGGAGACACTTTTAATTAAATGAATTGCGGATAACATCTCATGTGGCATGAGAACCACAAAAGAAGCACAAACTGAAAAGGCACTGAAGCTCTCGCGGATTGTGCCGATAAGCACATAAATTGATCTGACAATGCCCCCAGCCGGATCCTGCATTCCCCATTGTTGTTTCCATTGTTATCCTTGTTTCTGATTTCATAAGATGATGAAACGTAGCCATGCACATAAGGAAGCCTGTAAAACAAGGGTGGGGAGTGTCAGGCCTGTATTTCTGACCCTCAGGACGAGGGCCGGCCCAAGACATTTTGCCACTTGAGGCAAAACAGAAAATGGTGCTCTGCCACCACTGTCTCTGCTGCCGCCGCCTCCTGAGGCAACTGGGGGCAGCCTGGGGAAGCCCCAGCGCACCGAAGGCAACAAGAGAAGCAAAAAAGGAGGTCGGAAAGGAGCAGGCAGTGGCAGCCTCACTCTTCCCAGGCAGTGACTGTGGGCAAAAAGCACAGGAAAAGTCCGGCCCAGATTTGCCACTCCTCCCAGCTGCCCCGAGCCTGCCACCTGAGGCAACTGAGGCTACCCCTCACTTGCCTGGGTAGAGGAATGTGTGTACATGTGTAGAAATGTCTGGCTTTGCATGGCAGGAAGGCAACCTGTTGTACAAAGGTACAGTGGTACCTCGGGTTACATACGCTTCAGGTTACAGACTCCACTAACCCAGAAATAGTACCTCGGGTTAAGAACTTTGCTTCAGGATGAGAACAGAAATCACACGGCGGCAGCAGGAGGCCCCATTAGGTAAAGTGGTACCTCAGGTTAAGAACAGTTTCAGGTTAAGAACGGACCTCAAGAACGAATTAAGTTCTTAACCCGAGGTACCACTGTATATCATCCTCACAGCTCTACTCACTTTTTTTCTCGGGCTCCACCCATGGCTGGCCTGCAGCCCCAGAAGGCTGCCCATGAGGGGAGCATGGCCTTCAGAATAAAAAAGCTCCCATCCCCACTGTAACAGAAGAAGAAAGAGTGGTCAGGCGGAGAGTCACGAGCGAAGGTTACAGTGCTCAATGAGCAATGAGCAACCTTCCAGGGGCCACATGCCAAAACTGGCTGGGACCAGAGGCAGAAATTGGGCAGAGCAACAGGTGTGCCTCTTACTTTGATATCTTAGGCTACATTCCACCCCCAACAAAAGGCAGAGGCTTCTACACATACATCTCTCCATCCAGGCCTTATTGCGTTTCAAGGACACACTGCATCCAATAAACAGCACATGGAGAAGGTACAGAGTACCTAGTGAGGGTTGTGGCATGGAGAGAGGTCTGAGGGCCAGATAGATAGGCTTTGAGGGCCACATTCTACCCTGAGGCCTGAGACTCCCTACCGCTGGTCTAGCACATAAAATAAAAGTCTGCCAGAACAGAACAAAAAGTAATTCAATAACTGGTGGGAAACGTTGCATAAAGAGGCCAACTGCACATCATGGAGCCAGCTGCTCCATAATCTGGCTTTAGCCACTGAGAAGACCTTTTCTCTTGTCCCATCCAGACATTCTTCCCCCATAGGTGAGACACAGATAAGGGTCTCACCTTCTGGTCAGAGTCCAGAGACCTTCCAAGCTGTATAGGAAAAAAGGCATCATCTTAGCTGTTTCATCCTTTCTCCAACCATCTCTTGTCACCCCATTATCCCACCATCCAACTACAGTACTTAGAAAATGAATGTGTTAGATTTAGAACCTTCTTTGCTTCTTCTCTGGAGTTGTTTGTTTCACTAACATTCAGATGTTTGGTTCCTCCTAAACTCCTAATCTGGCCGTCCTCTTGTGTAGTGACACTGGCCTCACTCATAATGGGTTTTACAGAGTTTCTACCTCAGGAGCACCTACTAACACTTTTGCAGCTGCGTTCTGGGCCAGCTGATGTTTCCAAAGAGTGAATAAATTGAAATGATGAAATGGGCTTCTTAACAATTTCTTTTCTTAGGTACTGGAAGAATCTAAATGCCTGGTCCGGAGCTTCCTTAAATCTGGCCTCGAAGATGTGAATGAGAAAGAATGTCAGATGTTAAAACAGCTCTGGAGTTCTTCCAAAGGACTAGATTCATTGTTCAGTTATCTGCAAGACAAAATATACGAAGTCTGACATCCTTGCGCAACTCTGAAAGAGCAGGGAGGAAGAATGTTCCAAGAGTAAAGCGATTTCAGGCGTCACCAGGGTTTGAGAAAATCATTTAAAAATCAAACCCAGACCCAGCAAATCCTTCAGAGGAATTTGTGATAGTGTATCTAACATACCTATGGTTGTGTCAGTTTCCTTGTGAGTTAAATAGAGAAGTTCAGTGGCTGTTCCTAGCAGGTTTGATTATTGTTCGACAAAGGAAGAGACAGATGTATTAAGAACTGCATCTCAGTGTACACTTGCCTAGAGAGAAGTGTACATTGCATGTGCTAGAAAGCACGAGTGTACCCCATCAAGGCATACTGCAAAAATCAATTGTTCTCTCTTTTTTAAAATTTTATTTATTCTTGCTACTGTAAGCAACTTATCTTTGCGTTGACCTAAGTGGCTCAATTTAGAATTTGGGCCAAAGCCACGCTTTCAGGGCCCACTTTAGAAATATTTTAATAATTTTGTTTTGTTCGTTGAAAGAATAACCATGGAAAAAATTTAAAAGGGGAGAGTATAATTTATATGTATGATGTAAAAAAAAATATTTTGGAGAAAAGAAAAAGAACCTACTTGGATTTGTGTTTTCCCCGCTCTGTTTGTGAATTTATTTAATTTATTTATTTGTGTCTTGCTCTGTGTGTGTGCACACATACATACACATTTGATTGTTCGTCTAGTTAATATATAATTATCATTTTCAGATTTCCCCGGATTGGACAACTGTTTTGCACGAGTACACAAGCTCTGTGGTTTACAGTAAACGAATTGAGCTGTGCGTACAATAAAAACAAGATAAAGCAGGAGTGCTGTAGGGCATTAAAAAGCAGCAGAGAGTAGACATCATTTTAGATACCTTAAGAAAACCAATCAAATGCCGAAGCTGTGAGTTTTACACAAGTCTCCTGACAACTTGAGGCATAGGTAGCAGGTGCTACATTTAAAAGAAAAGCTAATATGTTTACTTTTTTCTTATTAGCTCAACATTAATAACAGGGTGAATGGTGCCTAACTTGTGGTGCCAACAAAGGATTAAGCATTCCTTTGTGCTATGAAACTTAGAACCTTACCTTCATGAGCCTCCTTCCTCAGATGTGATGTAGTATATTTTGGAGAACGTTGAGAGAGGCCAGCAAGAAGCTGCTAGAGGATCATGAATTAGACGGGGAAAGGCTTTCATACTTCTTTCATTCTCCAGCCCTCGGTGGCCAGACTCTCCACAGGTTTCCCTCAGGACAGTCTATGGTCATTTACTATTAGAATGTGACCATAATGAATAGATTCTTCCATTTTGCATCAGTTTATTATGTGTTTGAAGTCTCTGGAAAAATACCAGAAGGAATGCGTTCTTCAGATTAAGCAAAGAAGCTGGCAAGTCCAATCAAGATAAAAGGTGTGGGCTGTTCTAGTGCTTTGTATGGCGGCTCTGCATCTTCCGACTACTCTAAAAAATTATTGTTCTCTTAAGATTGCAAAAAAGAAAAAAAAGGAATCCTGGGAACAGACTGAGGGTTCACTTTATCTCTCAGATTTCATGGAATACAGAGATTGGCTTCTACGACTTTCCCTATCTATCTATCTATCTGTCTGTCTGTCTGTCTATTTTGCTGCCCTTTCAAGGTTAAGTAGAACACACTTTCCATTTCTTTCTACTTTTCAGAGGTTCCAAATTAGACTACTGGGCTTGGATTTTTTTTATTTTGTTCCGTTTTTTGCTTCATATTTGGCAAAGCTCCACCTTCTAGTTAGAGCACATCCACGGGGATCTGCTTACAAATCAATGCAGAGTCTGGCTTCTGTTCAGATTTGTCTAAATGTTTTTGGAAAGCAATATTCAAGGTGGCTTGTGGAATGCTTGTTACCCACAAGTGTCAGAAGCCAAGGCCGCATTCCTCAGTCAAGGGCTGATGCCTCCCTTATTCTCAGCCGTGAACCGTCTTAACAAACCCACGAATCATTTTCGTCCAGTTGACTTCCTTAGAGTCAACGTGTGAACTGGAGTCATACCCTTGAATGTACACTTGCAGGGCAAATAATTGTATTGAAATATATGGGGAAACATCTTTCAAAAACATGCTTTCATGTCTCTAAACAAGTGGTGCAACCCCAAATGATGTGTTAGACATTTTAACGAACCAGTGGAAAGTCCTTGCAGCATGGGAAAATTATTGCTCTGTGTAGACTCTTGGGAGTGCGACATTTTGGTTTTTGAACAGCAGTTTTTCTTAATGTATTTGATTTTTCAACATTGTTTCTTCAACAGCATTTTCAAAACTGTCTCATTTGCCTTGGCAAATTAATAGCTGAACAAAACTGAGTACCATTTCTTCATAAAAATTAACTCTGAAAGCTCTAAAGCTTTTAAAAAAAAAAGAATCATGTTTAGGTGGTTAATTTAATTTCCATTTAATTTTTTAAAGAAAAATGGGCAGTGATTATTTTTTAATACACTTCCTTATTTTGTTTTCTCTTTCTATTGTCACTGTGTATTCAGCTGTATAGGTATACTGTATATATTAGACCGAATACTTTTATGAATATTCACAGTATTTAATTAAAAAATACATGCAAATTTGTTGTTAAGTATGTTATATTATTTCATGTAAATTGTTTTGTACAAATCTTTAAGGATTGGCAGTTTTTGCATTTGTAGATATGGTAAAATGAAACAATTTATTTCTGTGTGTTTCTCTTGCATGTACATTTTCGCTGTACATAAAGTGTGGCTTTAGTTGGGTAACCTTCTGTTTCAATGAATAAGCTGTCCAACTTTAATAAGTATATATTTTCAAAAATATAAACTTTTATATTTCCGTGGTAGATTAGGGTAAGCGTTTTAGGCAATCTTTTTCCACAATGGTTAACCATTATTTTAATCTCAAGCATCCTGGGGTTGGTGCCAATTGTTTTCCTCTTAGAATTCTAATACACACTTTTACACTTATATATGCAGGCAGGGTGTTGTTTTATTATTTCTTTTGTTTTTCCCCCAACCTTGAAATAACAGAGTTTAAGGTACAATTTGTAAATTTAGTGCATTTGTGAATAAGCCTTACCACTAGGTTGAATCAAACGTTGTTAACTGCATAAGTAAGATGGAGGGTCCAGTTAGATGTGATGGCAACAGACCCATGTTGTAGAACATTTACTCTTCCTGTTATAGTTGCCATCATGCAGATATAAAAACAGAGGATGGGGAAAACTTCATGCCGTCCACCTTTCTTCACACATCTTTTCCCCCACTGAAACTCCCCCCTCCGCTCAAGTTGCCTCCTCCTATCCAGACTCTAAAACCAGGTATAAGCTCTCTAGAGGGGCAAGTTGCTAGGGAGAGGTGGTTCTCAGGATAGGAAACACACAGAGAAAGTGTTCAGTACAACCTACCTTCTAAGGAATGAGTTGTGTCATCATCATGTCTAATTAGATCTGAAGAAATTTCCTCCCCCCCCCCCCAGTTGAAGCATTCAGACATTTGGCAAATTTAGAATGCAAGGCCTTAATTTTTTTCCTTGTGATATGGATTAATACGGGTTGTTTCTTTCAAACAACATAGTTAGGCTTGTCGGTGTGGGTATTGTTTGATATAAACTCTGCATACTGTCCGCCCAGCCACATTACTCAATCTCAGGCTCTCTCTTTTTCGGTGGCTGGGTCTATAAAAGTCAAATCTGACTGAAGCCAACTCTCTTTAGGAGGCACTAAAGAAGTTTACATAAGGGACTTACAGACAATCTTAATCGTAGTGCATCTAAGTACTCCGTTTCCTGGATGTGTTATCTCTGTCTACCCAATTAACTGTATGTTTTTAAGCCATACTTAAATCTCTTTGCCACTACTTTAAATACCACACGGGAATTCAATTGCTAATTCACTGACATTGTCAACAGGATTTTAACTTCTAGGGAATAATATATATAAATATATATGTATCTTCCATTAAAAAAATAAGGACCAAAGAGTTATCAATTATCCTAATGAATGAAGTTAAAAAACGAAGTAGTTTATCTGTATAGCAAAGGTTCGTCTGTTGATTCCCTTTCAACATGCATTTTGTATCATTCATTTCAGGGATAGAGAAAAGGGCAGGATAGCCATTGTGGGTGTATCTGCTTTTAACATGTTGGAACATGAAAGATAGCCAGTAAATGATGGAGTGCCTATTGGTAAGGCTTATTACCAAACTTTGGAGATAAAGCAAATAACCAAAAAAAAAAAAAGGAGAATTGCAAATTTAATCTGTGAAGATTGTTTGATTTCTAATGAGTGTCTTGCACAAAGGAATTAAAACATTTTCTGATTAGGCCCATAAGTTATTTTGTTGTCCAAATAGCATAGAATAAGATGGGAACAGTTTCCAATATTTGTGATGAAGGAGAGTGCACAGTATATAACAAATATGAGGGTATAGGGCACCCCTTAACCACAGTGTTGTAAATAATATTTTGGAAGCTAGTTCAGTACTAGTTTCTTCTGATTTATCAAATATTGACTGTCTAGATCAAATTGTACACAATATATTTGTCAATGGTCCTGTAAACTAGTGTATGAACACATTTTTCTGGGTGCCTTAGAAGTTGTATTTTTCATGTGTGTTAATATGCAGTATTTATACATTGTGAGAAGCTGCTTTGAATAAAAACATTGAAACTTCCATTTGCTGACTTTGGGGTTATAAAAATGGTCATGGTGAGTTTTGCCAAGGAGTGTCAACGTGTATATCCATTACTGCCAACATCAAACTTAAGGGGAAGGTGCATGCCAGATTTTCCAAGCAGTCACAGGGGGTTCTTCACTAGTGATACAGGTCTGACATCTTCACCTGGCAACCTAGGCAAATTGCTCCAGCAGGGCCTACCGGCACTAACCTCTGCCCCTCCACATTGGACAGTTGGGTCTGTGAGCCTTCCTTTTCATATCCCCAATGTCCTGGCATGACACTAGGTAAGACCCTTTGGGGCATTGCGATCAATCAAGATACAGATCACTGCACTCGGCAGAAGAGGGCCTTCAGTGGAGATCTTATCAGGAGATCATTTCTGCCCTCCCATTAGTCCTACTGAGGACCTTCCTCTTCCAGCAAGCCTTTTCAATCCAGATCTTTCCCAGCCTGTTTCTGTGTTGGAATTGTTCTTAGCTGTTTTATCATTTGAGGGTTTCCTCCCATGTGCCCCTTTAGGAGGAGGGCAAGACAAAAATTTAATTCATGTGTAAATGTTATATGGCAGCTCTCGCCCACCCTTGCAGTAAGACGGACAGGTAAGCTCATCAAGCTCAACCTAAGAGGTGCCCACTGAAGCAACTTTTCCTAGTATTCCTTCATACCTGACGCTGTCCCTGCACATGTCCAAAGCAAGTCAAATGATGGGTGAGTCCATATAGCATGGTCAACCATCTTATAAAACATGCCTGTTACAGCCACACCACATTGTAATACTTGCTAAAAATAACTTCATCAGAGAATGTGCATGAGCCTTCTACCTGCATGTGCCATCATTTCTCCGCCTTGCCTTGCTATTATTATTATTATTAAGTTTTCAGTTTTACAGTTGCAACATTTTCCATTCTTTTACAGCAGTCATTTTGGACTTCCCACCCAGGGTTCCATAACAGTTCTTTACAAATCTTAGTTGCATATGCATTAATTCCTTCACCTTATTTTCCACATTCTCATAACCTTTATATTGTCAACTGTTGGTCATAAGGTACCCCCTACCTGGAATTTATATTTGAGATCAATTTATTATTATTTTTTGGTAAATATTCCCCTAAATACTCCCACTCACTCCTCATCCATTTGTCATCTTGGTTTCTTATTTTAGATGTCATCATTGCAAGCTTGGCATATTCAATTTATTTATTTAACCACTGTTCTTTCCCTGGGATCTCTTTGTTTCCAATATATTGCGTATACCATACTCACAGCTGTTGTTGTGTATTGAAATAGTTTGTGGGCTTTTTTGGGTAATTCATTCCTAAGCATGCCTAGAAGGAATGCTTCCAGTTCCTTGGGATTTGTGAATTTCATTTTTTTTAAAAAAAACTCGTACACTATCTCCCATAATTCCTTTGCCCGGTTGCATTTCCACCATAAATGAATAAATGTGCCCTCAACTTCTAGGCATTTCCAACAAAGTTTTGAGCCTCTTTTATACATTTTAGCCAATTTAACCGGTTTAAAATACCATCTATATTGCATTTTTTGCATATTTTCTCTTATTTGATAGCATGCAGAAATGTTCAGTGTAAAATTCCATAATTTTCCCCATTCAACGATTTTGATTTCAATATTATGCCCAATGTCAATGACCCTTTTTATCATTGCCTCCTTTATAAGTTCATCTTTAGTCTCCCATTCTAACAATAATTTATATAATTAGAAATTAATTTTTATTAGGTCCCAAAATCCCTTTTTCAAATTCTGAGCCTTCTTTATCTTTTTTAAACACCTCCTTTGTTTTAAAATAGTGAAACCAGTCAGGTATCCAGTTAGAAATCTCCTGCCTATCTCTTAATTTTATATTACCTTCTTGATATTCAAGCAGATCTTTATACTTTCCCCAAGTCCTATCCATATTTAACCTTACTGCAACTGCTTCTACTGGTGATATCCAACCAGGAGTTTTTCTTTCTAAGATATTTCTATGTCTCATCCAGACCTTATATAAACTTCTAATCACATGATTAAAAAATCCCTTGTGAACCTTGGTTTTTTCATACCATAGGTACGCATGCCACCCATAAATCAAATTGGCCCCTTCTAAATCCAATATGTTCACATCCTTCAGTTCAATCCATTCTTTCATCCAACTTAAACAAGTTGCTTCATAGTAGAGTTTCAGATCCGGAAGAGCAAATCCCCCCTCTTTGCCTTTCATCTATTAATATTTTATATTTAATCCTCAGTTTTTTCTTTTGCTATAGAAAGTTTAGTATGTCTTTTTTCCATTGTGTAAAGCCTTGCTGCAATTAATTCCTGGACTAATTGATCAGTTTCTCATGTCATCCACATTGTGAAACTATGACTATCAGGTCTGGAACAAACCTGGCTCAGAAAATGCAGTTTGAATTTAAATGGGTGTCAGCTATTGTATTTGAACTAAGTGGACCTCAAATCTGATCCAGCAGGACTCTTCCCATAATAGGGACAGTCAAGCAAATGGGAAATTGACAACATCTGGAAGACCAAAGATTCCATCTTCTCTGGTGTATATTTGCTTGAGTTCCGTTTGATATTCTCGTTTGATACATTGTGATACTTCATTTCCAAATCTAAATTTAAACAGTCAATATTTAGCAGTATTGAATAACTAAGACACAATCTTATTTAACATTTGATATGCAGTGGTATTTTGTATTTGATAGCCTTTTGCAGGTAGCATGCAAACACACACACACAAACACCCCATTGTTTTTACTGGAGGGAAGTGAGGAAATGAGGAATTTCTTTTGTTTTGGCAGATGTTCCATATTTCCTGCAGTTACAGTGCATTTTACATCAATGTGCAGGTATAATAATATTTTACCTGTATGCATTATTTACACGCCGACTGCAGTGTGACTTTGTTCTAAAGAAAAGATTGCTGAAAGGTACTGAAATGTGCTGGAGCAGGATAAATGTATTCGGTGTACAATAATTTCCATGCTCAGCTCCAAAGGTGTCAAAACAATATTTTATGTTGGTGCTTCCTTTTGTTTCATTTGTCATTCTAAAGCAGACGCTAAATTTAAATGAAAGCGTTGTAAAACATTTATGTGCTATCATAAGGAAATGCTTTGCTTTACAATCATGCAGGCCATTTAAAAAAAAAGGAGTTCATAACGTGAAAACCATTTCATACGAGTGAAGGAGCCAGGGGAAGGATTATCAAAATGAAACAACCGGCTCCATCCAATGCCATTCATGGTGGGTCAGTCCGTGCAATGCTTCCTTGTAGCAGCTACCCACCCCACCCCCAGCCTCCCTGGGGCCTGTACCATGTGTAGGAGAGTGTCCTTAGCTAACACAGAGTATCTCCCTCTCCTCAGCCCACTCTTCCGCTTTGGAAAAAAACTACCATGAGACGAGTTAGTTATTTCCACAAGGCTGCCCCTTATTAATCAGCCTCCAAATTCCCCCCAAGGCCCTCCTGAAGCCTTTTAAAGTAGTGTGGTATTATAGCTCTTAAGTGTGAGGGTGTTAAAATAAGATGACACCACACCAGGTTTATGAAACGGTCTAAAGTGTTTTGTTTTTGAGACAGAAAAAATAATGGAGTTTTAAGGAAAAGATATGTGTAAGTGACAGAAATGAACCCAATTCAGTCAACTGATTGATTAATCTAGTTTAGGATTGTCAACTCTGACTGACAGTAGTTTTCTGGGGTTTGGGGCTGTGGTCTTTGCCATCACCTTTTAACTGGAGATGCCAATCCTTTAACTGCCCAGTCCTTTTAACTTGAGGTGCCAGGGATTCAAAGTATGTGTTCTACCTCGAGATACAGCCCATCATTTTCCTAATTACTCCAATCCCCTTGGCCCTGTTTTCTTATTCCTCCTCATCCATTGCTGCCTCCTTAAGTCCCTCTCTACATCCTCAAGTCTCCCACCATCTCCTCTTCCATGTTCGACACTCCATCCTCCTGACAATCAGGATTTAGATACCTCCTCACCTTCCAATAATGCAAGCCAAATTTGGGGGTGGCCTGTAGCTTCCCAATGCTTCTTGCCAAAGTCACTTGCAGCTGCTGGTGCCTGCAAACAGACTAAGTCAAGACCAGCAGCATCAGAAGAGGAAGGAGAGGATGCACAGGATAGCCCTCAACACCTGCCAACCCAGACTAGTATAGCAGTCGCAGTAGAAGTTGTTCAAACCCTGGCATTCTTGTTCAATCTATCCACCAGTGTGCTCTGTATCAAATCGTATCAGCATACATACATGCACACATATGTTTGTATGATTCCTTACAAGGTGCTCCTTTCTGATCATGTCAGTTGTTTGGGTCTTAAGAAAACAAGAGACTGCCATACCAAATCAGATTATTAGTCCATTTCGCTGAGTATTGCCAACTGACTGGTGATGGTTCTCTGGGGGTTCTGGGGTGAGTTAGTCCCTGCCCTACCTGCAAATGCATGGGGCTCAAACTTGGGACTTTCTGCATGCCAAGCAGATGCTCTTCCATTGAGCTACGACCCTTCCCTGATATCAGTTTCCCTTTAGTTCCAACT